AAGCCCTGGTCCCTAAGATTTTGGGTTCAATTTTTGCTCCAAAGAGTCAAATCGCAAGCCCTGGTCAAAGAGTCAAATCGCAAGCCCTGGTCCCTAAGATTTTGGGTTCATTTTTTGCTCCAAAGAGTGACATCGCAAGCCCTTGTCCCTAAGATTTTGGGCCCAGTTTTTGGTTCAAAGAGTCAAATCGCAAGCCCTGGTCCCCAAGATTTTGGGTTCAATTTTTGCTCCAAAGAGTCAAACCGCAAGCCCTGGTCCCTAAGATTTGGGGCCCAGTTTTTGCTCCAAAGAGTCAAATCGCAAACCCTGCTCCCTAAGATTTGGGGCCCAGTTTTTGCTCCAAAGAGTCAAATCGCAAGCCCTGGTCCCTAAGACTTTGGGTTCAATTTTGCTCCAAAGAGTGACATCGCAAGCCCTGGTCCCTAAGATTTGGGGCCCAGTTTTTGCGCCACAGAGTAAAATCGCAAGCCCTGGTCCCTTAGATTTTTGGGTCGATTTTTGCTCCAAAGAGTCAAATCGCAAGCCCTGGTCCCTAAGTTTTCGGGGTCGATTTGTGCTCCACAGAGTCAAATCGCAAGCCCTGGTCCCTAAGATTTCGGGGTCGATTTGTGCTCCACGGAGTCAAATTGCAGCCCTGGTCCCTAAGATTTTGGGCCCAGTATTTGCTCCAAAAGGTGAAATCGCAAGCCCCGGTCTTTAAGATTTTGGGCTCATTTCTTGCTCCAAAGAGTAACATCGCAAGCCCTGGTCCATAAGATTTTGGAATCGATTTTTGCTCCAAAGAGTCAGATCGCAAGCCCTGGTCCTAAAATGTTGGGCTCAATTTTTGCTTTTCCCTTCTCTTCTGCTGATAAAACACAAGAAAGGAACTCATATGATAAAGCAGTGGAAAGGTAAGCAGAGGGTGACTCCTTGCGCGTGAGCCTTTCCATAATACTCCATCATATTCATCCTCTCGGCCTATCTCTTCTGTTCCTTTCCTTACTCTTCTCCTTCTCATAGTTCTTCCTTTTTGTTTTTCTCATTTCGAAAAGAAAGAGGGAAGGGAGAAACAAGGGAGAGAGAATAGATAAAGAAGAGTGCCATCTTCTCTGCGCCTTGTTTTGTCTCTCCCTCTTCTCTATTCATCTGTCTTCTATTCTCTTCCTTGCTCTTCCCATTAAATATGCAATCCTTGGTATCTCTCCTCTCTCCTTCTCTCTTCCTCCAACAGATGTGCTTTTGGATCGTTTTCTGCATCTTCAAGCGAGGAAGAAGGACACAGACTGCGATTAAAAGGGACGCCCATGTTGGATTGGCAGCAAGCCCAGCTGATGCTCATGATTCTCTCTCTTTCCCTACACATGGGCGATGGAACGGGTGTCCTTTTCAATCGTTTTCTGCATCTTCAAGAGAAACAGGGACACCCCACAAGAAGGAAAAGCAACATAAGAGATAGGGAGGGAAATTGACCCTTTCCTCTCTTCTTATCTGCTATTTTTCTTATTCGCTTCAAAAAGCAACATAAGGGAAAGGGGATTTCCTGAAGAGGAGAGAGGGAACCTATCTGTGAAAAGCAAGAATGGTTTTTTCTAGTTCGAAAGGGAATAGGGAGAGACAAGGGAGAGATGATATGTACAGCTTTGCGCCTTATTTTGTGATTCCGTCTCCTTGCTTCCTGTCTCTTCTATTCCTTGCAGCACGCTTCGGGAAACATAGCATCCTTGTTATCTTTCCTCTCTCACTTCCCTTTCCCTTCTCTTCTTCCGCTTCCTTTTAACTGATAAAACACAAGAAAGGAACTCATATGATAAAGCAGTGAAAAGGTAAGCAGAGGGTGACTCCTTGCGCGTGAGCCTTTCCATAATACTCCATCATATTCATCCTCTCGGCCTATCTCTTCTGTTCCTTTCCTTACTCTTCTCCTTCTCATAGTTCTTCCTTTTTGTTTTTCTCATTTCGAAAAGAAAGAGGGAAGGGAGAAACAAGGGAGAGAGAATAGATAAAGAAGAGCGCCATCTTCTCTATTCATCTGTCTTCTATTCTCTTCCTTGCTCTTCCCATTAAATATGCAATCCTTGGTATCTCTCCTCTCTCCTTCTCTCTTCCTCCAACAGATGTGCTTTTGGATCGTTTTCTGCATCTTCAAGCGAGAAAAAAGGACACAGAATGCGATTAAAAGGGACGCCCATGTTGGATTGGCAGCAAGCCCAGCTGATGCTCATGATTCTCTCTCTTTTTCCCTACATATGGGCGATGGAACGGGTGTCCTTTTCAATCGTTTTCTGCATCTTCAAGAGAAAAAGGGACACCCCACAAGAAGGAAAAGTAACATAAGAGATAGGGAGGGAAATTGAAGAACTCCTCATTGTACTTGGTCATTCCCTTTCCTCTCTTCTTATCTGCCCATTTTCTGTGCGCCTTGTTTTGTCTCCCCCTCTTCTCCCATCATCTCTCTTCTGGTCTTTTCTTTGCTCTTCCCATTAAAAATGCAACCCTTTTTATGTCTCCTCTCTCCTTCTCTCTCCCTCCTCTTCTCCTGTTCCCTTCTAAACGACAAAAACGCAAGAAAGGAAGAATAAGAGGGGAATGGAGGCCCTGTTCCTTTTCCTCTTTCAATGGATGGGGGAAGTGGGCGGAGTTGGCCCCTTGCCCGTACACCCTCCCCATGCTTCAGCAAACCCCTCCTCTCGCCCTATCGCCTCTGTTTTTTTCCTTGTGCCCAAACGGAAAACGAAAACGGGTTCCTTTATATGTTCATTGTCCTTCCTTTTGTTTTTTTATTTCACAGGGAAAAGAACCAGAGAAGAGGAAGATAAGAACGAGAGGTGAGATGAAAACGGCACCATCTTCTCTTTGCCTTATTTTTGCACCTCCCTCTCCTGTCTTAATTTCTCTTCCCCTCTTTTTTTCCATTGCTCTTCCCATAATATTGCATTCCTTTTGATAACTCACAGGAAATTAAAATGGCCTCCTTGTTGTCTCTCCTCTCTCACTTCCCTTTCCCTTCTCTCCTTCTGTTTCCTTTTAATTTTAACTGATAAAACACAAGAAAGGAGCTTGTAAAATCAAGCAGTGGAAGGGTAAGCAGAAGGTGACTCCTTGTGCGTGGACCTTTGCCGTACTTCACCATACCCCTCTTTTCGGCCTATCTCTTCGGCTCTTTTCCTAACCCTTCTTCTTTTCATCTTTCTTTTTGTTTTTCTCATTTCGAAAAGACAGAGGGAACGGAGAGATAAGGGAGAGAGGATAGATAAAGAAGAGTACCATCTTCTTTGCGCCTTGCTTATCTTTCCCTCCTTCTCTCCCTTCTCTTCTCCTCACGAGAGCCTTCGACTTTAGGATTGAGGAGAAAAAGAGAAGAGAAAAGAGGAACTACCTGGTTCTTGTTCCTGAGGCCTCCATAGTACGACTGACGTGACAGCAGCGTACCCTCGTGGAAACGTGTATGGCTATAAGAAAACCCGAGTCCCAGCTTCCAAATAGACCCTATTTAAGCCACCCACGGGGGGGGGGTAGGGGGAGGGGGGGGGGGCCCGCCGGGGCTGATCTATATATATATAGGTGTATATATATATAATGTATTCAGCCCCGGCGGCCCCGATCTATTAATGAACCCCCCCCCCCCCCCCCAGGGTACCCCCCCCCCCCTGTGGTGTGGTTGGGTTTGGTTTTAGGGTTTTAGGGTTTTAGGGTTTAGGGTTTAGGGTTTAGGGTTTAGGGTTTAGGGTTTAGGGTTTAGGGTTTACGGTTTAGGGTTTTAGGGTTTTAGGGTTTAGGGTTTTTTCCCCGCGGATGGGGTACTAAGATGATCCCCCCCCCCCCTGTGGTGTGGTTGGGGGTTGGTTTTAGGGTTAGGGTTTAGGGTTCAGGGTTTTAGGGTTTAGGGTTTAAGGTTTAAGACTTAAGGTTTAGGGTTTAGGGTTAGGGTTTAGGTTTTAGGGTTTAGGGTTTAGGGTTTAGGGGGGGGTTTAGGGTTTAGGGTTTAGGGTTTAGGGACCGTAGAGTAGACTTGGGGGGGGGGGGATACCATGGGGGGGGGGGGCCCAGGACGCTCGACGCTGAACCATATATATGGTCGCTCCCCCCCGCCCCAAATGGACTAACCTCGATATGTGAAAGCTCCTGTAGCATAGTAAAGCACACAGAGTATGACAGGAATGCAAAAAAAAAACGCTAAAAGTGTAAACGTGCAGAAAGCCAAAAACGTGCAAAAAGACAAAAACAAGTGCAAAAACCCAGAAAGTTGCAAACGTGAAAAAAACCAGAAAAGGCAAAAAGAAACAGAAGAAGCGCAACAAGGAGGTTAGGCAAACCGCGCAGAACATTACAAGAGACAACAACAACATCTAGTTTTTCCTGTTTTTTTTCATTTCGCGGTTGGTCCCTTGGGGGGGGGTGGGGCGGGGGTGAGCATATGTATATATCTATATACACACATATTTGTGCAATACACTATATATACATATACATACACTATATAAACCACCCAACACCCAAGAACTGCAGCATGATCAAAGATTAGCCGCTGTAGAGCACAAAGCTTCCAAAGGGGCTCAATGGCAGACATGTCGAGCAAGCAGCAGGACAGGAATGTTGGGGGGGGGGGGAGGGAAGTGTCGTGTGGCAACCCCAAGATGAAAGGACGTGCTATTTTCTGCTCATGAAAATGAAATGCAAACATAAGAAAGGCCGATCCATCTGACAAGCACAGCACCAAGAAGTTCTTCCCGATACATGCACAGAATGCGATGGCACGAACGGGCAGTTCATGTGATAATTACTCACGCACCGCCCACAGCAGTTTCTTGCATCCACGAGATTGCATCGGACGTTGATGTGACCCGTACCTTACTTTACTATTGGGTTGCTTGCCGCGATCCTATGTAATGTAGCACTTCCCCTTCCTTGAGCGGCAGTCATGCCTGTGGCACCGCTCCGCTGTTGCAATTGCTGCTGCTGAATGGTCACGACAGGGTCCACACAAGGGCACCAGACCTATGTTTGATGACGAATGCCAGGTGTGTTGGCTGCTTTGCTCACGACGTTTGCTCTTGTGATGCCGCGGGCCCAGTTCTACTGTAGTGAAGGTAGTGCTGCAGAAAAGACAAAGCACGTGCAATGCTCAGCCTGCCAAGGACATGGCGATTCCAAGCCACATCCTACCTGAACCCGATCGACTGGCTCAATAGCAGCGGGAAGGCGGTTGGGGTGAAGACAGCTTCTATGCAATCTTTCTGGAACAAGCCGGCTGCTACAGCTGCCGTTAGGACCGCCACCCCATGACCTTTCCTATGGTGGCATTCGGTTTTTGCCTTATAATGTTCAAGATCGGAGCAAGATGACGAGCCGAGAATGTAGGCGTGATGTGTGTTACGCTTGACTTCGCAGTGAACTCTTGTGCTATGAGGCACCGGTTTTTTGGGAGCGATGTTGGGTCTGAGGCCTATCAGGACTCGGCAGGATTGCAGAAACAGGTTTCAGTTGACCGCACCCTGTGTCCTTGCATTCGCTGTTCCTCGTGCACGCCAAAGCAAGGTCTTGGTGGTGGCATCTTGCTAAGTCCAGTCTTGATTGAGGCAGGGCATGAAGGGCAGCATTTCGCAAACAAAAGAGGGCTCAATCTGCAAGATGGTTTAAGCACTGCAAAGCAATTTGCTTGGTGAGGTGGGAATGCACAGCGAGGCTGTCCAGGTGCCGAGGGGAAGTGCTTGGTTGATTGAGTTATGCTCTGATGCTTCCTGCGCCAAAGTGGATTGATGGAAGTTCATGTGTTGCTTGTGAAGGCAACCGTCGCAAGTTTCGTCTTTCTGCCACTTGGAGTGCCAAGGGAACTACCCCGCGCTAGCTGAGAGCAGGTGTTGCAAAGCCGGATGCAGAAGCAACCCCTAGGTCAAGCTCCCTTGCAACTATCCAGTACTTCATGATGGGCCAGTCGCTGGGACTGTTCCTCTCTACTCTGCCTGTGTTGCATCATGCTTTGTTTGGATGGTCTGCTGGGCATGCAAGGATTGTGTGGCACTATGCGTTGTGGTACGGCATTGTGGCCATTGGTGCCACATACCTGGGTCAAACAGCCTGCGAGGAGCTCTGGATGGGTTCTGATGGTTTCAGGGCCGGGATGTTTCCAGTGTCGGGAGCTACTTTCGCACCGTTGTTGTGTGGGAATTTCTGGCATTGGGTATCCCGTGTTCTACTTGTTGCTCGGTTTGCACTGGGGAGAACCCTGGCAGGTGTTCATCCGCAAACGCAGGCGCTACTCGTTCATTACGCGCCTTGGAAGCACTGGGACAGCCCTTGTGCGAAGCTTGTGATTTACACCGGCATGGCAGACCGAGTGCTCACGGAACGTCCTCCAGACAATTACAGCATGGTGTGCTCGTGACACCGCACACAGCAGCGCCTCTTGTGCGCCTCTTGTGCGCATCCAGGCTCTCCGTGAGCACCGTTCTGGGATTGTCGCTCTTTTGCCTGTGCGTGGTTGGGACAAAAACGGCAGCTCGACAGCATAAGTGCGGTTAAACCGTGGCAAAGGTGCTCCGATGGGGTAATGGAATGCTACTGGGCCACCCAACAAAACTGTGGAGTGCCCGCCATTCACTTCGGGACCTTGGGACCTTTGGAGTTCTCTTTTGAGGCTTCAGGGCGTTCTGGGGTATGTGGTGTGGCGTCGGGAGTTCAGGGCTTTTTGGGCAACACGTTCTGGCGGCTGACGCTGACAAGGACACTGACATGAATGCAAGCTCGCCAGTCCAGAAGTCCAAAAAAGGTGCAAGGGACTTCTGCCTGTAAGCCTTTGGGCTTTATTTGGGCTCTTAAACGCAAAAGCCGGCCGATCAATATATGATATATATATATATATAGATAGTATATATATATATATATATATGGGTAGTTCTCTAAATTAGGGTGGCTCATCGGGTCCCCTAAATAGTACGGCGCCCTCAGGAAACCCACAAGGGACCCTGATTTCGAGAACTCCTCATATACATGCATGTTTGTGTTTCGTTTTTCGCTTGGCGCTCTTATCATTGTCAACTATCATCCTCACCATCGTCAGCACCATCACAAGCAGCATCATCATCGTCATCATCATTGTCGTCATTGTCAGTTTTGCCATTATTGTCACGATTGTCGTTAAGAGTCCCATTGTGAATATCAGTCTTGTCATTTCCACTGTTAGCAGTGGCATCATAGCCATCATTGTTGTCACTGTTGTTTTTCTAACTGTTGCTGTTGGTGTTGGTGTTGGCGTTGGTTTAGTCCTAGTCGTTGTTGTTGGTGGGTGGGAGAAATAGGCATGGTGCATAGCCTGGACGCCCCGTCCAAGCGAAGCACGATGCGGAATCCAAGAATGGTTGTGAGCATCATGAACGTTTTTACAGTTTTATGAACTAGAGCTCAAGCCTACATGTCCATTGGAATGCATGCGAGTCCGTCCCACGCGACACATTGTGAAGGTCCTGCATGACTATGACATGGGCAAGCCCATTTGGTTTTCCTTCACTCGCCTCTGCAGCTGGGCAGCAGATGGAAATGCCACGAGTCCACTTCCCTGTGCTGGCCAGGGAAGATGCAAAACATCGGGACGCCCCTTTCAAACGTAGGTGGGCGAGCATCGTATGGCGAAGCCCAAAAGTATGAATCGTGTATTTGCCTGGGCTGTCGGCTTGCTCGTAGCCTGCGTGGCCCAAGCATCTCGTTGGATGTTGCTCTCTACAGCAGATGCTGACTAGCGCCAGAGACGCTTGCAGTGTCGAGGATGCCAAGCAGTGCACAGCTGCGACAAAAAGCGGGACTGCCAGAGAGCTTGGCAAAGTGGCTTTGCCGAGAGTGCGCTCTCGCCCGAGGTGCGAGTGGTCGTGGCTCCATTATTCGGCCGAGCGTGGCTGTAGGCCTCTTGGCGTCTCAGATCGAGCCATCTTAGCAATTTCTGAAGAAGAGAGAGCAGAGCACAGAAGTGCACAGAAGGGCACAGAAGAGAGCGCCCTTTGTTCTGTCATTTAATGTGTGAGGTAGATGATGGCTTGCAATGCCTTGCGATGCAAGCCAACTTCATGGAGAAAAGGGTGTGGGTTCGCTTCAGAGTGAGCTTCCTGTTTCCCGTGTTCTCTCGTGACCCTTTGGGCGAGAGCTTCCTGCAATTTGTTGAAAGACCCGTCTCCGTGGCTCAACGCGGGGTGTGCTCTGCCCCACAGAGCTCTTCAGCCTTTGCGTACCAAGAACAGACACCAGAAGTCAGTGCCTCATTCATTTCAAAGCCCAAGAAAGCATCCGAGCCCGGCCCCTATGTTCTCCATGTAGCCTTTATGCATGACGCACACACACACACACAGACATACAAAGCTTCATGCAACAGGACTGTTCGCCATTAAACAGGCCTGATACAAGCGTTTCTGTGTGCGACCCCTTCCGGGCCTTTCGCGATCTGATTGTGTGGCGTTAGTCCAACAACATCTGTAGTCTGACTACCATGAGATGCAACGTCGGAGATGGTGCAGCTGCCACTTGTCTAAGGCCTTTCAGGGCCTATCACATGCTTGCAGTCATGCTATACTTTCCAGTCAGAAGCTCTACTGGATTAATTAGGTGTCACAGCAAGAAGAGATCATTCAGCAGGTGAGGTAGTCATAGCACGGTGTCGGGATACTTCTTGCCGGAGTCCCTGAAAAGCCGATGCTCGAGTCCCGTTGCCCTGCAATAATTTCTTGGCAGTATTCATAATTCCCATACTAGGGTTTGTGGGTTTGGGGCTTATAGGGTTACGGTTTAGGGTTCTAGGGTTGAGGGTTTGGGTTCCTTTCAGGCTGGAGGCTCAGTGTTTCAGGTTTAGGGATTGTCGGGTTTGGCGTTTTCTTGCTTCTCATTTTACGGTTCTGAGATTAGGGTTTCGGGTGTATTGTTGACTTGAAATGTAGCAGTTTGGGGCTTTGGGCTTAGGGTTTTTTTGTGGGAGGGGGTTCGGGGAGGGGGCGAGAGCGAACAGCTCAAAACCATACATAGGTTGTCCCAAACGGGCCCAGCATTCAGAGAGTCCCCTACATGCATGTTGGGCGTGGCCGGAAGGAGTGCCGCAAGCCTTTTCTCCGGATCGTTTGCTTTTCATCTCGGGTTATGGCCTCCCAGTTGTGAATTGAAAGCTGCTTCCGTTGTGGCCTGTGTTTCGTCATCGCTTTATGACTGACGTTTCGTCATCACTTGTGAAGGACCTGACGCTTCTTACAGTGATTGAAGAAGTAGGAGGGAAATGATAGATACGGGCATGGAAAGACTGCAGGACTGCACAGATGACATCAGCCAGCTTAGTCTGAATCTCTGGGTTGCAGCAGTGAGAGGGTTGCAGCAGTGAGAGCCGCCTGAAACGGTCTGAGCTTAGAGTTGCAAAGCCCCGTAGCTTTGGGCCCTGGACCGCCTTGCAATGCCTTGCACCTCAAAGCTCAATTTGGAAACTTACAGTGCTGGCCTAAATCTGCAATGCGCGGGGCAAGATGGCTTCTTTTCATGCATGTGTGAGGTTTTCCCTTCGATGTGTGCGAGGGGTTGTGGTCTCTCTGGCGTGGTGGAGTGGGCAAGAGACAGGCAGTTTCTGCCCCTTGCCTGCGACAGCCCTATGGTGTGTACACTTGCAAGAGTGATCAAGAACACTGTCACGTGCTCTTTGGTGACAGCGTGAGAGCAAATTGAGTGCAGCCAGGTTCGGGCCGTTAGAGCCTCGGCAAGGTTGTTATTATGTTTTCTGCCTCGTGATTCCTTTGGCTGTTTTCAGCCTGTGTTTTACAGTGTTTTTTGGCTGTGCAGATGCCCTCCCACAACGTCGCTTGACAGTGGAGTTCAGGCCGCCGGGCTCCCAACCCGCCTGCAGCCCTTCTCCGCTACCATCTTGGGGGCCACAGGCCTGGCAGAGCAAGCGCAGCGTGCTTGGGCTCCATGGCAGAGCCACCATGAGGCTGGAAGATGACTACGAGCTTCAGGAGCCGATCTCTTTGCGAGCATGCCCCGGTTGTGTCTTGTTTGTGTCGTGGTGTGTGTCGAGAAGCATCTGAACTGATTTTGGACGGGCGCCTTGAGCGAGTTGCTTCAATTGCATCGAGAGGACCAGATCCTGGGAAGTGGGATGTCAGGCAGCATACAGCTCGTGACGAGCAGCCTGGCGCAAAAGCGACGGGGTGCAGGCCCACAGCCTTCCAAACCCAACTTCGGGGGCCGAGTCAGACCTGCCTTCCGATCAGAGGGGGTGTGGAGCACTACAGGCTTCGATCTCCTTTTGAGAGCTGTCGCCTGATGAGGTCTCATCTTTCTACCTGCCAGTACAGTGGACGACATGTGTTTGAGTTCAGCTTCATTTTCCATTTCGCAGTGCTTTTTTCACTTGGGCGGATCTGTGGTGTTTATCCGAAGTGAAAAACGCAGATTTTGTTGCAGCGCAGGGGTGTCGGCATGGGGAGCCAGAGGAGCTCGGAGTTAAGGCCGGGTCGACCGACGCAAGCATGCGCTGAAGACCTTTGACAAGAACGGGATGACGGAAGGCCGTGAGCTTATGACTCATGGTGCCTCTTTCTTGGGGTTTAGTAGGGTTTAATGGGGGTTACTGGGGGTTAATGAGGGTTCCATGGGGTTAGTAGGGTTTGAAAGGGGTTAGTAGGGGTCAAAAGGGCTTGCATGTGTGCTTGCATGTGTGCTTGCACGTGTGCTTGCACGTGTGCTTGCGCGTGTGCTTGCATGTGCTTGCTGTCGTCGGCTGCTTTTTGCAAGCTTCCTAGCTGATTGCCAGCATTCCGTGAGCCTAGGTCGCTACAGGCACCTGAAGCAAGAATGCGAGGTCTTTCTAACCGTGGACCACCCCAACATCGCACAGCTGCCACGCAGCTGCATGCCAACCTGTGAGCTCCTGTACTTGGGGTGCTTGTGAAGTGCATCCCAGATCATCTAGCAGTGTGTCCAAACCTCAAAGGGAGAGCATCCGCAAAGCGTGTTTGACATCACCCACTCAGTGTAGGAAGTACATGGCTCACAGAGAGCGCAGATTCCCAGAGATCGCCAGCCTGTGACCATCTGTTCGAAGCAAACAATTCGCTGGTGTTCCACCGTTGGCCAACTGCAGTTACAGGACTAGCCTGCTGCGTGGTACATGCTGTAAGGAGCGATGTATATGAGTGGGAGGATGGCATAGCAATCATCATGGAGTGACTGGGCAGCTTTGTTTTTTGGATCACTTGTCTTTCAAGTGACACCGGCGTTATGCGAGCGACAGTCCATGCAACGAATCTCTCGCGCGAGCATTTTGTTAAATTTGAAGGTATTGCTCCGGTGGGGAGCTGCTGCATCGATTGGAGGCCCAAGCGGTGTATGATGAAGCGGACGCAGCAGAGGCTCCGCATTCTCCTTTGCAAGGGTAATTCGTTCCAGTGTGGTCATGTTGGCCATTGTTGCGAGTGTCCTGTCGCTTCTTCTTCTGCCTTCAGGCAACATCTCAGATGCTGCAGGCGGTGAATTACCTTCATGCCCACAGCATCGTCCACCGTGATCTGAAACTTGATTGGAACAGTGCGGTCCTTTTCGAGGATTAGATTCCGAACACTTGGTGCGAGACAGGTTTTGGCTGGACAACTGAGGAAGCTCCAGAATTTCCTCTACGACGCTGGGGTTGCATCGGCGTGGCATGTTGCAGAGTTTCTTTCAGAGCTTCTTTCAGAGCATGAGGCGTCAGGCTTCACTTTCGCTGCATGTTCTCACTTGTTTCGGCACAAAGGAATCGCCTCAGAAGGATGCGCTTCTGAAGTTGATCGACTTTGGACTTTGCGAAACGCTGGAAGATGCTAAGCAATGCAGTCAGAAGCAGAGTACAGGGCATAGGCGAGTTGGCAGCTCCGCGTGTGTAGCCTCAATGTGTGTGTGTGTGTGTGTGCGCGCGTGCGCATGCGCGTGAATGTGCGGGCGGGCATGTGCGGTGGGCGGGTGCGTGGGTGCGCTTGGTACGCTTGGTACGCTTGGTACGCTTGGTACGCTTGGTGCGCTTGGTGAGCTTGGTACGCTTGGTACACTTGGGCCTGGCAAGGTAGCTTATTTCTCGTGTCGGATGCTCGTGACTTTGACTTTATCCAGAAGGGAAGGAGCCCAGTGTTTGGAGGGCCTCCTCTCGCCTTGGCTCTGATAAAGCGCTGATTTAGAGGCTTCTAAAGGGCTTTTGAAGTTTTTTTGGGGGGTATGCCAAATGATGCCAAGGATGCCGACATGAAAATGAAGGCTTCTGTCGGCACCCTCGAGTTTTGCAGCCCGGACGTCATCAGCGGCAAGGCCCACGATGTGCCAAGATGTACTAAGTCCAAACACGTGACGTGTGACTTAAGCGGTTGAAGGTTTAGGGTTTAGGGCTTATCCAGCCGTAATACACATTGCAGAGACCCCAAGAGTACAACCGAGACCCCCCCAAATCGCAACACCATTCCCCCCCCTCCTTTTCCACTTTGCTTTGCCGACATGTCCTCTTCGTGGCCTTGCATCCAAGAGCGTGTTCGGATTGCTGGGCTTGTGAGTCCCCACTCCCGCAGCCTCTTCTCGCGGTCCTTCAATTGGGGGAGGGGGGTGAAGGGCGTGGATTTCGTGGTAAAGTGGCTGCAACGTTGCCCTGCCGACAATGCAAACAGGCGTGGGTCGCGACGCCGCTTTGCCGACCTTGCTTGGAAAAACGTCCACAAACCGCTTTTGCTTTGTGTAGTGTCGTACGCGCCCTCGGATCGTCCGAACGTGCTGTTGATCCTGCATCCCAAAAAGCGTCAATTGGAACGCGCAAAGACCTGAAAGCAAAGACTTTGCAACCCCAGAAAGCACAGGGGGTGGCAATTTGAAAATGACGCTCGCCTGTGTTCCAGATTCACACTCTTTTTCTGCGGAATCGGGCGGGACAGCGGGACCTTTGTGAGAGGCCGTTTATGACGCCGGAAGCTCGACCCGCAAGCCGTGGGCCCCCTCCCACCCCCTCCCCCCCTCTCCCCCCCCCTCCCCCCCCCTCCCCCTCCCCCCCCCCCCCCCCCCCCCCTTTTTGGCGGTGAGCGCTGCGCAACGCCCGCGTGCCGTGCGGTAGCCTGTAGCCTCAACCAGACCCTCCTTATCCTTCAGTTCAGAGACCTGCAGTGTTGCCACACGCTTCATCATGGAACACGTCAGTGCCCTTTCTGACTGTGCAGGAATACACGAGCCAGTGTGAATCTCAGCTCAATATGAAGGTTGCATGCTTCTGCGATGCTGCAGTGCTAGTGTCAGCCGGATTCAGGAGGCAGGACGTGAGGAGCCGATGTGAAACGGGTGGGTTTCGGGTCTACTCGTAGGGTTTAGGGTGTTATGTGGATTTTGGCTGTGCTGCATATGTCAGTCCTTCTCCTCAGGATCTGTGGAGCTTGGGTGTTGTGGCACCTCAGCTTATGGCAGTGAGCGATCGCAGCAGATGTTGAGTCCATACTACTTGAAACGAGCATTGTCTAGATGGCCAGACCAGGCGCAAGATGTGCTCAGGATGGACGAGAGAATGACCTGAACCCTAAACAATCCCAAGAACTCTTAAACTCTTCTCATGAATATTTTGTATCATTATATTCATGCTTTGAGTTAGGCAGGCTCTGGGTGGGCATGTTTCATTTACATGCAGTCTTGTTGCACATGCTGCATTTTGGCTTAAGCCTGAGCCAAACTGTCAGGTTTGAATTTTGAGGGGCGATCCTTAGTGCGTTCAGTAAGGTATGGTCTCAGAGGAACTGAGCGTTGCAGATGTTGCCTTCACTGAGGAACCTACGTTGGCGGTGCCCAACTTTATGGTGTACAGGGAGTACGCAGCCCAACTCCTGCAGGACAGCAGGGTTGAAGAATTTTGGTTGCCGTGGCGTTCAGTGGCTGAAGTTGTCCATGTCCCGCCTACACCTATGCCCGCTGCTGATGTCAACTTTGCGGGGGGTAGAATCCCCATCAGGCGTATTGTTTGCACGCAGGTACCCTGCGCACGTTGCGATTCAGCAAGGGCAGGCTTCCAATTTCCGTGGCTTCCGGCTCGAGGCACGAGCCCCCAGGACGCCTATGCAGCATACAGCCGCTGCCATGACGGGCTATCTCGGGAGGCTTTCCAGGCTCGGACATGGCCAGAGTTTTGGCGGCTGCGGAGCTGATTAGCATCACGGACGAGTACGGCGCAGACATCGGGGATGTCACGGGCGCAGGCGGGTCTGGCAGCAGCGAGCTCGCCAGTGGAGGGACCCCGAGGCCGGAGACGTTCCAACTATTGTGGAGGCGAAGGAATCGCCAGTGGCATTGGCACAGCGAGCATTTGCGGGATGGGATTCGGTTCGTTCGTACCCGGGGGGGCACCTTTGCCGTGTGCCTGTGTCGAGTGTGGTGGCCCGTGAGAGTTCGTTTGCACGCATTGCCAGAAGCCCCTGTGCCAGGTCTGCAGCACTCAACATGCTTGCGCCGATAGCCGCTTGTGTCGGGGCGATCGTCTTTGAGGAGGCGGAGGCACTTCGACCCACCGGAGCTATGTCCGCCGTGGTCATGGGGGAGTGGCAGTGAGCCCTCCAGCGCCCTGCTACCGCCAAAGTGTAGCTTCCGAGCCGGCTACGATCAGAGGTGTCGTTACCGCGTGGCAGGAGCTGAAGAATTTCCAGCTATCACGGGAGCGACCCGTGTCTCCTGAGGCCTTGGATTTGCAGTCATTCATCCGCGAGTCTACCCAAGCCCCTCGCAGGGCGCTCTCTGCTTTGAAGTGGCTGTCGAAGAACGGCCAGCTGAGCCTTCCCCTCCAGGACCTCAACGCTCCCAGCAGGCCTGACACAGCTGAGCGAGGCAAGCCGCGTGGCCAGGCGCCAGTGGTTCAGGCACCGATGTCCAGCAGACCGAAGCCCTTTACCAAAGTGGCGCTCGCTGGGCCGCTCTCCTTGGTTGGCAATGGATGCCTGCACTACCGCCACATCGTATTGTCGCATCCGAGGAAGATTACCAGCTCGGTTTTCCATGCCCGTTGCACCAAGGGAAAGCAGCGGGGCAATCGCCAGGGCTTTTGCTGGGCAGTTCCAGCCAAGTTCGGAACAGGTTGGCCCTGGGCGGAGTACTGGTGGGCGGCTAGAAAGCATCAGCATTTTCTGACCCTGCGAGGCAACCGCTTGCCCGTCGCAAGACGAGGCCCATGTGCACCAGTTGTTGTTTCCGTGGTTATAGTGCAGGTCCGCCTTCTCATTGCCACTAATCGGCGAGGGGGGTGTAGTTTTGCGCTGTGATAGCCGTTGCATTTTAGCAATATTTTAACACGATGGTGCATATCGTGCCGTGACATTACCTCGCAAGCCCTCTGTAGTCAGAAAAGAGCGCGTGCTCCTACATGGCTTAACGGTTTACATTCCTTTTTGCTTGTGATTGCAGTCTGGTGTTTCTCTGATAACTATTATTCTTATTATATAATGTTCGTGGATATTTTTGAGAGGCTATTTGGTAGTGTATACTTTATGCCCTAGACCCCAAACCCCAATCCCTTCACCCCAAACCCCTGAACCCCAAACCCTAAGCCCTTACACCCTTAAACCTCTAAATGCCTAAACCCTAAGCCCCTCAGCCCTAAACGCGTAAAGCCTCATCTTATCCTTGCATCCTTGAGGTCTTCATGCTGCTTACGGGCAGGCCTCCTTGGAGCACGTCCCGGGGCTTTGAGGGCATGCGCCGCTGGCCACGATTGGCCACAGCTTGCGGTTTAGGGTTTAGGGTTTCCGAATCATGGTTTTCTGAACTCTGTGAGTAAGCCCAATCTCCGTTTGCGTCATGTCTGGTGCATCTGCCAACGTTCTCCGTGCTCTGTTTCCATGTCTCTGTGTGTAACTGAAGTTTGACTCAGCCCCCTCAGCTCCCCACACGAACCCTCCGGTAAGTGTGCGGTCTTGACGATGTGTTTTTCTGTTAAAGTTGGCTTACCTGTGCGACAAGGGTGTTCATTTGAAAAAGTGCGTGACAAAGGCAAGGACATCAGCAAGGGACTGGTCAAGTGGGACCGGCTTCAGAATGTCTCGGAGCATGCGCTGCTTGCCCTGATGGAAGCACCTTTTTTGTGAAGGTCGGACTGGGCCGTGGCGCATCTTGCGGAGCCTTGTGCAGCCTGCTCAGCCTGCGTCTGGGATTCTGAGGACAGACTTTGTGCAGCAGCTTCTGGTTGTTGACCCCGAGCAGCGCATGACCGTGGCTTGGCTTCGAAGTCGGTTTGGCGCCGTAGAAAAAGGGTTTAGGGTTTAGGGTTTAGGGTTTACTGTTTAGGGTTTAGGGTTTAGGGATGTGCAAGCATGTGCAAGCATGTGCAAGCATGTGCAAGCATGTGCAAGCATGACCTGTGCAGACTCAGGCCGAAAGGGCGCTCCAGCATCCGTGGCTTACCAAGACCGCGGCTTGAGTTGCAACTCAATGCAGGTGGTAATTTGGTTGTGAACTGGCATGCGAAAAGTGGCAGCATGAGTTAGCCTACTTGTACAGCGGTAGACACTGCATTTTTGCGAGCCCGCCGGACCCCACGATGGTACCCTGGTACCCTGGTACCCAACACCGCGATCCCGCAGCGGTACGTGGGCAATGGATGTACGAAGGGTTTGAACCCAAACTTTGCAGAGGATGGCGAGAGAAACGGGAAACCATAATCTGAAAGCATGCTAAACCCAGTTGGCGTCAGGTTTTGGTGAAATGCGCAGAGTTGTATGAGACGAGCTACCTAGGAGTCTAGGAGTTTTTTCCCATGTTCCCATGCGCAACGGCTGTGAACTGTTGCGTCCAAGGACGTCGTGAGGAAGCCCAAGCTGGGCCGCTCCGTGTTGGTGTCGCTTCAACAGCGTTTTGGCGCACATACCTGGGCTTCGTGACATTGGCTGTAGTTTAGGGTTTAGGGTGGTTTAGGGTTTAGTTTTAGGGTTTAGGGTGTAGGGTTTAGGGTTTAGGGTTTAGTAGGGTTTAGTAGGGTTTAGTAGGGTTTTAGTAGGGTTTAGTAGGTTTAGTAGGATTTAGTAGGGTTTAGTAGGGTTTAGGGTTTAGGGACTGTTTAGGGTTTAGGGAATAGGGAACTGTATTATTGAATTCCGCCATTAGGGTCCAACGTCTGCGACTTCTATCCTACCTTCACCACAGTTCATGCTGCTTCGTCAAGGTATTCCTCCAAGTCGAAGATGCAGCGCCTGCTTCTGTCGCGTGCATCCAGATTAGCTTGCTGTGATGGTTTAACCCAAGTGTGCATTTACGTTGGTCATGAAGGCTTGTTGAGGGGTTAGGCATGCCCCAGAATCCCCAGAATGAGAGCAGAAAAACCCCCAAATCACATGAAGCCAAAGAACTTCCAATCCCGAAGCCCCCAAACCCAAGCGCCTCCGTGAGACGCTGAGGCAGCTCCTCGCCCAGGAGCTTCAGCCAGAGGAGGTCAGCGAGATGCGACGGGACCCCAGAGACCTTTCACTGGCCATCCAGGGGGGCGTGAGCCCATGTTCCCATTGGCCAAGGCGAGCTGTTCATGAAGCTGGATTCCGTCCAATGCCCAGGGTGCTTTCAGTTGTCTTCAGTACGTTTGAACAAAGGCGGTGATGATTGATGCGAGTTGATGTGCCGCGGCCCTTGCAATGAGGATGCTCGGGGCACCATCCGCCTGTGCGATCTGAAGGCCAGGCAGAAATGGGAGTCACTGGTAGTTTCCTTGTGCCGATGGGTGCACTTGATGCAATGTCACATTTACTGTGGCATGCATGCTGTTACGTTTTGCCGCTTGTGAGGACGCCATGTGCCGTCACACGCGCAGAGCGCCTCGCCTGCATTAGATACCGCAGCCCCTAAACCCCGCACTCCGTAGACCCCTGTCATTGCCCCATTAACGGGCCGCCTCTGCAAGTGACTCAGAAGGATCAGTTACTTCGGAAGTCTTGTGCGGGTGCAGCTGACAAGACATCTTTCAACTGCCAGGCCCCGCACAACTCTCCAACAATCTCCAGGCGGTTAGGGTTGGGGTCCAGGGCTTCCGGTTTCGGGTGTCGGGTTTAGGGTTTTTGGTTCCCTGAAACTCTGCAGAACAGGGGGCCACAGGACCAAGCAAAGGGAGCGCAGCTCATCGAATGCCAGCCGGAAGCACTTGAGAGGGATGAAGTCGAACCTTCAGTATGTGTGGAGATGACGTAGTTTCGATACTGAGGGATATATGGAGAAAGTAGTCTATCACCCTTACTCTGGCAATACGCCATTCGCTATATCACATGTGGTCAAGCTTCCGCATGCGAATCTGCAGCAGGTGGGCCCAGCATCTGCTCAGCCCCAAATCGCGGGTGACGCGCTCAGATGGCTCCTATGACAATGATCTCCTTTCTCTCTTTCTCTCTTTCTCTCTTTCTCTCTTTCTCTCTTTCTCTCTTTCTCTCTTTCTCTCTTTCTCTCTTTCTCTCTTTCTCTCTTTCTCTCTTTCTCTCTTTCTCTCTTTCTCTCTTTCTCTCTTTCTCTCTTTCTCTCTTTCTCTCTTTCTCTCTTTCTCTCTTTCTCTCTTTCTCTCTTTCTCTCTTTCTCTCTTTCTCTCTTTCTCCCTTTCTCCCTTTCTCCCTTTCTCCCTTTCTCCCTTTCTCCCTTTCTCCCTTTCTCCCTTTCTCCCTTTCTCTCTCACGTGAAGTTGTCAACAAGAGGTGGAACAGCACACTTAGGCATAACACACGTCATCACAGCCGACTGGCTAATCACACCTCTGTTGCTGCGATAAGCACGGCGTACTGTACCATGTCTCAATCTTAATGTTGTTCTTTCCCACTCTGCGACACTTCATGACTACATATTCTTTACTTGCCCTGTGAATCTTTGCGAGCACGTGGCCGCTTCCATCAGTCTCCTCGTGATATTCCAGGGTGAAGATCAAGGCATGCAAGCATGCAGTGTATGTAGTTGCTGATTGAAAGTCTCTGTGTGCTTAGGCCGCGCATCGCCACCGGCTTCGGCAGCCTCCTGTCAAAACCTGCACGGCGGTGTTGCATGATCTCAGTTGCTTTGCTTTGTTTTGCTTCGTAGAAGAGGTTGTCGTTGCCCTTGCATGCCACCCACAATTCTCAGGCGAAGCATCAAGCCTTCAGAGGGAATGAGGTCAGAGCTGCTAGTTTCAGCTGAGGGCAACTGCCCCATTCTTGGGAGCTCCTGCAGACGAGGCATTGACGCAGCACGAGTCAAGCTCGAAACCGGGGCGGTTCACTGAGAGCTTCGACTCGGCAGATATGGGCAAAACTTAGAGCTCGACGCGCAGGCAGAACAGATCTTTTCTATGCTGGATGCCAATGGCGACGAGGAGGTCTACTATTCTGCTCTGCGCTGAGGCTCTTTTGGCTGCTGTGTGTCTTTGCTTCTCGCGTTGTCTTGCATATCTTGCATCATCCGTGAAATCATCAGTTCGATGATCGCCCAAGGACTTTTTGGCTGCAACAGCAAGTGTTCGATGGCAGCTCCGGCACCTTGCCCTCAAGTGTGTGTGTGTGTGTGTGTGGCATTTTGGGCACACCATGGGGTGGCAAGAGTCAAAGAGCACACGTCCTTTAGTTGAGAACCCTTGTCCAGGCGTGAAGTTATGCGAAAGATCTTCAATCGCTTTGACAGAGACCGCTCCGGCGCCATCAGCATGGAAGAGGCAGGATAAACTTATCATCGCCGCCGCTAAAGCGAGCACGATACTCGACTCAAGGACAGCATACTTTCAACTCCACGTGCTGAGCGATTGGTCGCCTCTTTCACCAATCTTGAGCACGCGGGGGGCGGGGTTCCCATCCCATACAGGCGGTAGCCTGTTTGGGAGTTCCGATGGTGAGGGTTATAGTTATAGTATTGTGGGGTAAATTAGGGGAACCCCTGTGGGGACATGCTCGCATGGACGCACTAGAAAGAGCCAGGGGAGGGGTGGGGGGGTGGGGTGGCGACAACGGCATTCCAGTGACAGCTGCAGTCTCCTTCATCCCTTGAAGGTGCGGCTGGTCTTGGAGGAATCCTTGGAGGATGGGAGCGTGGAGGAAATGCTGCGTCTCAGCTAAAAACTTCTTTCGTCGCTCGTTGCCCCACAACTTTGAGTTCACGTAATTTTGCTTTGTCTTGCCCTAACTCTCTGTCTAGGCAAGAGTCCAAAGTGGTTCTTGACAGCAACGGCGAGATCAGTTTTGAGGCACTGGCGTGTGTCCATCGACTCTGGCGTCTAGAGTCTATGATCCTTCGTAATAGCCGGGGTTGTTTTTGTAGACAGTCTTCGCCAGCCAGTTTCAGCAATTTCACTGCCCATTGGAGTGGTGTCTTTCTAGGGTGTCGGTCGTGATGGCATTTCACATGACTCTTCGTAGCCGAGTCTGCAAACAAGCGCGTGGAGCACTACAGAGTTGCGAGGACAGCAACACACGCTTCCCCGAAGAATGGCCATACTGCCTAGCCAACCACCGTGTGTGATTTGCATCGGTGGCCCTGAAGTTCAAACGGTGCTGTGCTTCGTGTCTGCAGGCATTTGTCAACCTCTTCGAGAAGAAAGACGTTCTCCCCGCCTCCGAGCATCATGCGCCCGCTCACCCAGAGTGCTGAGGAGTTGCGTCGCGTTGCACGAAATGCAGGCGGTGGGTGACATGATGACATGCAGCATCCCGAGGCCCCACGCTCTGCCGCGGGAGGATCTCCTCCGCGCCTGGGCCTGGGATGACACGCCAAAGTCACCTGCCTCACACTCCTCGACAAGGACTTGTGACTCTTTGAACATGTTTGAGAGCCCTTTAGCGAATTAGGCTTGAGTTTCGTCGCCTTCGGCCTCGCGACGGACTGCGCCACGTGGTGCCGCGCATTTCTCGTAAATGGGGGGGGGGGCGGGGGGGAGGCGGGCAAAAGAAGACCGGACCGTTCTTGACAAACAGGAGTGTGGGGCAAGCAGCCTGACAAGTACCAACGTGCACCAAACAACCAGCACCAGAGGGATGGTGGGCTCGGGGGGCTCGCGGGGCTCGGCAGATGCAGGTGGCCTCTCGGGTTGGGAGAGGGGGGAGGGGGGCGGGGTCGATGCACTGGCTTGTGCCAGCGACTTGTGAAAGCAAGGTTTCTGAGGCTTGGGTCTAACTCAGAGTGTTCCGAGCCTTTTGCAGTGCGGACTGGCAATGTTGGGAACGTGATGGGCAATGTCGAATACCTGTCGTTTTCCGGCCCCGGCCGAGACCTTCAGCAACAACTCAGTAACCGATGCTGTCGCCATGGCAGCCGCGTCCTTTCATCGAGTCCTCAGCCACAGTTGCGGCGGGGCTGCAGGAGCACCAAGAAAAGAGATCGTTTTAGACGATGCGAATCCGAGCCATAAAAAAGGCTGTGTCAAGCAAGCTGCTTGATGTTTAACTTCACTGTCATGCAGCAGAGTGTGCAGCTGTCCCACACTTCAACGACCTTGGTGGCCTCAGCTGTCAGTGCTCGAGCATTCTCGATGAAGTCACATCAAGGCTCAATCGTAAACAGCCAACAGGAAGTTGAAGTAGCTGCCAGTGGTCAGCCACGTGAGGCACCTCGAACTAGGTCAGAAGCGGGTTGAGCAGAGAGTGGTTGGGATGTGCCAAGCCAACACAGTGCCAGTCTCAGCATCACAGATATTGGGGCGGTGCCGGTGTGGTGTCGGTATGGCGTGTGTCGGCGGTGGGCATGCAGTCCAGAAGCTTCCGTCGTGTTCTGTGAGCATGCTGAGTTGGTAAGGTTCGCTAGGCCATCAAGAAGCTCAGAATGGTTCGTCCATGCGGCTTTGGAGATGTCTGGGACGCTCGAGGTTGCTGTGCTTATAGAGGAGATACGAGGGGCATACGGCATAAAACTGCCAGGACGATGGCCTCCCTTCAACTGCCGACGTCAGCTGTCGCGTGCCCGTTGTGATGGCTCTCGACCGAATCTCAGTCTTGTGCTCGCACTAGCATAGCAGATGAGATCGGCGCTTCACATTCAACATCGTGGCCTCCAGATACCTTCAGAGTACCTTCAGAGTACCTTCAGAGTACCTTCAGAATCCAGCTTCATCAATTTGCTTTTCCCGTGGTGCAGGCGGTCTTGGGCTCGGCCCTCGTGTTGCCGGGCATTCTCTCCAGCTCGCGGTGGAGGCTCGGCTTCTCGGCTGGCGTGACTGGAGTGCGCAGCTGCGTACCTGTAAGTAGGGTCGTCCTTCGCTGAGGTGTCCTTTTGCAAAAGGGCGGGTGAGATTAGCCGAAGTAGCTCGAAGCAGAGAAGCATAGACATATCATAACATGGGCTCCCTTCATGACCCCGTCGACTTGAAGCCGCAGCTGATCTGGCTTGACTACGAGCGTCCTTTCGTCCATAACTCCATTCTGCCGATGGCAGAAACGTGAGTTGAGTGTTAGCTTTTCGATACTGGAAATTCACATCATTGGTCCGATGGCCAAGACGGGGCCGAGATCTGTTTCCGCTGTCATAGAAGACATTGGATATGGTCCCAGCCAGTTCATTACGAGCTTTGTTGTCAACGGCTCCTGGTTGGCAGACGGAGCAGAGCTTCTGGTTTTGAGCTCAATATCTGCGAGTTTATCTGACGACTGGAAGCTTACTGCAATCCAGCAGGGGTGGTTAATGTGCCTTGGCAAGCGTGGAGCCGTGGAGCTGATGTTGTTCCATAGGGTCGGCGGGTGGTTTTCCGTGTGGTTGCGACATAATGATTATTAGGGGGGCGGGGTGGGGGTTCGAGTCCCGTGGGTCATTAAGGGTGGTTAGGGAAGATGCTTGGAGGGGGCCTAGGTTGAGATTGGACAGGGTGGCCTGTCCTTGAGGCCAGCAGTTCCTGATCCTTCTCCAAAGATCCCCGCTTGCCCCCAACTCGATTGCCTTTGTTCGGCTTTCGGTACGCCTTGGGTGAAAGGGCTTTCAGCGGGCGCCCTTGCAAAACGAGGCTCCGACGATCGCGTGAGGCCCCCCACCCGTTTTTTTGGCAGTTTCAGGTGCTCCGAGCACAGTGTCGAGTTAATGTTGAGGGTTCATGCTGAGGGAGCCGGGAAAGGGTGGCGGTAAAGACCACCTGAACATGTGAAACCGGCTCCAAACTAACAGTAACCAGAAACGCCTGAGCGAAATGTCGAGGTTGGGTGTTGGGTCATGGCGAGCATGCTGTGGGAGACGTTTCGCACTAGCTCTCAAATTGTTCGCCATCCACTTCCAGCCAAGCAGCTATGTAGGTTCGACTGCGCTGTGGCGCACAACCCGCCCCGCCTTACTGCCTCACCGAAGTGAGCAACTCCAAGAGTGCCCTGGTTTGACCACCGAGGTCCATCGTTTACTTGGGCGTTCTTCTCGGAAATGTGTTGAGTGGCATCCTGGGTGACGCACTGGGACGCCGCCATGCTGTACTGGTTTGCCCCCTGGCCTGAAATCCAAGCGTTCCGTACTTCACCTGTCCACGTCCCCAGGGCCCCCTGCTTCTGCATGAACTCTGATGTGTTCAAGATTTGCTGACAGCGGCCCATGACACAACCATTTGCATACAGCCGGCTCGTCCAATTTCTCAGCAGGTTTCTCAGCTGTGCGAGTCACCCCAATATAAACAAGACGCCCGTCGTTCGTTGTGATGGCCAGGCTTTCCTTTGGTGGCTCTGCTCAGCGCAGCAAGTGCCGGAGCACCTCGGCCTATCTTCGCTTGTCCTTGGGCTTGGAGCCGCGCAGCCTAGACGGGGAGTGTTTCTGCAAGAGGGCCCAGCAGGGATGTATGGAGCTTCGGTGATTGACAAGAGAAAAAAGTGTGCCCACAATCATATGGCTGCATAAAGGGCACACTGACGTCTGGAGCCCCATGAGTGTGTGCAAAGGCCGAGAGCTTCTGGATGCTCTTGCCCTTGCGCTTCTTCGTTGGGGTGGGCTTCGGCACCGGGCAGCCCAGTGCAGTCGCCATTTTGATGGAGGCTTGGTAGCCCAGGCGCACCATCTTGCCTTTTGTTTTCTCCATGGGTTCCTTATACACCGGCAACCCACCCAAAAAGGGTTAGCTGATAATGTGGCTGCCGGGCTACCAAGGAGATCTCACCGGTGCAGTCCAGGGCATTGAATCAAGGGCTGGCGCAAATGGCCTTCGCACTGGGAGAGCTCTACTGCTGCCTAGTCCTGTCCTCAACGTGATGCGATTTATGGAATAGACCTTATTTTATAATATGACATGCTGAGAAGGTCTGCACAAGCATGCACAAACTCATCTGGCAAGTTGAAGGTCATGTGGCTGGATGACCCTACGTTGCAGCATCTGAACTGGAGACGGATGCTAATGGCCAATGCTGCTCCAGCAGTGTTCTTTTGGCTCCTTGCTTGGGTTGTTCTTCGGGAGTCTCCTGTTTTTTCTGCCGTGAGAGGCAGGCGTGAGGAGGCTTTGGCAACTTTAGATTCCATGCGACGGGTCAACGGGCGTCCCAACGTCGACATACAGTTTGGCAGCGAGGAGGCCCAAGGCCTTGGCGGCCAAGCATCATTTTGGGATCAGCTGCCGACCATCCTCACCTCCTCGACTGCTGTTCTTTGCCTGGTATGTTTCTCCTACAATCTGACGGTCTATGGTGCATTCACGGCGTTCCCTCAGCTTCTACCCCAGTTGCTGAAGCAAACGCACGAAAGCCCCGTCTTTGTTCTGGCGAGGGGTGCCTTTATCGAAATCCCCGGTGATGTGTTTGGTCTTGTGGCTGGCTTAGCGCTTCCACGAAAGTGGGTGCTCTATGGCTACTTCGCCGGCTTAGGCATCTCCAGCTTGTTGTGCTCTGGCAGATCTAAGCATTCCACAATCATAATGTGGGTTGGCGTATTTGGGTGCGCTGCAGGGTCAGGATTCTGGGTGGATTTGACTAGTCAGGCACATGAAGCTGTATGTGTTTCTCCCGTAGCTGGCTGCTTTCCTGTAACCTTGCTGATCGGCTCCAGTCGATCCCGAGACTCCCCTCCTTCTGGAGCTTGCCTTGCTGAGGTTCTGCAGCAACAACGAGTCGTTAATTCTGTGGGGTTACTATGGCAGCAAGGCTTTTCCTCAAGTTGGCTCGGTGTCGCTCTACATCCTTGCTGCTGAGAGCTACCACACCGTCGTCCGTGCCTGTGGAACAGCAACTGTCCTGAGCTTTGGTCGGATTGGAGCATTCGTTGCGCCCTTGTGCTATGAGTTCCTTCTCAGTACTTTCGGAACGCACCAAGCATTTTTCTACCTGTCAGCTGGGCTGATGCTCACATGCTTTGTCTTGACAGCAGCATTCGTAACGGAAACCTTCCGCGGAGTCCTTTTCTACACGGATCCGACCTTTGCAGAGACCATTCCCATCGCCGCAGACTGCAAAGCCACGCATGGCACGATGCCTCGACGGGAAGACCTATCTTGCTGAGTGTGGATGCAAGATGACGCAAGCTGCTTCTGAGTTCGGCAAAACAAGCTAGGATTCGCACTGCTCAACCCAAGTTCTTTCTCAGAAAGATTTCTCAGAAAGAGAGTGCTCTTCTGTTGGTACTTCTCCGCAGGCAAGTCGAGCCGAGCCATGTTTGCGGGCATGCTTCTTTGCAGGACTGGCAGCGTTTCGGCAAGCATCCTGCTCGCTGCACATGTAGCTCATGTTGTCAGAGAAACAATCGCTCCTCCTCGTTCTTGCCTTGAGACACTTCGCAACCTAGCTGTGCGGAGGACCTGGAACAGTTGGGTTTGCCAAATGTCCCTGAGTTGCATTGCAATCGCACGTCTGGAATGCGACCTGTGTTGAGAACTTTGCCGGTGATTCGAATATTAAATGTACATGTATGTACATAATATATATATATATATATATCTATATATGTGTGTATATGTATGTCTCTCGTATCTGGTTACTTATGTTTCTGGCGCAGAGTCGAACCCCCCCCTTCCCCCGGGATCCGGCCAGCCTGCGGACCTTCTTTAGTGGGGTGGGTGGGTTCAGGGTTTAAGCGTTTGGGGGTTTAGGGGGTCAGGCTTCAGTGTTTCCCGCCCGCTGGAATCCATGTAGATTTTTGAAAACGAAAGAAGCAACAAAGGTGGAAAGCGCCGAACTTAATCTTTGAAACTAAATCGTTCCAATGGTTTTGAAACCCTTCAAAATTGAAGGTTCCGTCCTTCCTGCTCGTTCTTCAATGATATAGTTTTGTTGTTTTATTTAGTTTCTTCGTTGACGTTGGGACTGGGGGCCCGGTCAGGGCCCGTCACGTCTCTGTTCGGTAGCTGCTTGTTCGAGTCGCAAGAACAAGATGAACAAGATAAGTTGTATTGCACGTGCCAAAAAGCATTGTTAAGATGTAGCACGTACGTTACAATATTTTAGTACTGGTGCGTGATAATGCGGCGGCCTTTAAAGTTCCTTGAAAAGCAGTCACTTAGTAAGTCCAGGGAAGATACTAATGGTTACGAGTAGTACTGTAAACATCCGTAAACACCCCTTAAATAGCAAGGAATGACAATTCTTAAGAGGGGCACGAAGGTAGGAGCCGCTTCGCCGCTTCTGTGGTCAGTAACTATGAACTCTCCGGAGGCTTGTCTGCCAAATCCCAGTGCCTCTCTTCGCTGCCTCTGGCTGTGTACCCGAAACCCTAAAACCCTCAACCCGAAACCCTAAAACCCGATGTGCTGGAGAGATTGAGCTCAGCTTTTTGGACACGTTTCCGCTGCGCCTGTCGCGCCAGCTTCGGAGCTGACGCTTCGGCGTTGGCAATGTTAGCACCAGCAGCCTTTTCTAGGGGGTGGGGATTTAGGGTTTAGGGCTTCGGGTGTAGGGTTTAGGGTATTATAGGGGGTGCACGGAGTTTAGGGTTTAATTGGGGGTGGCAGGGTGGGGTGGGGATGGATTGGGGTCCCGATGGTACCCACACTGGTGCGGAGCCACGTGCACATATTTATATGCGCATACGCTTGTGTATATATACATATATATATATATATATATACATATACATTGTGTTATTGCAGTTGTCTAGTTGCAGTTGCGTGTGTGCTGGTATTGCCAATGTATTATGTCGTGTTGTGTTATATATTGTACATTACATATTGTACATACTACTTTGTTACAATGTACTTTCTAGTGTAAAGTATTGTTGTTTTTTGTATTACACATGGTTCATATTACTATGTTATATATAATAGGCTCCAGGGGTGAACCCGGCCCCTGCGTTTTGGCACTTTTATTCTGCATGAGGTACGCGACGTCGCGTCCATCGTGCATGTCGACACGCTCCAGGGGCGAAGGGTTTGTTTGCTATTTCAGTGTTGTGGTGCTGTCCACAAAAATACCCAAGAAACCAAAACCAAAAAAACCAAAAAAACCAAAACCAAAAAAACCAAAAAAACCAAAACCAAAAAAACCAAAAAAACCAAAACCAAAAAAACCAAAAAACCAAAAAAACCATTATTCAGGAAGTCTCCCTGTAAGAGTTCCTAGGAAATGGTTTTTTGGTTTTTTTGGTTTTGGTTTTTTTTTGGTTTTTTTGGTTTTGTTTTTTTTGTTTTTTTTGTTTTTTTTGGTTTTTTTGGTTTTGTTTTTTTGGTTTGTTTGTTTTTTTTTTATTTTTTCGGTTTTTTTTTGGTTTTGTTGTTTTTCGTATGGAGCAGCGTATGATTCATGAAGCTGTTTGCTATCAAAGGTCAACCTGCACACGTTAGTGTAGTGTCTCTAGTGCTATGTCGCGACGCGAGCTGCCACTAGACATCCAGAAAATCATTCGAGACTATCTTGTGGGACCCTTAGCATGATAAAAGATTCGGCTTCGGTAGTGCTCTGCTATGGTATGTCGTTTTCTTTTAATATACATATATATATATGTGTGTTTCTCTTTGTGTGAAATGCAAGAACCTCCTCAAGATCGTCATCTACAACATGTGCCGTCTGCACCGACCGAATGGGCGACTTACATTGGTACTTGTGAAGATGCTGCCCACCATGCGACAGCATGCCATAACTTGGATTGGCCGGACTCGAGCTGGCAAATCCTTGGGATCCAAAACTGTGCTGTTCATGCAATCGAAATATGAGATAGAGGCAGCTGAGCGCACGGACCTCATTCCCTCCATTGTGACGGCGAAACATCTCGATTTCTTCAAATCGGAGCCGCTCACGAAGTACAAGCCTGGAGTATTCGATGACGGGATGCTCCAGCGCATGGACTCCTCATTCTTGAAGGCATTCCTGAACCCCTCTGCGTCTTGGCTTCTGTATTCATACTTGCATGCTTCTGCTAACACAAACCTCATCTGCAAAATTCAATCCCGCACGATGCAACGCATCTCATTCCTGCCAGGAAGAGGATGCCACCGTCTGGGCACGCTACTCTTCTGCGCAATTTGATCAAGGGTCTGGACGACATGCTTGCAATAATCCCTATGACCGTAGGATTGACGACGAGATGTTTGGTAGTATGCAGAGGAACAAGTTGTGGAGGATCCCCTACGACAAGTTTCTACAGCTAATCCAGCCATCTTTCTGTGCAGTTGAAGATCCGGAGGACATGGACGCAATTATGGCACGCACTCACCTCATTGTCATCACAGATCATGGCCTGTACTTCCGCGTAGCGAACACAAGCAAGGATCATGTGGACTTCATCCGTTGGGAGGAGAATGCGCCCAAGGATTTGTTGTTTCCGTCACAAACCTGGGTTTTCAAGCAATACAAAATGAACCCCGACAAGCATCAACTTCCGCCTTCTTACCATGAAGATTGTCTGTGGTCCCAAGAAGTTCTTCGACGGCTTCTTCACGGTGAGTCAATTCCGACTTCATGTACCATTCGCACTCCACGTGGGCTCTTTGGTGATGCTGCGTCCGAATCCAAGCTGGGACTTATGCACATCAACACAGTACATATATAAAGGACCGCTGGGTAACCGTTCAGTTTTAACGTAGTCGCATCTGTAAGGTCTACACGTGACGTTCATGCACATCTGCTTCCTGAACCGGACCTTCGCGTCAAAGTCAAGAAGGAAAAGGTTGATGCAGCTTTTCGTTCCCTCAAAGGTCAGGCAGTTACAAATCCCATCGACCTGGACTCGCCGTCTCCCAAGAAGTCCACCGCATCCTCGTCCACTTCAGACATGCCGTTGTCAAAGCGTGCCAAACTCACCGATGCTGTTAGCGTAGCAGCGCCGTCCAATCCTGCTTCCCCTATTCTTGCTCATGATGCTGACATAGACGATGATGATGTCATGCCACAAGTTGGTCACGTCCCAGACGATATGGAGCAGGAACTCGAGCGAATGATGGACGAGGCCGACAACATGGATATTGCCGAGTGAGTGTGTGAATACCGGCGTAGGCGCACGACAGTTTTGTACAAAGCCTGGTCTCACGCATAGCCCGGCTTTGTCGTACGTCAGTCCAGCATCTTGTATGAGTGCCGGCATGAGCGCGCAGCAGTTTTGCACAAAATATGGTCTTACGCATAGCCCGTCTTTGTCGTACATCAGTATAGCATCTATATGGTACCCATGTCAGTCGATGCTCATGATGTTCACCTGACTTCTCCATGTTGTTGTGTAAGTGGCTCGAGATATTATAGTTATTTCTTTGTTCACAATGGCATGCTATGCAGATTGGAATGCCTTCCGAGCCGCGGTTTCGTCTGCAGACCTTCTCAACAGGACCCAATTCTTTGACATCGTGAAGTACAGTCGTGTTCGTGATACTGGTGGCCTCCCGGATACCTTTGGTACGCGAGCATTGCTCGCAGCACAGGCTTTGCATCTTGTGCCTCCTGAGCGTGTTTGTCCGGGTTGTCAGACGCCTTACCAACTACGCTTCAAGAGCTCACGATATCGTTGGATTGGAGCTCGGTATGAAACCCAAGGCTGTCTAGAGTGTCTAGACCAGCAGCCTGAGGCTAGCTCAATTGGATTCCTCTCGAACGTGAAGCAACACATGTGGATGCCTAAATTGGAAAGTTTCATGATGTGGATATATGAATATCCTCGACAGCAAATTCTTCGCGAGTTGCATCCCACTGACCACAAGCGAATTGATGCTTGGACCCAATCCTTCCAGCAGACATTGAGTGCATGGTACCAACTACAACTCAACCAGGGGTTCGACGGTCCACTGTTCCAACGTCTTAACGCTGCATCTTCCAAGCGGTCTCGCCGTGCAGTTACGAAGAAACCTGCTTCAAAGGCCTTCAAACGACCATCAGCATCTTCGAGCCAGACTACATTGAAGCGACCTTCGGCATCTACTATGAAACGACCAAGTGTGAAAAAAACACATATCAAGTTTGCGGGAAAGGCTCGTATCTTCATCGCTGATGAGACGCACTTGAACAAACGCAAACGAAATGCTCTCTCTCGCAATGGTCGCCCGCAGCGAGATCAAGTATGGCTTTGGGGGGCCGTGCTACATGAACACATCAAGACTCATTTCATCTTCAGGATCTTGGACCATCCTGATGATGCTTTGGACGGCAAACCTCGTGGCCACAAGGAGATGCTTAAAAACATCCAAACATTGGGATTGAGGCGAGGAGATATCTTTGTCTCCGACAAGTGGAAGGCCACGGTCTCGGCATTCAACTCTTACAAGAACACGAACAATTTCTCCGAAGCGGATGTTCGCCATGAGATAGTCAACCACAGTCAGGGAGAGATTACCAATTCCAATGGCTTCTCTACAAACGCCATCGAGTGCAAGTGGTCCGTAATTAAGCGTTGGATCCGTCGGCGAATGTCCGGGATCCTACCGTCGCATTCAGATCGCCAAAAATGGCGTCTCCTCATAGATGAGTATCAGGCCCGCAGCTTGCTCACAGCGAACGGCCAACACTCTTTTGATCACGGTAACCTCATCACAGTACGCGTGCGCGATGTCGTACGTCTTTTCCAAGTTGCCTGACAGTATCGCTTGCCTCGTCGAACAATATCTCGCGCTTCAGATGCTTGAAAGATATGCTTTGCAGCTGATATCTCTTGCCATCACCTTGGATATGCATTGCACGCAAACCTGCATGCGCTTGTCTCTGTCCGCAGCTATGAACACATCAAAACGAGTGAGTTCGTTTTGTGTATTTATATAAAGTGCCAAAACGCAGGGGCCGGGTTCACCCTTGGAACCATATAATAATATGTTGTAGTATTCTTCGATCATATTGCGTTAGACAATAGTCTGTGGCTGTATGTATTCATGCATTGCATGAAAATGTATGTTGTCTTGCCTTGTCTTGTTTTGTCTCATCTGGTCTTGTCTAACATGATACGTGCATGGCCACCAGCACGAAATTTGCCGTATTGATTGCACTTCGACAGCCGACTGAGGTCACAGCTGTGAACTGGGGCCAATGGCATGGTCCATACGCCTTGCCTCCTGAACGTCTAATCTTGTGCGCTTCCGGGGCCGCCTTTCTGTGGCTGCAAGGAGGTCGGGCGGTAACTCATGTGATTCTCATTGCGTCGCTGAGACTCTTGACCACTCCATTTGCCCCTGGCAGATACAAATCCGCTACCGCACTCCGGCTGCAAGGATATGGCTATGGAGAATCAGGATTAGCACATGGCCAAACCCGCTACATTAGAAAGGTGCTGCTGCGTCATGAAGTCAACTTGAGCAAAGTATGAGCATCGAGCTTGTCAAACGGTGCTTATGGAAGACAGGAGGGCCCGATAATGCTTCTACGGGCAAGTGTCGGAAAGGAGAAACCTGGCAAGCTACCCAGGAGATTACAAGGGCGCGTAGAGGGGAGTGTAAAAAGTGCTGGTGTTCGTACGATTTCGCAAAAAAAAGTTCTCGGGCATCCCGGCAATTATTGCATGGACAGGGTGACAGGAGTCTAGTCTTTGGCGCCATGAAAGGCATGAACGCTTGTGACAGCACGTTTTGCTCCAGAAATGTCAAACATCCTTGTGCAAAAGCAAAGAGGCAAAACGTTGTACATCCCAGTGTTTTGGGCATGTTTGCCAAAGGTAAATATGAACGCTCCTGACAGCGTGTCTTGTTCCACAGGTGTGACAAGCGCTCGTGCAGCATGTTGCGGAAAGCATGTTGCGCAAAGACTCAAAAACCCGGTACACATCCCCTCCCTCTCCCCGTCCCCCGCCCCCTCCCCCTATTTCCCTTTTCCAGGGCAACCAGGGCAACCACTGAGATGTGCCAGTCGAGACTCTCACTGCTTCAGCTTTCAGGCATGTATGAAGTGAGAGAGGGGGTGAGGTTGTCAACCAGTGTGGAGCAAGAGGGAGCGCGCAAACACGTGAAAACTACGTACGTAGCGAGAAGACGTGCTTTGATTGGAGCTTGGAGCTTGTGAGCCGGGTTCGTGTCATGATTTCTGAGGTTGAACCACACATTGGTCTCATCCCTTTTTTTGTCATTGCCGCGGATGTGGCCGCAAGAGAGACTTGAACAACACGGGAGTTTCATTTGGAGACTTGCCTTAAAGCGACGATGTGCAATGCCACCGTCTGTCTGTCTGTCTCCTCTGTCTGTCGGTCTGCAGATTGTTGTTGCCAACGCAATTTGACATCCAGCCATCCCGCAAGGATTCTAGACCGGGACTATAACCTGATCATTGCACCGACAATGCAAGAGCCACTGAGCTATGTACCCTTGCATTTGATTGCCCCTTGCAATCTTCATTTGCTGGTCGTGTACCTCCTGAATGTGTTCGGGACTTGAGGCTGCCTGGCAAGGGCCTTCGTGAGGTGAAGCACGGTGACCTGTGCCCTGGGAAGGCGTGTCCGCATGTCCTTCGCAGTCATTCTGCATTTCTGAGGGGATCATCGCAGGAACTCTGAAGAGCTTTGCAGAGCTTCTCTTATCGTCATGGTGAAATCTGTTGGACACAATATGGAATATACTATAAAGTACTCACCTTTGACTTGAGACACTGGCGTGCCGGCCGAGATCGATTGCGGTGACATGAGACTCCCGGATTCCTTGATTGCCCCTGGCGGTTAGCGCAACCCCACGTACTTGGCCGGACCTGTTCTGTGCCAGAACTTCTTCGGGGAGAACCACGTTTCTGGCCCATACCGAGGAGAGTGCCTGTATGGAGTGCAGTTGTCAGTCGGCCACGTGAGCACAAATCATGAGTGTAGGCATTGCTCGACTGGGTGGGGAGTTCAATCTTGCCGGCAACGGCAACGGCTGCGCAGCTTTGATAAACGGTTTGTTCCATATCTGATGTTCGCTGCTGCGTCTTCCTGCCCAACTTTCGCAGCGAGCAAATTGCACAGCAGCCTGTATTCAGGCGCATGTTTGTGTTCCCAACTTCCTATGTCCTATGACAAGTATGTGGGATCTGAACTGAGGTTCTGAGTGGGTTATGCACGCTAAGTCTGGATATACGGCGTACCGCGTCTCGCCAGAGACAGCTGCCGAGTACTACCACGCACAGCGAGAGGCTGCGCTTCTTCTGCTGGCTGCACTCCTTTGCAATCTCTTGCACGGATGTGGGTCAGGGTGTGTGAGGACCGCAAGTTGGCAGCTAGTTCAGCTAGTTAGGATATGATATGATGGCTTTGCAGGGGTCGCTACTAGAACTCGTTCCCAGCATTGTGCGCAGGCAGGCAGAAACGAAAGCGACATCGCTCGCAACTTCCAGAGATGTACTGGCCTTAGCGAGACCAAATGTGCCCATCACACTGGAAGAATCCTTGCAACATGATATCGGTATATATATATATATATATATTTAAGGGCTAACGCCGCTGACGCCGACCCCGCAAAAGGGGCGGCCGGCTGTTTGGGATTATGTAGAGATACATATACACATGTACAAGCCCCCTAGCATGTCGGCATTGTGGCCGAAGAGCGCTCGCAGCCATCAGCACCGCAAAGTCGTGCATGCGTATGTATAGACATATATAGTCTTGAAGACGATGAAGTCCCACGCGTATGTATGAACGAAGAAGAAGAAGGAAGTAGTTGAGCGTGCTGATGCCCTTGTCGCTCCGCAAAGTTTGAACAGATGGGAGACTGCAGCTGAGTAGGATGCAGACGTCTTTTTAGGTTGGGGCGTGGTCACCAGGGTGGGAGGGCAAGGGCGGGTAGGGGGGCGGGGTTCAGGGCTTTCGGGTGGGGGTGGGGTGGTGGGGGGGTGGGGTTGGGGGGGGTGGGGGGGGGTGTTGTGGGGGGTGGGGGTCCACTTACCATGCAAGGGGCTTCCCCGGCGCTCGACCCAACAGCGGGGTCGGCGGATATGCATGAAATTCGTGTGTTTGCGATCGCCTTTGCAGTTTGAGGCATCCGCCGCATAGTCGAATAAGCCATCGCGAGCATGTCATGTCGCACATACACCTATACAAGCTCCTTGCCATCTTGCCCTGTATTGGGTTTCCAGCATGTTCCACAGAAACATTTCTTGAATGAGTTTTACTTTACTGCAAACAGAGTGGCGGAACCCAGATACTCTGGACTCACCAGTGGTACAGGCCTGTATACATGCTTTCGTGACAAGAGTAAAACAGCCCGCAAGGCTTTGCCACGAAATCCGCGGTCGAGGTTTTAGCGCACGTTGGAATTCAATAGGGTGACCGCAAAGTAGGGTTTTTTTGCACAGAGCGTAGAGAATTTCACGGATCTTTTTTGGGGAGGGGGTTGGGGGGGGGTGGGGCACCAAAACCATGTGGCGCATGGGCCAGTAGTGCCGTTGATGAAAAGCTGTTCCAAGTCATTGTTAGCTGTTAACTGATGATTTCTTTGTAGCGAATGCCGTAACGCCGCACTAGCCAAGGTGTGTTTCGTCAGATCTTTCGTGCCAAAGAACCTCTTATGCGACTGCTGCTTGCCAAGCCTATGAGCTTTGACACGATCCTGCTCAGATTTTATGAGGTCTAGGCCGCAGCTGAGTTGCTGGCTCCGCATGTGTAGCCATTGTGCGTGAGGCTCTGCTTCTTGCACACCAAACTGTCTGTCGACGCATCACTTGGTGACGTTCGGCCGGGAGCACAGTGAGAGAATGACAGCACCGAGACAATCGGGAGGAGGAAGAGATCCCTAAGATGACAGCATGGCATGCTCGTTCAACCTTGGTTTGTCCACGGAATTGTAAACACAGCGCGTTGACCGCCTCGGCGCTCTGGTGCTTTGCGAGTTGCGAAGCGCTCTTCGCCTCGGATTTGGCTACCAGTGGCTCCTCAAAAACCCTGCTTGCGTGAAGCTCGACTTATTGCGTCGAGACCCGAAACATCGCCAATCCCTGAGCCAACTCTGACTGACGGTTGCGCTGGGGGGAGGAAGGAGGTCTTGTTGGGAAGGGATGGGAAGGGAGTTTAGGGGGTCAGGGTCCCCAGCAAGTCTCTGGAGAGGTTTTCACAAGTCCTGAGGTTCTCTGGGGACTCTGACACGGGGGTGGCCCAGGGTTTTCTGATTCTCGGGGTTCCGAGCTAGGGGGTCCCAGAAGGTCGCGCGGGTCGTTGCGCTAAGATGGTGCCTCTCTGCTCGGCAAGTCATAAACTCTAAACTTCTAAACCCTAAACCCGAAACCATACACCCGTCCGGACTTACACCAAGGAGGTGCGACATTCGATCCGTGGCCTCGGGAGGCTGGCTTGAGCTGAGATCGCTATCAGTTTGCAACGATTCAGCCTTGCTTCGTAGGATTGCCAGACCTGCAGAGCTGCATCTTGGCATTCTCGGCACAAATGTTTCGGGGAGGAGAGCAAATTAGTTTGTCGGGCCATGGTTCGAGATTCTGCCTGCACAAAGCTCACTGCTACAGAGAGCCCTGCAAGGCCGTATCATAGGCTAGAATCTAGATGAGGCGCCTCATGGTTCTGTGTTGTCGTTTGACATGTCAGTTTAAGGCGCGATTCGGGTTTGTTTTTCTCGGGGGTACAATTTGGGCGTGGCCCGGCCGCCTCCTTTTTTTGGCTGCGGACCAGCACGACCGGCCTCGATAAAAGAGAGAAGATAGCAAAGGTAGAATACAGTGTGAAGAAAGTGAACAGAATGAATAAAATGAATAATGAATTAAAAGTGAAAAGATCAACGCACGAATAGGAAACTCTCTATCAAGCGCAACCGCCCAAGTCATGTGACCTCCCTCCGCCTTCCTACACTGGAGCTTTCGTCGCCTCCCGGGGCTTAAGTTTCGAGTTCCTGCCAACTTTAGTTTCGAAGGCACGCTAAAGCCGAGCGACGCCTTGGGCTGCAGCATGCGGAAGGCTCGGCTATCACTCAATACTTCTCAGGTCGTGGTGTGTGTTCTTGGTGGTAGCAGACCCCATGTTTTGGGCAGCTACAATGCAAGAGGCCGAATAGCTATGTGTGTTTCCCCCAAACATCTAGGGCTGCTTCTTGTCTTCGCGCTATGGAGAAACCCATTTACCGCATTGAGGCTCTCGTGGCCATTAATAACATTTCTTGACTATTTGTTGATCACTAGACTTGGACTCTAGGCAGGTCAGCAGGTATTTGCTAGACTGCACGGCAGCGTAGCAGTCTTCATTTACCACCGGTATGGGAGCCTGTTGATGCTCAAAAGTTGGCAAAACGAAATTGCAATGCAAGGCATTGGATTGAAAACACGTTTGGTTGCTAGCTAGCTTGACGAAGAATCAAGACACCCAGAGCTCTAGCGTGTGAGTTTGGCTTCTTTTTTTTCAACCACCTCTCAAAGAAGGACATTCACAGCAATCAATCCCAGGCTCCCTGCAATGAGAATCCAGAATGCACAAGTTCAATTGCATGGTTCAAAGGGCTTTTGGCTTAAAACTGGCTTGTTAATGTTGGACACGCATGTTTTTTGGAATATACACACCAAACCCTGTCACTGTGTCTCTTCCTGTCTCTGTGTCTTCTCTTCCCATGCTGTGCAACTGCGTGCAGACGTTTTGTAAAGCACCTCAGACCATTGCTGGTTTCTTGCTGCGCATCACTTTCAGATAATGTAGATGTAGGCCGACCCAGCTTCGGTGGCCGTGGTGCACCTGATCGATTGGCATCTCGTCATGCACAAGCCTTGAGCTTGAAACATCGAGACATGGCGAGCCTTCGAGTGGATGATTTGATCGTGATAGATCCAGCAAGCAGCGAAGGTACGCGCCTGGGCAAGACAGCCACTCAGATGGCTTCGGTGTTGCTTAGGATGTTAAAGCCTTGGATAGGTAAGCAAGTACACTGCAAGTGCAGCTGAAGAAAAGAGTCTTCCAGTTGGAGCCAGATTGTGCTAGCACACCAAGACCTCACCGAGTTGGCGGTTCGAGCATGAAGTGATGTTTAGCTCTATCGGTTCTGGCATTCGTGCCTGAACTCTTCGACCTTAACCTTTGCCCTTCCAAAGAGGGCGCGTCGGACATGTACGCCCTCCCTTTGGCTGTTTGTGAGTTGTGTAAATTGTATGCGTTTTGAAGAGCACTTAAAGTGTCCAAAGCCAAGGGTGCAATCTAACCACTGAAGACTTCGGCGCCGACTTGCAGAGAGTGGGAGAGGACGTGTTGCGCGACCGGGCGCGCAAGAAGCTCCCTTTGGTTGCACTTCGTATCTGGCGGGCAGGTGTGCCCCTCAAGCGATGAGTTGCGTAAGCTGTACATGGACCCGGATCAGTCCCAACATGCTATTGTGCGTCTAAGTGGGACCGCTCGGATGTCTGCGTTCATGTTGGGCCTCTGTTGACGCAGAAAAGCTTGAGGCTCGCGATATTTTGACATGTGATGCAAGCTGCTACACATGTATTGTGATGCACTATGCACGCGCACGCAAGGATAATTAAGAACATCCTTCTGCGTCCGCTTCATTGTTTTCAGTTTCCCCGCTCCCTGTGCGACATGAACCTTGAAGGGGGTCAATTCAGGGCTCAGGTAGAGCGACATGGGGATTTCTAGCATCAAGGTTTTCTTGGCCGTGAGGAACGCGGACCTTAGCCTGCATGACGCTTCATCTCTCAGACTCTTAGAACCTCAGAGTTTGCATGCGGGGCCTTGCAAAAAAACAAAAAAATAGAGGCAAGTAAAGGTCCCTCGACGCACGATCATTGCAAGCGTGCATGCTTTGGCATTGCCAAGGGCATGGACAACGAAGCCCTGCTGACCTTGCACCACATGCACCACATGGTGCAGACGTGCGGAAGGTGGCAGCTGAAAACTGCAAGCCGGGTGATAGCCGCTCGAAGTCCAAAGTGGTCCAAGAGCTTGCGAGGTGCAGAAGCGCATCAAGGGCTTGAGGAAGCACTCCTGCTTATTCTCTCCAGAGGCTTGGCCAACACTTGAGACCTGGTGACCGTTACGGTGTCATTTTGGGACCAGCAGTTGCCCGGATCAGCAGGCCATTCTCACGATTTTCACGTCAGAAATGTGAAAAACATAGTTGGCAGAAATGGCACATCCTAAGGAATTCACGAGCCGGCTTGGCTGCAATGTCCACGGCTGTTTCGGGGAAGGCTTCACAAGGCTGCCAAGCTGGCAAAGCACAGATGCCCTCATTAGCTTCCAAAGCTACCTATGTCACCCCCAGTTGCGCGGACATTGACTATGCGCCTTGCTACACGGCCCTGCACAGAGGAAGCTCAAAGCTGTTGAACAGCGCCTGGCTGATGATCCTCTGGAAGCTTCGAGGCCTCGCCACGGTCAGTCAGCAATGTTGCACGCGCCGCGCCAGTCAGGCCTGATCATGCCATGAGGGTTCTGAGGCTTTGGGAGGTGGCTGCCCAAGCCTGGAGCCAGTGCCAGCTTTGAGGTGCGCAGCCGCTTGGCAGAGTATCAGGGTATCGGATCATGTTAGTTACTTAGTTATATTGCCTAACGTGAGCTTTGCCGACATGTAGCAATGAGCACATCCCGTGTCAGGCGGCCGACTGGACGAAGCAAAGCTTCACCAGACTGGTCACAGCTATTGCTGTGTTCCAAGGTGCTTTGTCCCGAAAATTCTCACTCGTTTTCAGAAAGACTCGGCAGTGCCCAGGCTCAGCAGTGTGTAGAATACAGAGCTACGTTCCCATGAGGCACTGCAACTGGACAGACTGTACAGCTACATCTTGTACAGCACGAAGAATAAGAACTTGTTGCGGCAGCAAACTTTGTCCCCAGTTAGTTGTTGCCGTCCTGATTCTGCAGGAAGAGAAGCGCGCTTACAGAGAGCGGTCTTCCAGTGGCAGAATTTAGCGCTTGGTTGCGCATAATGCGCTTTCAGTGCACAATAGAGCGCATTCCCAGGAACAGCTGGGAGATACATCTGCACATACCTGCACAGGGTCACATCCTGAGAGGCAGCCCGGCTTTGCGATGTTGGCTTGTGGCTCCGAGCTTTGCCATGGCTACGCTTCGCAAAGCCTGGGTGGAAGACAGAAAAAGCTGCGCCGCTCGCTGTGCGCCTGTCTTTCGATCAGCACACCAACCAGAGCCTCTGGTCATTGCACTACCCGTGTGTTACGACGGTGACGATCGGCAGAGAGACTTCGTGAGACACTCGCACGCAAATCAATTCCGGGTTCGGGGGGGCACCTCAGCACGTCAAGCGTCAGTGGGTCGCCTTGAGTTGAATTTCGTCTGTGTCGCCAGCATCCGCTTTCTCAAGCAGAGCCCTCACGAAAGCTCGCGGCATACTGCCAGGCCGTACAAGGTTGCCGACAAACCCACGTAGGCTCAACCCACTACTGTGTTTCATATGTCCCCTCCAGCAAAGCATTGAAAGGATGAGGGCCCAGCAACAGTCCTTGGTAAACCTTAGGTTGTGTCGGGTTGCCTCCAAGCCCTCCTCTAGAGCATCTCTCCTTCATTTTCCTTCACGCGACAGCGCGCTGCTAGCTTTTGAAGCCCCATTCTCAAGTTAGTGGCAAGCAGGCCCGCCATGGTTTGCACTGGGCCACTCAGTCCTGATCTTCCTGATCTTCCCTGTGCTCGCGCAGCCGAGTCGACTGCGGACGGGGGCCAGATCTGGGCGTGTGGACGGCTGACGTTTGCCCACATTCATGCTGGCGGCCATACTACGGCCTTTGGCGTCAGAGTTGCTTGCGGCCACAAGGCTATAAGAGCATGTTCAACAGGGCTTGCGTGACCATCGACTTCTTCGGACCAGCAGCGCGTGGCTTGCGAGAACAGATCTCAGGTTGTGCTGCGCTACGATGTGGCGGTGGTCCTAGTTGCAGCAGTCTCCGTCCATGTGCTGATGTCTTCCGCACGCCACGCACTTGGAATGGTCGTCAGGTCATCCAACTAGCTGTGCTAGGCTCGGAGCATGGCTCAAGTGCCGAGCGACTCTTCAGGTATCTTGCCAATCCCCTTTGACAACAGCCAGTCTCTCGGTTTCAACCCAGGATAACCGAGGGAACAACTTTTGACCTTGAGGGCTTGACCTTGAGATACCTTGAGCACGGAAACATACGGAGACCCCAAGGACCATGGAGCTCCCGCTCTGGGATGGCCTTCCGGACGGCATCGTGTCATGGACCCGCGCCCCTCGGACATCAAGAATGGCAGGAATTGCCTTCTGAGCGGCCTTGCCGGCTTAGCCGGCTTAGCCTTGTCCTATCTTGTCCTCGCATGTTGCAGTGTTAGTCAGTTGAGACGGAGCTCAGGCATTCATCATGGGACTCCGGTTCAGAATCCAGGACTTGAATGTGTCTCGCCCAAATTGACTCGAGAATCCCTGACAGTGCCTGAAGTGCCAAATCCCGACTTGCTAAGGGACAGTTGGGGACTGGCACTGGGCAAGAGCTGGACGTCGAGCAAATTCAGCGTGATTTCGCGTCGGTCTAAGCTTGTAAGCAGCCGAGCCAAGGAACAACGCGAAAGCCTGCCATCCTTTCGATTGAAAGATAAAGCTTGGCAGGTTTTTGCATAGAGCGGGCTACGGCTAAGGTGGACATCACGAAGGTTCTCTTGGCGATGGTTGGTTGCTTGCTGCTTGCCGGAGGAGCATGGGACTGAAGCTGGTAGGTTGCTCCATGTTGTCGCTGAAGGATTGTGCTGTGCTGCAAGACAGGTCCAGGTGCACCCATTGTGCCGCACCTCTTAGTCCCACCCCGCAGAAGATCGCAGAAGCATCCAAGGTTTGCGTTATTGGTTCCGCTTCTGGCGGTGGCGTGGTGGCTTTTGGACCACCCTGCATTGCCGCAGGAGAATCTCAATCAGGCGCGTGCTTGTTATAGTTGCATGTAGCACGAGCTGTGAGATTCTGATATGAAGCCGCAGCGGCCCAAATAATTCCAGAAGAAATCGCCTCTTTTGCCGCTTTCCAGTGCTGCGCCACTCTTGCGAGGGGCAACAAAACGAACCAACAAATGGCTCTGCTCGTCGATGTGCAAAGTTTTGCTGAGGATGAAAGTGAGCTGGGTATCGTGTGTACATGTGAGGTGCTGAGCCTCATCTTTGGCTTCCTTTCGCCCTTAGAGCGATGGCTGCGACCACTTCTGTCCGCTGGGCTCTTCGGCTTGAACAAGTTGAGACAGGAGAGGACAAGAAATGGACAAGAATCTGGGACAAGCTGCACGCTTTGCGTGCTTCACAAGGTGTATCACAGCGGCTTTACTGAGGCTTGCAGTTTCTGCAGCGCTTGGCCTCGCAGGTGGGACACAAATGTATAGGCAAGACGTTTGACAGCTGCGCACTTGCATTTGGAATCTTCTGGCAGAGGTACTGTAAGATATCATGCTGTATGATACCAAAGACCGAAGACTTTGTCACAGCGGAACCGCTACGCGTAGGTGCGGCGGATCATGAGCTTCTCTCACGTGAAGACGGTGTTGCCCGCCCTTTGGACGTCGTTGGAGATTCCTGCTGGGCCTGGTAGGACTTCGTAAACTTCGTAGTTAGAGCCATGTGGCATCTGCACTGTGCTGTGACACGCTTCTGCCAGGTGTCAAGCGTCTGCTGATGAGCTTGATGCTATTGAGCTTCGGCTTCGTTGAGACACTGTCTGTCCCAAGAGACAACAAGCCCACCGAACCGTCGAGTAGCCTTTAAAATTTAATCTGAAGCCCGTGGTCTGATGATACTGTAATTTGAGAGCCTCCTCTGAGCAATACGGGGCTGAGTGATTCGTGCAGCTGCAACTTGGGAGCATGCTTTGCGCACGACGAGTATCTGATCCTCCATGCCCGCACGTCTCCCTCCCGCGGCGCCCGGCTCACCGTCGCAAGTTGCCGAGGTCTGCTGAAAGGAAAGGCGTCCCGAACAGGCCACGTTTTAGTCTCCGGAGACCCTCCTGGAAGCCAGAGGCACAAAATGCGCCAAACTCTGGCCCTGCCTGCAATCGAGAGGCTCGACTTCAAAATGCCTTCTACTTCCGAAGGATCGCAGGGTAGTTCAGGGCCGACCCGACTCAAGACTTGAAGCCTCGAAAACGCCCTGCGAACGCCCTGCACACGACAGACACGAAATTCGACAGGGCCTTCATTGACTTCCGCAGAGCCGGTTCAAGGCTCTGGAAGATTTGGGAAAGTTTTATGGTTTAGGGTTTTTAGGGTTTAGGGTTTAGGGTTCAGGGTTGTGTGTTGGGCACCCTGGAGAGAGGAACAAAACGAGGTAACAGGATGCCCAAACGTTCGCGGTTGGATTCTCCATGGGTTCGGCCGATTCGGCCTGGGGTAGGCAGCGATACCCTAAATCCTAAACCCTACATAAACCCTAAACCCCAAACCCCAAACCCTAAACCCTAAACCCCAAACCTTAAACCCTAAACCCTTAACCCTAAACCCTGAACCCTTAAACCCTAAACCCTAAACCCTAACCCCAAACCCTACATGGCCATCCGAAGTCGGCTGTCGAGGAACTTGGCGCTCAGCGTGGTACTTTTGCTGGTCTTGTCGATTGCTCCTTGGGTAGCATGGGTTTAGGGTTTAGGGTTTAGGGTTTAGGGTGTAGGGTTTGGGGTTTAGGGTGGGGTGTCGTTGTCCGATTGCCCAACCAGGTCTGTCTTCCTCAACCAAAAGGGGGACAATCTGCAGAGCAACACGTACACCTTGTGCTACTGAATTCCTGGGCTGAACATTCGACGCTTCGCATACGAAGCACTAATTCTAAAAAGCTCAAGCTGATTTTCTTGCCCTCAATAAACTCGATCACTGCCACAGCGGAATCCCGATGATATGTTACCTGGTGCCATGGTCTGCAATGCATCTGTTTTCGTATTGCGAACCATGCCCAATTTTTTTGTTTGCATGGCAAAGCTGGCTAGGTTGGGTTACTCTATACTATGGCTCTATACCGCAGGTACTTGCACGATTTGCATGTAGCGCGTATCACATCAGAACAGCCGTTTTCGATCGGCTGAGAGCTGCCACGATCTCAGGCCTCATCATTGCTGCAAGCCCTCTGATGAGTCGCGACAGCTGAAGCTCGAGACGTTGGACATCTGATCCCGTGACGACAAAGTAGACGACAACTGCAATGCAAGTTTCACGACGTCGAAACAAAAATGCCGAAAAAACCGTCGCGAACTCAAGATAGCTTACCGCCACCGGCAGAGATTGTGCAAATGCTGCCACTTGGCAAGCAGTGCAGGCTGCAGTGCTGCTGCAGCTTTCGGCTCAAAGCTAGCCAGCGGAAAGTTTGCAGTTCGTGACGTGCTATTTGTGGCTCGGGCACATTTAAGATCAATGCTTCGAGAAGCTGCGTGCTAGAGAGTTGCAAGTCTCATATGGCACGGTGGAAGCCTTTGTAATGCAAAGCTGTGTTCTGAGGTACTGGCGCTCTTCGTCGAGTGCGCGGTCCATGTCGACCAATGACAGGCGGGCGAGTCTGTGCTCACAGACGTCATTGCCCAGCTTGAGAACGAGGGTGCGTGTTGCACAGTTCTTGCATGCTGCTTTCTGGTAGGAGCCTTGGCTCCATCATGCTGTAGTCACCTCACGGCAGAACGACAGCACGTCAGCACAGACGCTGGCACCTGCAAGGGGCCCTGACTCACTCGCCTCGAGAATTGCCGAGATGGAAAAGACGATGGACCAGACTGTGACTGGCCTTGTGACAGAGGCTGGACATGGTGGACATGGTGTGGACGTTGCGTTTCCATGTCAAGTCCATTGGCGCTGCTTGTTGATGCAAGCTCTTCTGTAAGTCAAACCTGAGCTGAAGCCAGGCACTCGGGACCCTTCGGAGGCTCAGTGGCAATTTAGAGCGGCAAGATGCCACTGCTTCAGGTGGGATGCGAACGGAACGAGTGTCATCCACCTGTAGCAGTTGACAGTGCCACTTGCAGCATGTGTTGCTCCCAGGAAAGAGATCCGGGCGCTTGATGACCGCTTGACTCGTCGGATCGACAGCGATCACAAAGAGGAGGCTGCAAATGTGCAGTCATTCGTTTTGGAAGACATCCCTTCTACGGCTCATTCAGAATTGCGTTTACTGAGAACCTTAGATGACCAGACCACACCCTCAGAAACACACCCTCAAGAAATCCTTGCCTGGGCCGTGCTCATAATCAGATTTGAGCAAAGGATGTGGAGAATTTGAGGCTTTCCGACCCACCTCTGGAAGCCTCAGGGGTGGTACATTCTGTTTCGCACCTGCCTTGAGCATCCCTTCACGCCATACTGCTCTCCTACGGCTAGATGGGCCGTAAAACCATGGATCCATGGGGGGGGGGGGCAGCATAGTATATGCTAATAGGATACGCTTCTGATTCTTCGTGTTACTGATCGCGTGGATCCTGTGCTCCCAAACTTCAGCTCCGTCGCTTGAGTGCTCCTCGCTTGAGGCGGCGAACTTGTTCAACCTGAAGCGTGAGATGACGCTCCAGATATCCGGTGACCTAACTGCTGCTGAGGACGGCAATTCCAGACATGGACTATGTTAGAACCAGCGCTTCAGCTCCCCTTAGCGCCATGATGCCCACCATTGTCAATCTACATGTCAATGTGCCCTCGGCCCCCTGTTCGAGAGCAGCATTGCTATAAGAGCCCTCGATTTGACGTACTTGTGGTCATTCATTGTAGGGGCTTCCCATTGCTTCGTATTGCTTCGTCTGCACTCGATGAGTAGTGCAAATCAGGGTCCGGGCAGTCGGATTCTCCCCCTGCTTCGATACTCTTTCGACACGTACCTGGCACTGGCCATTCTATTCGAACAGCTGCTGGGTGTTCTAGCGCACTGACTGCTTGCAGGAGCGCATCACCAGACGTTTGGACAGCGAGCGTCGTGAACAAAAGGCAGGGGCTTCTCTCGCCTGGTTTTTGTCGAAGCGTTGCAAAAGACTTGGCTTTTGGGAGGAAGCCGTTGCAGAGCTTCGCCGAGAAATGAGCACCCAGCAAGCTGTCAGATACCTCAGCTGGCTTGCGCAAGCAGACGTCCTGAATGCGTCAGCAGATCTTCGGTACATCGCTTGCGAATTCTTGAGCGAGAGGTGCAGGACACGGCCTCGTTCGCCACCCAACGCGTGGTGACCTTGTTGCACAGAAGGACCTTGATCGTAGCTACAGTTCTCGTCAGTATACTGGCAGCGTTGCGTGCCCATGTGTAAGGTGCCAAAGGAAAACGAGGATATTGGCAAGCTGCGAGCATCCATGGAACAGATCAGCGCTGTGGCTGACAATGCTCAGCAGGCAACTGGGCAACAAGAGGATGGTTGCGAAAAAGCCAAGAACCCTCAGGTGAGGCTCCAGGTCTGCAATTGCAGTAAAACCAATGTTCTTGGATTTATGACTTGCAATCAGAAGCTGAATGTAAATAGTCAGGAGACAGCCCAAGCAGCATGAGCAACATTCAGGGTGTTGCAAGTCTGCAGCGCGAGGCATGCTTCACAAAGGGTTTGTGGAGTGTGGCGTTGTTTCCAGGCTTCGCAGCACAATGGCAGTGGATTACTTACTAGTAGCATCGGTAAACCCCGTTCCATATTCCGTCTTATTCAGTATATGCAAGTCCTGCAGGGCAACGCCATGCATGATCCATACTAGGACTCACCAGGGAGCAGAACATAATGTGTGCGAGTCACGGTGAGTAATCACGTAGCTTGTGACAAGGCTTGTGCAATCTTCAGTTCTTCCCAGCACATGGCAAGAAGTATCGTCACGTGATCCTGCACTCAACAACGAGCCTGGGGCGTGTGAGGGCACATCGGAAACGAGCGAGGAAGTTGTTGACTGAAGGATGTTGCTCGCCTTGCCCAAGAGCTTGCTGAGCAGAAGCTGCGATGTGAACCTCGCTCAAAAATGAGTTGACATCATGTCCGTCGGTTTTTGTTGCTGCTGAGTGGCAAAATGGGTTGCTACCAAGGAGCGCATGGAGATGTCAATTCGAACTTCTGCAGCTTGTTTAAACCCTTGATGCTGTGGACCTAGACATTGATGTGACATAGAAGCAAACACCCCTTCAGACCAATAGAAGGGCTACTTAAAGGTTTTCTCTTTGTAGATTGTGCCCAGGTCATCCTTTCGTAGTTTGTTTCTGAAAGCATCGAAATGCCAGCCTTAGGTGCCAAAGAATGATGACATCTCTGCCCTGCGGCACACCCTGGACAGAACACACCTTCTGGCGGATCAGGCGCAGAAGGACGCCCCGAGTTCAGTATGGGCAGACTGGATCTCATGCCACAGGCGGAGGAAACATCCTAAGATGTCTTAAGCACGCCAAGCAGGATCAGCAAGTGACAGAAGTACGGCCTTTTCAGGACTTCAAACGTCTCGAGAAGGACGTGGCAGAACAGAAGCTCCGTTCTGACAGCATGGAGAACTCTGTGCAGAGCCTGGCAGCTCGGTCGTGCAAAGATAGCATAAGCAGCCAAAGTTCAACAAAGCCCGACGCTGGCCAGGCGCTGGCGGATTCTAGAAAAGTGCCTCTCTGCGGTTTCAGCTGCCTCGAAATGATCGGCACGTTATCAAGTTTGGCAATGACAACTAAGGCGGCTCCGGCTGGAGGCCTCCGGCGTCCACATTTATACCTGTGCACATGATTGCATGCCGTACTCACATGTGTCCGCGGAGGGTGTGGTTCATTGCAAGGTCGAAGCTTCAGCAAGTAACAGGCCTAGGTAGCACGTGTAGCACGTGGTGGGGAATTGTAGCTGGGCCAACTCGTCAGTCATGGTTAAGCGGTTGCTCTGCACCCCAGGGAAGCAAGTCAGCAACACTTGTGCATTGGTGACTCAGAGTGGGTGCGCGCAGGCAGATTCGGTGTTGACAACGCAGAGCTGGCGAAGGTTGTTCCTCGGCGTTGAAATGCCATGGTTAAGCATCTGCTTTGAAGTCTTGCGTGTTGATTGTTATTACAGAGACATGCTGCCTCACTTTGTTTTATTGCTATTTTTTGTTTGCCAAGTTCCTGCGAAAATTGCCTGAGCTGCTGACTAAGTTAGCCAGAATCAGCGCGGAGCCCGTGGCCCAAATGGAGCAAAAGATTCAGCAGGCCACGGGCTATATGCGAAAGGCTGTGCCCAAGGCTGCTGAGAATGTTCCAAGTCCATGTCCACTAGAGCCCAATGCGGCAACGTCAATACACGATGTTACATGTGCTTTGCAATCAGAAGAGAATTCCTTCTGGAAGCCCTGACAGCAAATGAGCAACATGGAGAATCATCTCGTCAAACAGATCGAGGCTGCAACGGAGGACCTGCGTGACGCCATGTTCACATTGACCGAGTGGCCCATAGAAATTACATGACTTTACAATTCGTGTTTCCTGTCTTGCTTGTTCTCTGTGGGCTGTCGCGAGGAGTTCTCCGGAAAAATTGCGGCTTTGGATCAAGGAGCTGCCGGGAAACATTATGAGATGTACGTTGATGGGTATACGGTTATACTTCTGCAACGACACATTGCAGTGGCTTTTGGTTCATGCACTTGTGAGAACAGGGAAGGCTGTGCGATGCATTGCACCTGCAGGCGCATATCAACCGGAGCAAGCCACGCCTGCGGCATGTTCTGCGCACCTCCAGCATCTGGGTTCCAAAGAATCGGGATTCTCATGAAACTATGAAGTCTCCACCTCTTCCACATTCTCGACTGGTTTCCATGTACATGGACAGCCATGGCGGTCCAATGCCTACGGCCCAAGCCCCACGTCGCGCAAGGAAGGTGTGCTAGTCTGTTCAAGGCTTCGTTTGTCTGTCCTAGGCCGGGCGCTCGGGCCGGCCTGAAATACTTTTGACCTGGGGCAGGCAACAAACCTCTCGCGCAACATCCCGAAAGGAGAGCATCTCCTTTGTGTGAGAACGGTATCACAGCTGCATGCTAAGGCAGCCCATGCCGGAACCGGCGTATGCTGACGAAGCTTACCCGGAATATGCGGCCCCGGAATATGCGGCCCCGGAATATGCTGCCCCGGAATATGCTGCCCCAAGCCCGGCAACCTACCAGCAGCTCCTTGCCTGCAAACCCCGGACGTAGTTGAGCCGATCTCAAGTGGCAGGAGTTCCTCTGTAGCAGCGATGCATGGTAAGTATCTTGCAATCAAAGGCAGCGCGCCTGACGCTTGGCAGAAACAAGACAATAGAGTGAACTGGAGCCAAGCATGGTCTGCCGGCTATGTCAGGGAGGGACAGGCTTCATATTCAGCACGGAATAGTGTGATCTGGATCGATGTGAGCTGTGCAGCACGTGCCAAGTCCACGAGGGGATGTGCTTTGAGACTTTCAGACCTTGAGACTCTGCGAGTTCACTTTGAGAGGAAGGCAGATAGAAAGAGCCCATTGAAGCCCTCATTTCGCTTCGAAGGCTACTGTGGAAGCATCGGCTTGCCCGTCACGCGGGAAGCGGACATCTACAGCGACCATGGCCAAGTTTCTGATCTTGGCCCATTGGCAACTGCAAAGTGGTAGGAACAAAATGGCAGAAGCAAGGTGGCAAAAGCAAGTGGTGGTTAAGTCCCTAAGCATCAAGCCGAGTAAGCCCCAAACCCCAAGCCCCAAACCCTTGTGTGAAGGCGTATCTTACATGAGCACAGCTTTGGTTTCATGCTTCGCTAGCTGCTAGTAGGCTCACTGCCGCCCGGCACCCTCTGAAGTTCCTAAGGTCTGCACCCCACTTCCTACGGATCCGTCCAAGCCCCTTTGTCGGGCGATTACTTCGGCAGCTTGGATGGCGACGGCGGCGGTGGATATGACACCGGCGGCGGTTATGAAGAAGGATACGAGCAATTCGCAGGCGCAGCTTCGCAGAGCAAGTTGGCCGAAGCCCTGCAAGAGAGTGTTGCCCTGCGAGTACAGGAGATCAGATAGCCCCGGCCCCCTTCGCGGCGACGGTTAGTAGCTTGGATGCGAAGTCTGCAAAAAACTTATTCCAGGCTGTCCTAGGACAGAAAACGGCTCTCATAAACTCGGCCGACTGTATCTGAACCGAGGCTATGGCCCTCCCACAGTGGTTGGCTTTGGGCCACCAGTGCTCCATTCAGTCACCACCAGGTTCACGTGATGGCATCGGAGCAAAGCCATCCGAAAGCACCCGTGGTGTGCAGGATGGGAAGGCCAATGTCTCCAGTTCGCGAAGCTGTTCGCGAATCATCACCAATCCGAGGCTGGCCGATCGTCGATATGGGGTGTTGATCTAGGGTGAGGTTTCGGGGAAGGGGGCGGGGGGGGGGGGGGGCCTGCAAAAAAGATTGTGGAGACCCTCGATTTCTCAAGTTTGTGTTGCCTCACTTTTCGCATTGCATACCGCGCGTCTTAAAACATCGATTTCTTCGGCATTGCCGTCGTTATATTCTAAAGTATATTGTAGCAAATGCCATCTTTGCCACCAGTTTCTGAGCTCCTTGCTGTGTCATCGCCAGGTGCTTCACCCGTAAGGGGTGCTTCACCAATTCGCGGAATGTCGCCAATCAGGTCCACAATGCAGTATCAGCCCAGGCACTCCTAGCCCATCTTGAGGTGAGTCCTGTGCAAGCTTGTTCTTCTAGCATGGTGAGTTGCCAGGCACCGTGAGCTCTCTCCGATTCGTGCGCGTAGCACAGGAGGGGAATATTTGCCTGGATGCGCTTCGCTTGTGGTTTTACTCGCATCTGACCTTGACCTGCTGCCCAGCAGGTGATCCAACTGCGTACCACTTCAACCCAGACAGGCTCGCTTCCAATGGCAGCGGCTCGCAGGAACGAGATGGCTATTCGCATGCCGTTGCATAAACGATTACCAAAACCATGAAATTTTCGCATACAATGTTACAACGTGCAATACATAAACTAATGTACTATTATTGAATATGCCATTTCTGACACGACGTCATCTATAGTATAAGGTGTACATCGTTTCATATACCATGCATACATAGCATGAACACATGATGTGTATATGTAAGATCACATGAGCCACGAAAAAAAGATAATATTTAATGGCTACCGCCAATGCCGCCGACCCCGACAGGAGGCCCTAGGGTTTACACAAACACCCCCTACATTGCGCTTACATATATCCATAGGTTCTAGAGTTCAGGGGGGGCGAAACATTGAGTCTTCACGCGCAGGGAGTTGGCGCGCAACCTTAAACCCTAAACCTCACACCTTAAACTCGAAACCCTGAACCCTTAAACCCCAAACTACTAAACCCTCAACCCCCTTAACCAGGAGAGCCGAACCGGGGTGAGGTGGGGCGGGGGGGGTCCGGGCATGCACTGGAGCCCCTCAAACACTTCATTTCCAAGTAAAAGGCAAGGGGTAGGGGTGAGGTGGGGGGTAGGGGTCCGGGCATGCCCTTAAACCCCTGACACACTTCATTTCCAAGTAAAAGGGGGGAGGCGGGGGGGGCAGGGGGGCGGGTGCCGGGCATGCACTGGAGCCCCTCAAACACTTCATTTCCAAGTAAAAGGCAAGGGGTAGGGGTGAGGTGGGGGGTAGGGGTCCGGGCATGCCCTAAACCCCTGACACACTTCATTTCCAAGTAAAAGGTCAGGGGGTAGGGGTGAGGTGGGGGGTAAGGGGTGAGGGCGGGGGGGGTGGGGGGGTGGGGGCGGGGGGCCAAGGTTGGGGGCAGAGGCGAAGGGGGAGGCGGGGGGGCAGTGGTGGGGGGGGGGGTTCGGGCGTGCGCCCAAAGGCAAGGGGTAGGGGGTGAGGTGGGGGGGTAGGGGGGCATGCCCTAAACCGCTGCAAGGGTGGGGGGGGGGGGGGTGAAGGTTGGGGCCAGAGGCGTGGGGTGGGCGGGGTGGGCGGGGGGGCGGGGGGGTCTGGGCATGCACTGGAGCCCGTAAAAGGTTAGGGGGGAGGTGGGGGGGCATGCGCTGGAGCCCCTAAGAGGGTAAGGGTGAGGTCGAGGGGGTGAGGGCGGGGGGGTTTGGGCATGAGGGCAAATGGGTCTTCACTGACGCCTCCCCCGCTAAAGCAGGGGTCGGCGGATAATAGTATAATAAATACAATACATGTCTATGTCTATGGCTATGTCTATGTCTATGCCTATGTATATGCATATGCATATGTAAATGTAAATGTGTATGTATGTCTATATGATAAATGCATATATATATATATATATGTATATTCATGTGTAGATAGAAAAGGAATTGTAACACAAGTATAAACATAGGTATTTACCGCTTTCTGGTGCACCCATGTATACAAGTCTATGCGCTGTACACACAAAAGCTTATGGCACATGACAATTGCGGGCACTTTCTTCGTGCGTCCCCAAGTTGCCAAGGACTGGTTACCATGGCAATGTCTCAAGTACCTGTTCCAGGCTTCTGCCACCAGTTTGCTACTCTCCTCCTGAAGCTTTGCCAGCCCACTACATTTGCTGCATCGAGATGCAGACAACCAGCAAACCCCGGTTGCTAAGGCTACGCAGATATGGCGTGCCAGTGTAGTATAATAATGATTGTTGAGCAGAGCTCGAAGACGGCAGCAAGAGACTGGCCTGAGGTGATCCCTTGGCAGCCGTGTAGCAACCACGTGCCCTTGAAAACACCATTCAGAATTCCATTCTGCCTTCTCGCCCATATTCTATTTGGTAGCCTTTCGCCAGCTTTATCAAACCAAGCCGTTGGCTGCCATACAAGGTTCTTTGCTTTGTGTGTGTGGAAGGCTACAGTTCTAGCACCAAGACTTTCGTGACTGAAGCATCTCTTCCCCCCGTTGCTTCTGGAAGAACCCCACAAACCATGCTCTCTTCATCTTCAACATCGGAAAGGTGAGCTGTCAGGCTTGTGGCAGGCAAGTGTATCCTGAGTCATTCCCCATGTTTGAGTGCGACTGCTTTTCCAACGTAGTCTCTACCATATACTTCCCGGCCTTTTGGTCTTCACCATACTTGCGTGCGACTTATGTGACTGCTGCCTGAAATCACAGACCAGGTCATGCTGGGAACATGCTGGGAACATGCTGAGATAAGCTGTGCACCCGCTTTAGTGCCAAGAGTCTCGCGAAGTGCTTGTCGCAGGTGTGAAGCGGCCTGTTTGACATGATTGGCTGACAGCGCTCTTTTGCATGAGCTTAGTGCAGACTCGTAATGACTCGTCTTGAGTTCAAGTGTCCGACGCTAGCCGCCCTCTCGCTTGCTCTCGAAAAAGTCCCGGTGAAGTGAGGCCGCTGAAGGCACAAGCTATAATAATACGAATACTAGCAATAAGAAGAATACTAACAATAGTAATAAGAATACTAATAATCACAAGAATCAGTTTACGCATCAGACTCAGACGGTGTAGATGCACGACTTCGGCAGCAGTCGTAGGCAGCCATGCAGTATTGGCTTGTTCGGTTGCATCACTTCCTTGTACCTCTGCAGTTGCTTCATCTTGTACGCCGCAGCTTTGAACCTTTTGTGCTGTGTGATTGCATCGCTCAGACGCCGACAGCATGTGTTCGTGATGCTTGTAAACGAGATGCCCTATGCCTTCCCCCTTGAAGCATGTCATAGCATATCATCAAGTCATGCAAGTCAGCGCCGCGATGTCCTTGGACAAAGCTGGTCTCGCTTTCCGATCGCGGGCCCCGCCGCCAGCGTTACTGCTAATTCGCTGGACAGTTCGGTACCCAGGGCTCAGATTTTGTACTTTTCATTGGCCTGTCGCTTCAAGTGACGACTGAGCGACATGGCACCCATGAGTCAGCTGGTCTAAAAGAGGGAGCTTTAAGGGGATTGCCTCTTCGCATGCGACTTGCATCCCTGTCGAGCCCTCATCTGCCTCATCTTGCCAGGGCACGGCCCTTCGAAGGTGGTGGCCTGAGCCGATCTCTGCTTCTCTCTTAAATCTCTTCCCTACTCTTCCCTAATCTTCCCTGGTCTTCCCTGAGGTGTGCCATAGGTGTGCTTCTCGCCGTCAGCCTGCGGCAGCTAGCACAGGTCTGATGGCATGAACGTCTGCTGTCACGGTGTAGAAGCGTCGCTTGCTCTTGGCAGGGCGAGGCATTTGCAGCTCTCGGGCGAAATGCTTGTCCGCCCCTGCACATGCTGCGCATCTGGCCCCGCAGAGGTGGCAGCAACAGGCTGACACAGTTGATGAGTGCCAGGTACTCACACCAACAGTGCGCTGTTGGCAGCTCGCCTACGTCCATCACTGCGTCCTTGCATTCTGTCAAGTGCGGTGAAGTGAAGTAGCTAAGTAGCTCCCTGAATGTGGAAAGACAGGAGCCACATCATCAGCTCAAGCACGTGATCCGGCCTAGACTTAGGCGCAAAAGTGTTTGGAATCGGTCTCTGATGTTCGATGCCTTTGTTGGTAGCTCCTCGATACATATCCCCTACCAGGACACGTACCACTTGCAGAAGTGCAAGCGAAGAAGCTGATACGCAGGAGGAGGTGGCCGAGGTGGCTACTAGACACTGCGCATCTGCATGAAAGCACGCTGTTGCCTACACAGGTCAAGCTGAGCTCAGTCACCCAGTCCACAGTCGCAGCCTTTGTCTTCTCAATTGGTGTCAAGAAGAGGTGCTCCGGGGTGGCTCTAACGCATGCAGATGATTTTGGGTGCTGGTAGCTTGAAGCAGCTTTGAAGCTTCAGGTCAACCTGGTCAAGAACATTGTTGGTGCTGGAATGCTCTCGCTTCCTCACGGAGTCCAAGACTCGTGCTGGATCAGAAGCTTTTTTCTGTCACAGCGACTTTCACCATTCGCGCTGTTGCACTGTTGCACCTATCATCAGGTGGCAGCCATCGGTGGCAGCCCACAGGCTTTGGACTCAGCGCTGCAAAGCAAGCCATCTGCAAAGAGACTCAAGACCAGCTTTCGGGGATCGAGGCTGTCGTGCCATCGCTGCTTCTCACCTTCCTTGCAGCAGTGTTCAGTGCCTCGCTGAGTTGCAATGCAGGCGTGCAGAACACCTGCAGATCAGAAGTCCATCACACTGGAATCATTCTGTGATCCCAAAAGGCTCCCATCTTCTGCATTCTGCTGTATTCTTCCTTCAGGTCGTGAAAAAGTAGACATTAGACACTGCGAGTGCAGGCCTGCCAGGCTGAAGAGTCGCTCAAGCGCGAATGCCTAGATACCGAAGGCTGTAGGGGGGAAGACAGAAACCAGAATGCTACTCGAGACTCTGTCTCTTGCTTCGCCACCCCGTTGTCCAAATTATTCTGATAGCAATTCATCAACCACGAAGCTCCAGCACTCGGCACTTCGGTCCAAGCAATTGTGATGGGAAAGCTCAAACAGGGACGGGAATCTCAAATCAGGGCAGTCCGATCATGATGGTGGCGTCTGACTCAGACTGAGAACAATGGGGCAAATGTGCATTTGCTGCGTAGTTGGCGGTATCGAACACACTGCACACACGGGCCCTTGCGCATTGCTTATGCCGGCGAGCCCAATCCCGTTTATCCCGAACCGTGATTTCGTGGCAACAGCATTTTCGATGATTGTAGAAGGAAAGCAAGTACCTGAGGCAGGACTTCTGTCAGGCTCTGCAGTGCTCGTGCTTTACAGCATTCACCTTCGGGACACAAGGACATGGTCAACACAGTGCACGCTCATCCTGAGAGTTGACCCACACATGCCCAGTGTTAGCCTTCCAGCAATACATGACGAAAGGAACCTACTGCAACATGTGCGTTGTGTACTGAGGTGCATATAGTTTCGCTGCGTCCCAAGACTGTGCATGTACGCTTCCCATACACAGGAGTTGCTTGGCACCTCATCTGAGGTTCTGATTGCGCAAGCATGCGAGGCGACGGGTGAAAGCACTTACACCAGGCCAACTGAGCTGCAACTGACCTGGAGATTTTGATTGCACTTGACTGTGGCAGAGCACAGATCTGGCTCAGGGTATGGGCACGCAGTATTGGTGAGAGAACCAAGCTGGTGCCTGCAGTTGCTTGCCTCGCGAAGGCTCGTGAAAGCTGTCATAAGGGCCATTTCTCATTTCGAGCTCAGCCTCACATCGCTCAACATGAAGTAGGAACAGGAGACGTGCATGATGGTGCATGAAATGGTACATTGCTGCTGCAACCTCATATTGCTTGTGCCATGAAATCCCTCGAGCAGACTGAGACGACTCTCAACCATCTAGGCTTGGCAGATCATCTTCAAACGCACTTCGCATACCCTTCGCACCTTTCTGCGTTGATGGAATGTTTTTGTTTTTTTGGGTGGGCGGGGGGCGTCTTTCGTTCAGCAGCAACAATGTGGATGTCACGCCGCTGAATTTCTTGCTTTAGTCGGCAAGTGCTGCCTCAAGCCTAAACCGATCAAAGCGGTGACTCTTCTGCGCAGGCGGCCATCGGATGCATTGCCTTCTCCATGATCCTGGGCGACTGCATCTCGTTGATGCTGCGTGCTTGCAAAGCTTATTGAGGTGGTGTCTCTTCATTGTCGCTTTTAATTTTAACGCTGCGCGACCCGCCTCGGCCCGGCCCAGCGCATCTGCGTGAGCATGGTGATTCCGCAGCGCCCTCAGTAGGGGGAGGCGGCGGGGGGGGGGCGCGGGGGGCAGGATGGGGGGGGGGGGGGGGGGGGGGGGGGGGGGGGGGGTTGGGGGGGGTTGGGGGGGGGCGGGGAGAGGGGGGGGGGTGGGAGAAGAGGGCGCGGGATGGCTTCGACTGCCCCTGATCCTGGCTTGGCTTTGGGCCTGGGAGGAGGATTTGGAGGGGGGTGCCTGTTCTCACAACCTATACACCTTCGGCCCGAACCCTGGGCGGATATGCAGGTAAGGACTGCCGACCTCCGGTGCCAACATGTCACGTAAGCCGCACCACCACGAGCCTGGGGAACAACTTGAAGGCAGTGAGCCCTCCACAACGAATCCCAAAGCATGTTTGCATGTGGGGCGCCACTAGACGATGAAGCAAGCAGCATGCCTGTCAACTCAGGCTAGCTCCCCTGAATCTGCCGGGGCCTCGGCCATCCAGGTGGCCTATGGTGGCCTCAGCTTCTGACCTCCAAGGTTCCCCCCCAGGTGCCGCTTAGGTTCGATTCAATGTGCACAAGGGCAGTAGGGGCCAAAGGCTTCGACTCGCATTAGCTCAGCAATCCTAGGCCCGCAGTGATTGCGAGCCGAGATGCGATCATTCTACAGATCACGGCCGTGGCGCCCTCCTGAATTGCGCTCAGCTGCGGGGTGACATGCTGTGAGTATGCGACCTGTTTAGAGGTCTTGTTTCCTCTTTGCAGCCTGAAGTCGCTGCGATCCCAGATGCTGTGCTTTGATGTGTCGCGCTTGGTCAGCAAGACGATTCATGATGGGCAGGCTGGCCCCGCTCGCAAAGTTTTCTTTGCTGGGCGTGCCTCCACCTGAGTGCATCTGCAATCATCTGCAATCATCTGCAGATGCCGCGCTTTCGTGCTCTGCGGCCCAGGCTCAGCAACTTCTACATATGCACCTTCGTGGTGTTGCGCTGCTTGGACCACTCCTACCAGAAGGCGGTGCCCAAAGCGTGAAAGAGGTAAAAAGAGGTAAGCATGAACTCAGTGAACTCCAGGGTTCTGTCTTGTGCAGTTCCTCGCCAGGGCGGCGCTTTGCTGGCTGCAGCACCAGCTGCACCAAAGTGCGTCTCCCAAGGGTGCTGAACGCTCTGCTCAGATGCTGATAGACTCTGCCAAAGCGAGGTTCGACATGGCGGCGGGCGCATGGCACGCACACCTGGGCCCAGGTGTGCGGGGAACCTCTGAGCTGGAGCATCGCCGGCATCGGCTGCTGATTGATATGTGATTGATATGTGCAAGGGTGCCATGGCATGGAGGTCTCAGCGTCTTGCTGAGCATCCTGGCAACAGCATTTCTGGCGCACTACAATGCTCTCTCCTTGGACTTTTGTGAGCGTGGTCTGAGAGAGGACAGAATGCTGTGGAACAGCTTTGATCAGGCACCGCTGTTCCTGGAGCAGCTCGCTCCGGACCCGAAGACGGGAAAGAAGGACAGCTACCATTCCGTAATTCTGCACCTCCTTGTATCTCCTTGTGTCTCCTTGTTCTGTTTCGGAATGGGGCCTGCGCGGAGGATAAGCGCTTCGTCGTGGTGTCAGTCCTGGGGTTCTGCACTGCAGGCTTGAATGCATCTTCCCGCATTTCCCATGATTATCGGCCGGGGTTGGGGAGGAGGCAGGCCCCACAATTGATCCCTGGGACCCCTAAGCAGTTATGCGGCCCCCCAAACTTGACCTTTAAAAAGGGCGGGCCCGTACTCAAAAGGCGCATACAGTAACAAGCATCAAGCCTTCGAATTATGCTTGGCATCATCCTTCGCCTCCTTGTCGAGGCCTCATCTTCAGCTTGGTGATGGTAGGAGGCGCGGAGCACAGTGTAGCAGAGGAGTGCACTTGCGAGCACTTGTGAACTTTGGAGAACTTGGGAAAGCAGGCTTTCTAACATTTGGCAGCTCCTGCATGGGCCTCATCCTCAACAACTATGCTGCCATGGACAGCCGTGGCCTCAGAAACGTGTCGATGTCGGCCAGGAACTTTGTGGAAACGTGTTGATGCGCCTGCATGTGCCTAAATGGGGGTTTCCCATATTGAACCTACTATTTGGGGGGCTATACTCGGGGTCCCCTGTTTTCGTAAACCCCCAAGTGCTTCCCCGGACTTGCAGGTCTAGCTCTCCTCGCTCGGGCAGCGATCGTGTTGTCCCTGGTCCCACCCTCAGCTTGGCCCGCAAAGCCCTGTCGTTTCGGGGCCCCTGCTGCTGTGCAGGTCACTGCTTATCCACTGGTCTTCCTCAGCTTGCGCAAGCAGGCAGTGACTTCAGTCAGCTGGTCATACGCAGACTTCTCTGCATAGCCACGAAAGGGAGCGTCCGCACAACAGGGAAAAATTGGGGCGCAGAGCCCTCAGCTCTTAAAAGGTCTTGGAGATCCTTGGAGATAAAGGAGACGATCTCGCCCAAAGGCCCAGGCGCGATTTCTCTCCTTTGACACGCTCGCTTCGGCTGTCCAAGATTAACATATCAAAGGTGTTAATATCTAACGCATATATATATATATATAGATATTAACTATGATATATATATATATATGTGTTTGTGTTGTATGTACATTTGAGTTGATACTACTCCTTGCAACCTCAAGCAGAGTCATGCACTGCAGGTTGATGACGATCTCCTTGCTGGCAGGCTACATGCACCTGCCACTGCATGACGGAGTACGGGCTTTGCAGCAGAACAATTGCAGCATCGCATCAGGCATCACTGCGGTGGCACTGAAGCTCGCCTCCTAGGAACGATGCTGCTACCAGCCACAGGATGATGTAACATCATGGGCCGCTGTGTTCTGGATGCCGTTGTAGGAGTAGTCAGTGGTCTGTGATGTTGCAAAGTACGCATTGGCCTAAACTTTGTGGCATGCCTGCCCAGAAAGTCCGTTGTCAAGCTTGTCCGGCCACATGCTTTTGATGCCCTCCTGTGCCGAGGTTGCGAAATCTTGGAGTCGTTGCCGCGCAGCTCGTCAGCATTTGGGACCGAAGGCAGCAATTTGACCGATGATTTGGTAGTTGGCCATTTTGCCCGCTTGACCCGCGACCAAGGCTAGCCGGCGCTAGCCTGGGCACGTTTCTCGTGTATGTTGCATCCTGAGTTCAGTTGAGCGGCAGAACACGGGCTCCCGAGAGGCAGGCTTTCGACGTTGTAGCAGGCAGTGGTATATGAGCACCAGTAGCCTGCATACAGCAGCTCTGTGATTCCATGAGCTGAGGTGGCCCCTGCTCTCATGGTGATGGGAGCGAGACGGCGGGGACTGACCGAACGACCCGAGGCAGGATCAATAGAGGATTGCGTGCGCCACTGGTGGTATTCTTAAGATGTGGGCGCCTGAAGGGTGCTGTTGGACTGCTTGCGCGCGCTACGCAGATTTTCTTGGTGCCCTTGCCTCGAGTTGCGACAGCCGAGATGATTCAAAGGATCAGGTGTTGAAGCTGCGCGAGCTTGCGTCAGCCATTCCTAAGGCCTTTGGGCCTTGGACTTGGAGTGATTGGTTGCATCCAATGCCTGAAGTGAAGCTGCGGCAACGTCCAGTATCGTTTAGACCTAATGAGTTGGAAGTGGTTGTGCAAGAAGCATGCTGCTACCACAAAGAGCTTCAAGCAAGAAAAAAAAGGTGAGTGGGTGACGGTGCCGTGCACACGATATGACCATGATAGGTTCTCTGCTCATCTTGTAGACACTTCTGCGCCCCTCCTTCTGCCACAGTGCTCAAAGACTCTTGCCCGGTCAGCGGCATTGGCCAGATGACAGAGGCTTGCTAGTTGCATGACAATGCCTGGCAGAGCTGTGTTTGTGTTGCAAGGTTTCTTGGAGCAAGTGGGACTTCAGCAGCTTGGATACTGCTGGATCAAGCAAGGCACATGCGAGATCATCACAACTCTCCCAGAAGCAAGTGCTCGCCCCAAGGCACAGAAAGAGTACTTGCCAGGTGGATGGCATCCAGGATCCCATCGGGTACAAGATGACTATGGACATCGGGCATTCGTTGTTTGTGTATCGGGATCCAGTGTGACTTGTTGTGTATGCTTGCTGCAGACATCAGGACGACAGCGGCGGTGCTGCCGGAAAGAACAAGTCTAAGACTGCAAATCAGGCTCGCAGATCTCATCATGCAGCAGTGAGCTTTGCAGAGGTGCAAGTGATGCCGACATTTTAGATGTTCCTGAAACGACCGGCTGCAGAGGAGCTTCTAGAAAAGAAGGCATGGGAGGTGGCGGTTGCACCTATCCAGTCTGCTCTAAGCTTGGCTTGCGACACTGCTGCGCAGGAAGTCAGTTTATGTATCCGTTTTTGGACTCAGGTCGGCATGAATCTCTTCATGCTCTGGATGAGTGGGTCAGCTCTGGCATGCGACCCTCCACATCCCTCCGCCAGCACGTGTGCAACACAGCGCTGACAGCGGTCTACCTTCGTGTGCTTCGCCATTGCCAGGTCATCCCCAGGAATCTTCACAGTTATGATTTTGGGGCCACTTGGACGTTGAGTGTGGTAAGCAATGTTCGGCGTGATGAGCGACGTGCACGCGGCTAGAACCCGTGAAGCTCCTGGTTATCAGCTCAACTTGAAAGCCATCTCGGCTGCCTACAGTGTGACGATAGTCAGAACTCGGCGGGCAGTGTTGCCATTGAATCGGTTTTGGTTCCGAAGTCCAGGTTCTGTCCTGCGGCTCTGTCGCCCAGGTATTGCTTGACCTCCATCGTTGGGCAGTTCACCAAAGCAAATGCAGCCTTCCAGAACTTCAAAACAATTGACACAACACTGCAGGCAGGGCTCGCTGAGTCGTATGAGCGGATCGAGGGGAGTGCCGAGCAACTTGTGGCAATGCGTGTGCTTCTTTTCGTGCTTGATCGACACGCTGCTTGCAGTGGCTCGCCTACCTTGCACTTTGCTCGGTGTCCTTGGCCTACCTCCTGTGCGCCTCAGTGCTGACATCGTCGGTTTGAGACATTTTGAGACCATCCTGGCAGTGCGAAGAGGTACCATATGGCTGGGATGGGCCTGCTGCCGAACTCTTCCGGCGACTGGTACGCGACCAAGAAGTTGAAGACAGAGCCGACCAGTGCATCCGCGCGCTGCTGCGCATTTTGTCCATTGGCAATCACATGCCGCATGCTTGTGCTTGGAGACACGAGTCCGTTCGTACAGAGTTACATAAGACATGTCTCGGTGGAAAGGAACATCCAAACAGGCTGCCAAGAAAGAAAGAAAGAGGGAGGGAGAGAGAGTGCGTCGCTGGTGCAGAGCGGGCTCCTCTCAATCAGACTTCTCTGCTAATTTGTGCCTCTGTATCCGTTCTTCAGCTTTGTTGCGCAAGCTTTTTAGACTGCTTTGCGCCGAGGATTGCATTGATTCCCAACGTGGAGGTCATCGAGACAGCAGGCCCGCAGACCACCGGCAGAGTCAGAATTCTGCAGAGTCAGTGCATGTCATGGGCAAGACATCTCAAGGTGGGGTCTTGAAATGAGAGCCCGGTGCGCCCGGTTCGACATTTTGTTTCACCAAATCCGTGGGATGTACTATGATGTGCTACAGGACCAGGACATCGTTGCATCGTAGCAAGAAAGGATCCGATTCATGGCTGGATTTCATTTCATTCTGCTGTCAATGATCCCATGTGTTGGGCCCTTCTCCCACCAAGTGGCTTGCGCCTCTTCAGCTTGTCCAACAGCGGGCCAGGGAGGTGGGGGGAGGCGAGTGAGTGCTCGCAGCCTTTGCGTGATATCCTGCTTCAAAACTACGGGCAACAGGCAACATTGGTGCAGCGTCAAATCCTGGCTGAATGTGTCGTTGCCGTGGCTGCCACGGCATGCCCGGGCTTTTTTCATGCCCAACCTCCAAAAGTTTAGTTCGCCAACAGAAACATAGCCAGAGAAGCCAAACCAGGGCGAAGTCTACTTTTGTCACTTTCAGGTTTACATGAAACCGCTGAAAGCCCATGACCGTCCAACATGGCTCAAATGAGGTTTGGCTATGTTATACATGCACAATTGGTTGCATCTTTGCAGTTTCAGCCTGCAGTTTGTAGGTAGGCAGCTGCGGCACAGGCTTGCAGCTTCATGCAGTTTGCTGTAGCAGTAGCAGCTTTGCAGATACCAGCAGATCATTGAGGAGTGCAGCTTTAGACATTCTTGTGCGGAAGAGGCATGTCGCACATGGCTTGGCTGCATGGCTTCAAGGTTGCTGCCAGGCGAAACTGCCACTGTTGTAACCTTGACTTTTATGACGGTTTGCGGAGCTTGGACGAGGTGGCTCTGCCGAGCGAGGGTTTTTTTTTCGTAGCACCATCCACAAGCCGTGTCCCACGAGATGCATGCTCTTTCGAACCCTCACACAAACGTTGAAATCAACAGCAGCTCGGGGGACTGCAAAGTCGAAAGCCATACGGACTGAAAGAGAGGCACGTCGACGCAAAACCTCCAGCATGTCGCCCCAAAGCTCCACAGCTGACATCCGGATCGTACTGGTAGCACCCTTCACTTGCAAGCGGGACATGACTCCTGAACCTTCAAACCATGTTAAGCTCTTGTTAATCCTGGGCAGCGGAAGCTTCGGAGCCCCTAAAGCCCCGAACTTCAAGGACCCAGAAGAGTTGTTCAGTTTCCCTTCGTCATGGTTCTTGCCTTCCCAGGCAGGGTACAAAGATCGGAACCCGGCAGCGACAGTGACTCTGATCATGCAGGAGTCCTCAGGGTGCTAGACGTAAGCACTGCGTCAGGAGGCTTTGCTGTCATGTGAAACTGAGCCTGGAGGAGGCATCCGCGATGTACCCGCCATCACACGCTGTGCACGAAGCGCAGCTTGGAAGCACTCAGGCTTTGCAGACCTTTTAAAAATGAAGTTCCAGCAGCGTCTTGCTGCAGGATGACATCCTCGGTGCACCGACGAACACTCAGCATGCCAAGGGTGCTAGCAGTGCAGCAACACCGTGCTGAAAAGCATGTGATATGTAGTCAACCGTTGTTGGTGAAGCAAGCAGCGCATGCTGATTCAGGATTTTCGTGCCTGGTGAGTGCAGGACAAGTCGCCCGAAGCCGAGATCAGTAGGAACACAAAACGTCAGAAGACTACGATGACTACAAGACTACAAGTTCTGTAGAGCGAATGAAGAGAAGCGCATCATCGAGGATCTCCTCGAAAGCAGTCCTTGCCGATCTCTCCCGCCAGCAGCCCAGGTGTTTTACATCTTTTCTTACTCGGGAGCGCGGGTTTAGGGTTTATGGGCGCTGCGGCGCAGGTATTTTAAGGCTTTGTTTGTTGTTTGTTTTTTTGTTAAAGCTTTTGGGCGCCTGGGAGTCTAGGGGTTCCGGGTTCAAGGCGACGTTAGGGTCCCCTGCTTGGCTACCCCCCGCCCCTTCGCCTTCGAACGCCTCAGACGTCCGCAGGTCCGCTCTGCCAGAAATCTCTCACCCAGGCCCGGCCTGCTTGTGCTCTGCATGCGGGGGTTCACGAAAATTCGGGACCCCTAATATAGACCCCTGAATAGTAGGATTCCCTTATAGGAAGGACCCAAAGTTCAAAGTAAGGTACCCCGAATTTCGGAAACCTCCACATGACATCTGGGTTTTAGGGTTTAGGGTTTAGGGGCACTGCTTTGGCCTCGCCCATGCAGATGTGCACCTTGGCCAGGCGACTGTGGACCAACTCCCATGGTAGCAGCTCAGAGGCCCAGTGCCCACTTGCCAAACTCCAAACGCTATAGACGTCAAATATACATATATATATATATGTATGTATTTGTGTATATATATGTGTATGTATGATATCAGACATTTTCAGGCCAACTTTTATGTACTCTGTCATTGCAGGCGAATCTGGAACTGCCAGCCCCGTGGCCAAAAGTTGATGAGTAGAGCTTCTTTTGTGTTGCGCAAGCACGCGTGAGGCCTTCGACTGTTAGATGGTGATGGGAATAGTGAATTTGCCAGTCTGTCAGGCTTCAACCAGAACCTATTTCAGCTCTCCGGGTTCTTTGTGGGAGGCCCTCGGGTCACCGTCAGTCTCAGTTCAAGCCCTACGAGTAGCGACGCGACGCTTCATGTCGAAAGGCATCGCCGCGGAGTCCTCAGAAGGCATCTTTTCGGCCACAGCCTTGGGCGGCACCCTCGGTAGTTCGGGGAGCTCTGCACTCAGTCCGCTGCCCCTGCCCTCGCCTCTTGCAAGGCCCAGGAGCAGGCTGAGCTTGCATCTGAAGGAGATCCGCGCACAGGTCCAGGCACTGGTGGACTCGTGAGCTGCAGTAGGCAACGTAGTCCCGTGCCAGCGATTCTTTTGTGTGAATGACGAAGACATTCGATGGCTGGTGGTTCCAGGCGCGTCACGTCTGAGGCCGCCATGCTGCAGCATGCTTGCTGTGCTGCTGTGCTCTGGCGGTGTCCTGCTCACGTCTGCTCGCAGTGCTTCGCACCTCCAGTGCGAGGCCAGGGGAGCTGGCGTCGAATTCAACATCGAGTGGGCGATGGGACTGTCAGTCCCCCAAATTCGACGTGAAATTACGTGAACACATGTAAGCCGGTTAGGGGTAAAAAGGGCTGTGGACAGGCAGCGCGATCGTTTTAAATCGTTCATCCTAAGGCCCGGCTTCGCGACAATGTGCAAGTGGCCGCCTGCGTGATGGCCTCGCAGCCCCTGGAGAAATGGATTCAGGCAGATTCCAAATACGAAATACGGTTTCACCATGTTGTCTAACACAGCACATTGCAGTTCTCACTCCCTTGAAATACCCTGGGCTCCAGACTCTAACCTGAATCATGGCAACGACACTGGCGTGCATTGCAGGTGGGATCCACCCAGCTGCAGATGCGACAGGGAGAAGGGTTCTTTTCAGTGGGTCGGGCAACGGACCGCCGGATGAGTCGAACACGCACATCGTCGCGGCCAGCAGAACCGGAACCAGCGCCTTTCAGCCGGTGGAACATGGGACAGGTGAGATGGACGAAGGTTATGGTGCAGGCAACCTGTTTGGCGCCAGATCGCTCGTTGCCCGAAGTACACGCGGTGAACCCCAGCCTTCTGACATGGAGCACTGTGGAAGGGGATGGGCAGGAGGCCAGTCTGGGTTGAATCTCATTGCACACTCAGAATGTGACTCTAAACTGAACCATGTGGTTCCCCTTTCTGGTGGTGACAGTGCCGCGCACGCAGTTGCGATCCATCCAGCTGCAGATGCGACAGGGAGAAGGGTTCTTTTCAGTGGGTCGGGCAACGGACCGCCGGATGAGTCGAACACGCACATCGTCGCGGCCAGCAGAACCGGAACCAGCGCCTTTCAGCCGGTGGAACATGGGACAGGTGAGATGGACGAAGGTTATGGTGCAGGCAACCTGTTTGGCGCCAGATCGCTCGTTGCCCGAAGTACACGCGGTGAACCCCAGCCTTCTGACATGGAGCACTGTGGAAGGGGATGGGCAGGAGGCCAGTCTGGGTTGAATCTCATTGCACACTCAGAATGTGACTCTAAACTGAACCATGTGGTTCCCCTTTCTGGTGGTGACAGTGCCGCGCACGCAGTTGCGATCCATCCAGCTGCAGATGCGACAGGGAGAAGGGTTCTTTTCAGTGGGTCGGGCAACGGACCGCCGGATGAGTCGAACACGCACATCGTCGCGGCCAGCAGAACCGGAACCAGCGCCTTTCAGCCGGTGGAACATGGGACAGGTGAGATGGACGAAGGTTATGGTGCAGGCAACCTGTTTGGCGCCAGATCGCTCGTTGCCCGAAGTACACGTGGTGAACCCCAGCATTCTGACATGGAGCACTGTGGAAGGGGATGGGCAGGAGGCCAGTCTGGGTTGAATCTCATTGCACACTCAGAATGTGACTCTAACCTGAACCATGTGGTTCCCCTTTCTGGTGGTGACAGTGCCGCGCACGCAGTTGCGATCCACCCAGCTGCAGATGCGACAGGGAGAAGGGTTCTTTTCAGTGGGTCGGGCAACGGACCGCCGGATGAGTCGAACACGCACATCGTCGCGGCCAGCAGAACCGGAACCAGCGCCTTTCAGCCGGTGGAACATGGGACAGGTGAGATGGACGAAGGTTATGGTGCAGGCAACCTGTTTGGCGCCAGATCGCTCGTTGCCCGAAGTACACGCGGTGAACCCCAGCATTCTGACATGGAGCACTGTGGAAGGGGATGGGCAGGAGGCCAGTCTGGGTTGAGTTTCACTGCACACTCAGAATGTGACTCTAACCTGAACCATGTGGTTCCCCTCTCTGGTGGTGACGGTGCTGTGCACGCAGTTGCGATCCACCCAGCTGCGTTCAGTCCGAAGCTGACTGGTCAAGAGGCTAGTTTGTTCATAGTTCTCGACAAGCGAGGAGGGATCCCCACAAGTTTCAGAGTTGAGGGTTCGCGGCTCATTTTTGTTTTCTTGGGGGGTGGGTGGGGGCGTGTGGGCGTCCTCGGCCAACAAGAAGCTGCACTGATGATGTTTCCATGTAAAAACCGAGCCCAACCCCTATCTTCACCCGTTACAAGTTCATTCTAGTTGAGCGCGGTATTTTAGGACAAGCGGTAGCTTAATTGTATGAGAACTGTTTCGGAACCAGGCGCTTCGATGCTCTCGGACGTTGGAACTGTCACTGTGGCTGGCGATGGTCGCGGAGTCGGCGTCGGAGTCGGCAGGTATGGTGGGATGAGTCCGATGGGTGTGTCTGCATGGGGCTTCCGAACTCAACCAGGAAGCCCTGGCCCACAAAGCGAATGGAGAGTTGGACGCTGCAGTCAAAATCCCTCGTCACAGCGCCTCGCCAGCTCAAGCCGTGGGTGCAAAGCTCGCAGCGAGGCCCGCACGGCGCCTGCACCTGGACGCGCCCGCAAGGGCAAGAGCACCTTGCCTCACAGGTCCCCAGAAGCTCTGGGTCGATGTCCTGCGGTCGTGGGAACGTCAGCCGCTTGCAAGACCATGAGTGGTGGCAGTAGGAGCAGGATACTGCCAGGGGAGGGGGATGTGCTGGAATGCGGAGCGCGTTCTTCCTCGGCTTCACCGCTGCCTACATCCGGCAAAGGCACGGGCCTTTTCTTGACAACGCGCGCATGATTTTTGATGTGTATGCATTCTCTATAATGCCTGTCTAAGTCTAAGAGTAGCATGATGGGTTCCGTTCTCTGGTCAGTTTGCTGTTGCTGCTGCTGGTGCTGCTGGTGTTGCTGCGCCTGTGGCTGGATTTGTGGAGTCCACCCTTTGCTTTCTGATGGCTTCTGTCCATGCTTTGTTTATCAAGCCATTCCACAGTGCAGGTCGCCTTGCGAAGAGCTTCCATGTCAAAAAGTTCGGAGCAAGAAGCCATCAGGGCCAGCATGCCTCTCGAAGCCGACCTGGAAGCTCCACAAGGCCGGCGCAAGTGGACGCGGAGATCGAAGGAGCCGCCGCTGGAGGGAACCTCCCTTCGCCTTCCAACTCGACGGTTGTGGCGCCCTCGGCCATTCCCGGAAACATTCAGGGGGCCGATCAGAAAGCGGCCCAGGAGGGCGCCGAGACGAGAGCCCCGGTTTCCGATGCCAAGACCGCCACGACTTGCGAAGACTCCAAAGAGCCGTTGGCCGCATCAAAGTCCACGAGCGATAAGATCGCATCGCAAGACAAAGGCTGGCTTACGGGTGCTTAGTTCCCTGTACATGCAGGTGCTTGCAGCATCTTGCCGCAACTTGCGTAGGAACTCCGGCTCCGGAAGAGAAGCCTGAAGAGCCTGGCCGGGACCAAAGACGTTTCAGTTTCACCATGTTTGACTTGCTTTTTGACGGACGGGTGAATGGCACAGGTGTAGGTCGAAGGAGCGTGACTGGCAATGACTGAGGCAAGCAAAGCACCGTCAAGGGTCGCTCAGATCCCGATAGATTGGGAGCAGCAATGCTGGGATAGTATGAGTCGTATCCGTCTGACACGGGTCGCGTCGCTTGTGGCATGATGTGGCACGCGCAGAAAGCTCCTGTACCAAGGCAAAGGGAAGGGAAAGCTACCACCGCCAGCTGTGCCGAAGTGCGCAGCCACACCGCCCATCTTTTGTTGAATCCCAAACTTGCTGTTGCTGTGGTGTGTTGCCTCGTGCTTCAAAAAGGCAGAAGGGTGATGGAAAGAACGGGAAAGGAGTAGCGAAAGGAGACCACAACCACCTCAAGGCCCCTTCGATCCTCAGCCCGTATTTCGTGATTGCAACGGAGGCACTCACATCCGAATCCGTCCGAATCCGTCACCTACAGGTAGAGGAGGCAACGACGATGCGAAAAGCAGAGGCCACCGGGAGACTATGGTCGACCCTCGTGATGTTCCCCCTTCTACTAGCAGTCCTTAATAGGGATTCTAGTACCCGTACTATAATTCTATCAAGGACTGCTAGTATGAGGGGGAACATCCCAAGTAGAATGCATGTTGGTCTCCAAGCAGTTGACGATTGTTCCCTTGGCAGAACAAAGCATTGCAACTGACCAGGTCATCCCCACCGTCCAGGTCAAACGTATTTTCTGGAACCCCATCCACCTCCGAGCCCATGGCAGCTGCACAGTGTGCTGCCCTTGTGACAATGGCACACGCTGCATCCTATTCGCTTGCGAAATGTCATGAGATGCACAATGACATGATCTGAAGTCTGCTCTCTGAAAGTTCAGCGCCTTGTCATGAGTCAGAATCGAACAGGAGTCACAGCCAGAAGTATTCACTGATCGAACACTTCATTCCCTGCCACTGTCCAGATGGGATGCCATTGACGACGAAACCTATTCGATTGATTTGGAGGACTGCGAACCATAAACCGTTGAACTTCAGCATGTGCACCAGCGCATGAGGTTTCGCAGTTGGCATTGTTTGTGGTCGTCGGCGTCGGCGTCGTCGTTGGCGTTGTGGTGGTGCTAGTGGTGGTGGTGGTGGTGGTGGGGGGTGATGGGTGGTGGGTGGTGGGTGGCGGGCGGTGGGCGGTGGGCGGTGGGCGGTGGGCGGTGGGCGGTGGGCGGTGGGTGGTGGGTGGTGGGTGGTGGGTGGTGGGTGGTGGGTGGTGGGTGGCGGGTGGCGGGTGGCGGGTGGCGGGTGGCGGGTGGCGGGTGGTGGGTGGTGGGTGGTGGGTGGTGGGTGGCGGTGGCGGTGGCGGCGGGGGGCGCGGAGGCGGTGGTTGTGGGGGTGGTGGTGACTGCTTCTTCTTGTGATGATTTTCCGCGAAAGAGGCCGAACATGCCGTAAAAACCGAGGATTCTGAGGCAGCCCGGCCCACCCTCACAAGAGAAAATGCAACAGCAAGCAAAGACAAGTTTTTCTGCGTGGTCAAACATGCGAAGCCTCCAGCAACTCTTGTGTGAAGCACTGTGGCCAGCTGAAGTGAAAGAATACTGCAAAGAACAGCGTGACGAAAACGCAAGCTTTTCCAAGATCACCCTGCTGCCAAAACACCGACACCACTTTTTTGAATAAATCAACAAACGTTCCACGGCGGCGAATGGGAGACCTTCCTTGTTTTCTTCTTTTCGTTATGTTGTGGCGGTTGTGGTGGGTTTTCTGTGGTTGTTGGCTGTCATGTAGTGGCTGTTTCTCTGGTTGTTGGTGGTGGTCTGGTGGTGGTTGCGGCATTGCCGCTTCTGCGTTGCTTTTGCTTGACTTCTTCTGAGAACAAGAAGCAACATGACGAAGGAGTTGGAGCGCCTTTTTGCGGAAGTCAGAAGTCCAAGAGGAAAAGCGGAAGAAAAGGGAGGTGGAGCTGCAGAGCTTATGCGTTTGAGCCTCTATGAGAGGGCGGTGCCAGCCAGGTGAGGGAAAGCGGATCATCCGAGTCTTCGATGAGCAGAGGCGCAGGCAAAGACGCCTGTTGTCTTGGGCCTGGCGGAGTCCAGCATAGTCTAGCGCTCGAGAGCAGAACGGCGGATGCAACATGCTTCTCTGCAAATCTGCCGGGAGGCAGATATGCATCATGATTGCCCGGCTGCCTGGCGCTCGGCCGAATTTCGAATGAGCCTTCCTTCTGGAGTTCTTTTCTGAACAGAGGGGCCTCCTTGGATGTTATCATTCTTGTCAATTTAGGCCTGGAAATGTCTTGAAGCTGGTGAGCGACATGGACTCCCAGAGGCCACTGCGGTTCTGTGAAATAGGGCTGTGAGTGAAAAGTTTTGGCTTGCAAAACAGAACCCGGGGGGTTAGCCCGCGACGAAGCTTGTGACAAAAGGGTCAGCCATCCCGCGACAAGGCCTGCGACAACCCGCGACAACCCCGGGAAAAGCTCCGACAACTCAGCCAAACAGTCGTCCCCTTCACTACACTGCAGACAATTTTCTAGCAAGACCTGTCAAAGCCTTGGCCCTGAGCCCCTAAGCCTAAACCTTCGAAAGCCCTTTCTCTGCGACCCCTGTGAGGCGAAGAAAGAAAGCTTCTAGCCGAAGTTTCAACACGTAGGTTTGCAAGCCATTCGTACAACAGGGTTTGTGAATATGTACATATATCTAAGGGGGTTGAAGAAGGCCGCCCGACAAAGAGTATGAAACAGGGAGGGGCGACCTCCACGACAAAGGGGGTTTTGTGTCATCATTCAAGTTCACGAGCTGTGCAAATGGCATCATTTAAGTTCACGAGCTGTGCAAATGGAAGGCTGGGCAGAGATGAGGCGCGCAGATGCCCAACACCAATGATGAAGGGCCATGGGGCCCTTTGCGAATTTTATGGTCCCGCCGCAGGTTGAACTTCTCCTGCAGAACAGCCCATCCGCCGAAGAAACACAGATGCTCCGACGCGCGCTAGAGGACCTCGGAGTATCTTTCCGTTTGGCAAGAAAGACTTGCTGATCTTGCAAGGAGAATGTCGTGGACGAAAACAATGTTTGGGACACGGCAGAGGACTTGAGATCAGAAACGGTTTGCAGCATCGAGTCTTGTCAACAGTTTTTGAATGGCCATGATGCCCTAAACCCTAAACCCTAAGCCCTACTAGAATCCTTTCGTGGGATGTATGAATGGGCACACCATTGCACGCGAGCCAGGACTTCATGTTGTCGCTGCTGGCGATTCCTCGAGTTCAATTACGGTTGAAAGTATGGGGATTCGTGACTTCCTTTCAGGACCCGATTCACCTGCAAGAGCTCTGCCAGGGGGAGCATTGCTGTTGAATCTGCTCTCGTTGATTGCCGTCGATTCCCCAGGAGAAGTTCGAGCACATCGCAGCTGACGTGGCTGGCGTGATTGCTGGATGTCGATGTTTGCTTTCATCAATGAGGGTGAGGCGCACAAGCGGTCCCCACATCCTCCGACGATATTTCGCGACCTGCTGTGCGAAGGCACTTGCTGGGAGTTGCTCTACATGCAGGCAATTTTCTGAATGGTGGAACTCGGCCACACACTCAGAGACGCAAGAGGTTTTGTGACAGCAAAAAAATCCACAAGCTGCGGTCGAACCAAAAGACGAAATGCAATGTCATCTTCAACATGTATCGTGCTCCCCACTCTGGCAACCGGATGAACTCAGATTTGCTGCGACCTCCGACAAGGAAATAGGGGCTTGTCGGTACCTGTGACGCTATCCCAAACAAAGGCTTCACAGAGTCCCACTGCATCAATGGAGACTCACCAAAACCCCTCCGACAGTACATGCAACTACTTGTCCTATGGATTCGACATGGCTCGACCAGCATGTCTAGGAGACTATGGGGATCGGTGTGCACGGACATGCACTCGCAGCGATGCGGTATGCCATTTCGCACTTATACATGGACCGACTCGAGAAAATGTCGTTAGTGTGGGAGCCGAGATGACCCACGGCGGACTGGGGTGCTTGTCTGTCGGCTTCTGAAACTTGATATCCTTGAGGCGTGGCCGTGCAGACGGTTTCGCCATGGAAGCCTTACTGCAGCTTCGAACTGTCAAGGCCACGCAGGCTGGGGCGCAATGCACCGCAAGCCAGGAATGGGTCGTTGACTCACGGGGTTTGGGGGCGTTGCCAGGCTGCCGATCAGACTCTGGTTCATTTCATCACGCTTCAGATGGAGAAACGGTGCCCCATCAATCGAAAGTGTGTCAAGGCTGTCAAGGCTGTGGAACGGTTTTTTGGTTTGCAGGTATCCAGGGGAGCTTGCCAGCTGAAGCCTGAGCGTGCTTGGTGTTGTGCGCCCCGCCCCCTCCACCCGCAATTTGGTCTGGTCGACGCACGCTTGGTGGGCCTTTGTCATCTTTCGTGTGTGTGTGTGTGTGTGCGTGTGTGTGTGTGTGTGTGTGTGTGTGTGTGTGTGTGTGTGTGTGTGTGTGTGTGTGTGTGTGTGTGTGTGTGTGCATCTGCACGCTGCTCTGCTTTTCACAACATCTTTTCCAGGCCTGTTCTCCCAGGGGCAGGAGGCGGATTGGATCCGCCCGAGCCTTGGTGTACCTTCGCCAAAAGGTGATCATACGAAAGGCTTAGACCTTTTTGACGTAAGAGACGATTCGTCCTTCTTTCAAGGACATGCTGCCAGACGCCCCATCGAGGACGCGGCACAGGAGATTGCAAGAGTCGCAGAAGTTGTCGCCTTCAAGATCCTTCAAGAGCCGTACCTGGACAGGAGTCCGGCGCGCTACTGGCCCAAGCGGTGCAGATGATGAAGACTATCCGACTGGTGCAGATCGGCTGCATCTTTCGATTTGTCTTTTCCAGAGAGGGTCGGAGCTCCGACGCAAGATGGAAGGGCTGAGATCTAGTTAGTGAGATGAATGTCTGGAGCATCTCAGGATCGAAGAAGATGTGTCGGAGGGCGTTTCTCGCAAGGAGGAGAATCTTGGTGCTGGGTCTGAGTGACTCCTGATACCACTGCAGCAAAAGCTTTGAGGACGTTCTCCAGCACTACGGCGAGTGCCTGTCCATGTGCGTGGCGGAACTTGAAGCGCTACAGGGGAGAATAGGCCCTTCTTGTCCGGCAATGCGCTGCGCTGTGGGTTCAAGCGAGATTCTCGCAGAGGCGTGGTGAATGTCAAGTACCAAGAGGTGTGTGAGTGGCGCGAAGCTCGGAGAGTGCCTCATGGATGAGCCGGCTTTTGCGACATCTTCGTTAAGGCTGCACATCGATGCTGATCACCGCAAGCCCAGTGATGAGCGCCCCAGTTGCACGTCGGCCAGCAGTTTATGCTCTTTCTGCGTTCCAAGCTTAGGATGCATCAGGAATCACCAGGCAATGCACACACCTGCTCCAGGCTGTTTGGGATTTGGCATCAATTCCTGGAGGACGGGTCCAGTATGCAATGCCAGCTGTAGGCAACGGTGAGGCACAGCATGATAGAATTTCTGAGAAGTTGACCCGGCCATCGTGAAGCAAGGGCAATCGCTCCCGAGAAGGTCTTTGAGTCTTGAGATGCCCTTGCAGGGCCTGGCATGCAAAAGGCGCCAGATGCACACTGCGGAAGCTGTCCGTAGCAGTGTGGCCAAGGCCCAAACAAACATGGAAGCAAAAGACATCACATGGTCAGTTCTGAGCGTGCTCACGGTCTCGTAGTGATGTGGCTGACGACACTGTCAGTCGTTTCAGCACTCTTTCCGCAGGATCTGAAAGCCGCCCGGCGCGCCCTCCAGGAGAAGGATTCCGTCCTGTCCTTGCATTGCCTTGAGCTGAAGCGTAGCAGCCCCTCAGTCCCCACTGCCCTCACTGACGAAGGGTCTTCAGGGTTTAGGGTTGAAAGGGTCTTCTGCGCAGGAGGAGCAAGCGCTTCGTAGGCGGCTGCTTTTTGCGCTCCGTGTGCACCACTACGCGCATGTGTACCCATCTTCCATCATGTTGTGACTGAGACGAAGCCTGACGCAGGCAGAAGCGTCCGGTCCATCGCAGGAGGCGGCGAATCGGAAATGGATTAAAAAGGAAGGGAAGGTCAATTTTAAGTTGTATCGTACTTCTACTCGACCTAGAAAGTCCTAGGTAGTAGGTTTCCGACAGAGCAGCGGAGCAGAGCTGAGCACAGCGGCTCAGCGCATGAAAAAAGCTTGCAAGGAGACAGGTACGAAGATCCGTCACGATGCCCAACATTGCTGCAAGCCAGGACTGTGCGTGGAGCGACAGATTTCTCATGATCAGTAAGGAAGCTGTGCATAGACAGCAGAGCTTGTTTTGAGGTGTTTTGAGGGGTTTTGAGGGAGAGCAGCAGGAAGCGGCGAAGGCGATACACCAGGAGCGCCACGTCATGGAAGTTTCTGTGTGTCATCTCACTGTGCAAGTTTGCTGCAATGGTCAGATGTGCAAATTGTGGAGGTACCTCCGTTGCGCCTCCTGTCGAGCAGCGAGCTTGGAGAGGCAAAAGTGGATTCGGAAGCCAGTTGCAATCGATGTCAATGTGGACGTGCCAGCAGGATGCGTCAGCAAGTTCAAGCGAACTTCGTGTACGATGTAAAGAGCGCAAAGCCGCAAGTTGTGACGTCAGCCATTCGGAGGCACCCCGCCAGTTTGGAGCGCTGCATCTCGAATTTAGTCCCCAGATGCTTAACGATGAGGTGGGGTTGCATTCGCGCGCCAGGCCTCTTCCACGACAAGCTCTGGCGAAGAGCTCGCTGAAAAACCCTGCCAGCATAGCCAAACTGCCGAGCAGGTGCCGGGGAGTTACTTGCTGTTCGTGATGATGCTGATTCTGATTCGGAGTATTTTGGCACAATATTGTCATTAGTATTGTGATTGTCATCCTTGGTGTGTTCCTGTTGCCTAGCAGTTGCTGGCGCGGCTTGAGAATACTGTGCTAATGTGTTCAGAAGCGTCGGATGTAAACCAAGGTCACACCTCACACATAAATCCTGGATCCTGTGTCCTCACCAAGCTTGGCCAAAACCTACCTAACCCGGCACCTTCCACATGCTTTAGCCCAATGTCGCCCACTGCTAAAATTTCACTTCATGGCCAGATTCATGCAAAGTGCCGACTGCCCCAAACCCAGCTCCAAACCCATCTTTTCTCAACTTCTGTTGAAGAGGGGGTCTGCTTCTTGGTGATTAACGCTTGTGAGCCGGCTTGTACCGACCTCAAAACACCCGCGACACTTTGAGAATACCGTCCAGCAACTTTGAGTGCCATGTGTGGGCTCTTCTGGACCAGCAGTTGCTTCTCCTTTTTGGATGAGAGCCACACTTTGGAGGCTAATATAATGCAGTATCACAAGATCGCAATAGCACAATGTAATTCTGTAATAGTGGAATCATGTAATCATGTATTAAAGAAATAATGTAGTAGTCTAAGAATTCAACAATGCAATAGTAATATACCATCATGTTACATAGTAATCTCATCATACAGAAACTTAATACTACAACATTTGAAAGGCTATAGCGTTTTCTGAAAATCATTCTCCGAGTAGGCAGTGGCTTGTGCTGTCTCGGGCCAGGGCGGCGCACTGGCTCGTCTTGGTCCTTCGGAGAAGCTTCAAGACGGCGAAGGTGCAGGTGTCCATGTCCTTGCGGAGGCTCCGAACTGGTTTAGGGGGTTTAGGGCTTTGGGGGTTAGGGTTTAGGGCTTGGGGTTTGGGGATTGGGGTTTGGGGTTTAGGGTTTAGGGCTTCTGCCATCATCCGCAGCTAGTCTGCTGTTTGAAAAAGCTCGAATGCAAATTCAACCTTCGGATAACTTTTTGGTCCGGTGGCTTGCGTTGCCACCAGAGGAAAAACTGATCTGAGGGGCCGCGGCCACCTGCAGCTGAAAGTTTGAGTGCTACTGTGGTTTCCCGTCTATGGCCAGCCAAAATTTGGCAACGTTCGGCAAGCGGTTCTATGAAATTTTAGGCGGCAGTGGCAGCAGCCCCCGCCAGCAAGATATCTGGCTTCAATTGCAGAATCATGCGATGCGACGCTTGCGAGGCTGACGCGCACGGTCGCAAGGAACACTTGCGCTTTCCTTTCCGTTGCGGAACTCTGGTGTTTCAGGATGTTCCACCGACAAAGAGTTGCCCCAGCGTGTTAACGTTGATGATTTGTAACATAACGTGGGTTGGGCTCCCAAGGTCGAATCCCCCCGTCCACTGCAAGTCTGCGACAATGCCGTAGTACCAGAAGTTGTAACTTGTGGCTTTAAGCCCTGTGACTGGGAACAGAGGTCACTGTGGCGATATTGGCACCCTGAATGAAGAACACGCACTGGCATGACTGCTTCTGGACTGTGTGGGTTGCTTTGAGTGTCACCTCCACATGACCGTGACACTGTGGGCTTTCAACACCACGGGGCCACCTCAGGCAGGTACTTGAGAGCATGTGCGATCGTTTGATCTCATTGGAAATTAAATGACATGCAAGAGACAATCGGCATGCGCTTGCATAAAAGTACAGAAATCGATCCAGAAACACAGGCTTCTCGCATACTGTGTGAGTCCGCATGCGTGGTCTGCACATGTCAGGTTCAACGCATCACATGCACAAGTCGACCATTGAGAATGGGAACTTTCATCGTGTGAGTCTGCATGGCTGCTGTCAGGGAACTTCAGCGGTTCTTGGTCCTTCAAAGAAGCACCAACATGCCGCTGAGGACAGCAGCAGCAAGTAGCTCAGCAACCAATCAACAACATCCAATAAACATCCGGTACTCCATGACAGGAGTCGCCCGCGCTTCCAGTTCAAGATGTCCAGCGCGATGTCGTGCAAGCTTGCGAGCAGGCCTCCCGGATGATGGCAACCTGGTATTCCAGCACACACTGCATGTGTGTGTGTGTGTGTGCGTGTATTTGGCTTCGGGGCTTCCTGGCTTTTCGGCTTGGTTTGTGTCCGCAGGTTTTATGGTTTCGTGGCTCTGCACACCCTGTGCTGCCAAACCAAGCTCAGATCTGGACCGCACGACATCGCACGCCTTCCCTCTCACACTAACGAACTGTTGCCAACCACACTCTCAGATAAACAGAGACAACCAAATCAACACAAGCAGAGCCACACCGCAAAGGCCCAAGCCAAGGCCTTTTAGAGGCTTGAGATATCTTGAGATGCCAGGTGAGGCGAGACGAACTTTGCGTTTCGTTCCTCCCGGCCTCTGTCGGTCTAAAGCAGTGTCCAAGGCGAAATCAAGAAGCCAAATTTTGTTAGCCCCAACTGGCTTCTTGGCGGCTGCTGCCATAGTTGCAAGAGCCACGCCCCTCCTTGCACCTCTGCCCGGCAGCGGTTAGCAGAATCAACAGGGCAAGCAACAAAGCATCACTGATCAACAGAAGCTCGCTCTCAATCTGCATCCGCCTGTTCTTGTACTAGTGGCTTTTGCTTGGCTGATTCCTTTGCGGCACAGGGCAAGTGTGTTGACCTTGACGTTGCTAAGCAGACAAGCGCAACTGTTGCAGCAGCGTCCGTCAGGTATCTCTACACTAGTCTAGGCGCCATACTGCTGCGTAAGGGTTGGCCTATAGGGCCTGAGAAAGTATCCATGTCAGGGTGGCTCGGTTCTTGGTCCTTCTGAGAAGCTCCAGGACGACAGTGTTGAGGAGCTGAGCCATGCCGTGTGCCCTTTCCGTGTCGCAGAGTGTGGCCCATGGCTTCATCATGCCTTTGCTTCTTTGCTTTGCAGGAGCCCTGCTCAGAGAGCACATGTAGTGACAGGCATGGCCGCAGATTTCTCGCTGTGATACCAGAGTTGTCACCTATTACTTGACAGCACAAGCTCGTGAGGCGCAGCTCAGCATTTCAGTGCCTGACACGGGAGCGGATGAGGATGCGTGAGCAGACGTTGTCCCAGTCAGGCGTTGCTTGAAATTGAGTGCCAGAGCGGAGTCACGTGAATGAAAGGACTGATGGAGTGTTCGAAATGGTCTTCGCAATACCGTCAAGTGAGCACGCTGTTGGAATCGACCAGGGGCAAGAGTGCTCTCGAACCAGCGAGCCTGCCGGCGTTGAAGAAAAGCAGAAGGCATCAGCATGCCATGGCATGGTCCATGCTCCACACACTTGACGACAACGCTGTTGGAGAATGTTACTGTGGGATGTAGAATACGGGGGACCTTCATCCTTCATCATGTCGATAATCCGAATCTCGCAGAGCCATCGCGCTGAGGCCCCCAAGTCAGGCTTGCAGGCAGCAATGAAGTTCGACCACAAGAGGGTTTAGGACCATTCAAATTTTTCCCTATAGGCACAGAACCCAAGGGCAGCTAGGGTTTCGGAATGGCATGAGTTCAGAAACCTTGATCTCGCAGAGTGTTGGCTCGCTCTCGATGCTGTTCGCCGAATCTGCCTCGGCTCACACTTCCCAGAGTTTCGCACACTCCACTATCTCCAACGCGCTCCTGTGCTCCCAGCTACAACTTCTCCAGTACACTGGCAAACAAACATTGTGAGTCCAGTGAAGGCAGCGAAGGATCATGTCAGGGTGTACTGATTGTGCTGATGTACAGAGTTCCATTCTACTAGGTGCGCCTCATGCAGCCTTCCACATCTCCAAACCGCATCTTTGTACAAGCTACTCATCGCGCGCTTGATTGTGGGCCTCAGCCATGAGAATGCAGCATTGGCAACTTCGAAACCGCTCGATGTGGCCACAGTGACCATGCTACCTCCAAGCCCAGCTCCTCCGCCAACGCCGCCTCATGTGACATGGCCCAGCACCCCCGGGGCACCTTTGCCGCCAAGTCCGTGCAGCGTGCCGGCGGCACCGTTTCCCCCACCGCTGCAACCGCCACAACCGACTCTACCGCCACAACCGCCACAACCGCCACAACCGCCACAACCAGCACCCAGCGGACCCGAAGACTGCGCGCTCTCAGCCGTGCCTCAGTGGGCCCTTGACCAGCCCGGCGCCAAGTTTTGTAGAAGAACTGCAGGTGTTCGATACTGTTTGCACTTGGAGAGGTTTGGCATGCGACAGCTTGCGGTTGTCAAGAATCAATGACACTTAATAACCACTTACTGAGTTCGATTTTGATGGCCTGCGCTTTTACTGTGGCTTCGAGTCCAAGTCAGCCAAGTCGCCAATATTCGCCAATGATCAATCTGCTTCTTCTGTTGTCCAACCCGACTAGGATGGAGCTGGCAATTCGATCTGTGCATGAAGAGGACCGCGCATGACTTGCTTTGCACAGGGGATGCCCAGTGTTGCGCAGACATGGTTGCTATGGTTTTGCTATGGCCTTTGCTCAATGTCAGGTAAGCCGATTCATGACTGCATCGTCACCGTCAGCGGCATCAGCTCTAAGCCGTGAGGTGTCCCGAGCTTGGCACTGCAAACAAGAAGGGTGGCTGCACTGTATTTTTTTGGGAAAGCCCTGAGCTGCATTCAGGTTTGATATGAAATCTTGGCACTGCGAGCAGCAGCTGCGCGAGGTGCTTGATCGTGTTGCGTACTCGGCGTTATTCAGGGCAGTTTGCATGCTGTTGCTTCTAGTTTGTCGCAATAGCAAAGACGATCCTTTCAGGTTCGAAGCCTTGTGCCACCAGGTGCGGCAGTGCACATGCTGCTGTGTCCAACAAAGATGAATGAGCCGCAAGGACGCCCAAGTCCGGAATCTGGAATATGGGCTGATGCTGAGCCTTCCCTCCTTGCGGACCTTTTCCGCAGCATCGACCTCGACACGACGGAGCATCAGGCAACGTTGCCTTGGATTTTGGGTGAACTCTGAGTCGGGCTTTCGGCTTGGGCAGGCTCACATACAACAGCTGGTTCTTCAGAGAGGTGTGTCGCTTCTGCACGCCCATCCTGCCTGGGGCCCAGCCGACCCAGCTTCGTTCAGCATGATAAAGCCTTCCCTTGCTCCCCAGCATTGCCTGAGGCCTTGGGAGTCCGTCCGCTCGAGCATGCCATCTTGCATGGTCGCCGAAGAAGTGTGCGAACACTGCTGGTGCCCTCTGCCAAGACTGAGGATCTCTGAGTTGTGCTGTCGGCATGATGCAGGCCTTGGGAGCCAGCATCGCAAGCGCTTCTGATCGTGTGCAGCTCTACTACGCAGCCCTGCAAAATGGTTTGGACGAGGCAGTTGTTTGCGGGCCTTTGTCGGCATTGTTGGTTGACGGGCGGTGCATAGGACCATGTAGAACTCGCTTGGATTCGCGCATAGGTCGTCGCAGAGCTCTCTGCCTGGGCAAAGTCGCCAGATGCCGCAATCCAAGCGCTTTGTTATGCAGCACACAGTTGCAGTTGTTTGCTGAGGATGTAGCCTAGCGGATGTGGCAACGTCTTGTTTTCTTTGGTTTCTCGTCACCTGTGCACCACCCTGCCCTCTGTACACCTGTACACCACACACCTTTGCTGGAAGTATGTCTCTTACTATTCTTACTATTCTTACTATTCTTACTATTCTTACTATTCCTACTATTCTTACTATTCTTACTATTCTTACTATTTTTACTATTCTTACTATTCTTACTATTCTTACTTTTCCTACTATTCCTACTATTCTTACTATTCTTGCTATTCTTACTATTCTTACTATTCTTATTATTCTTACTATTCCTACTATTCCTACTATTCCTACTATTCTGCTATTCTTGCTATTCTTACTATTCTTACTATTCTTACTATTCTTACTATTCTTACTGTTCTTACTATTCCTGCTGTTCTTACTATTCTTACTATTCTTACCATTCTTACTATTCTTACTATTCTTACTATTCTTACTATTCTTATTTTTCCTGCTGTTCTTACTATTCCTGCTGTTCTTACTATTCTTACTATTCTTACTATTCTTATTTTTCTTCCCAATATGCTTGCCGCGATTCTTGTTTTCCTGGTATTAACGCTGAGGCCAAGCGTGAGCTTTTTGCTTCGGCCCAAGACGGGGACGCGCTACGCTGCAGCCAACTTGTGCACATGAAGGCCTCTCGGAAGGTTTTGTACTGATGGCTTCCCAGTGGTGTAGGGCCAGACAGTCGTTCTGCTCGCCGAAAAGACTGCCTGCCTGAATGGTTGTGTGCACGTGTGGGTGTGCGTGTGGGCGTGGGTGCGGGTGCGGGTGCGGGTTGTGGGTGTGCGTGCCGGTGTGGCTGTGGGTGTGTCTGTGTGTGTGTGTGTGTGTGTGTGTGTGTGTGTGTGTGTGTGTGTGTGTGTGTGTGTCTGTGTGTGGTGTGTGTCTCTGTGTGTGTGTGTGTGTTTGACGTGAACGGCACGCAACCAGGCTGATGCTAATTGGAGGGATGAGACATCTGGCTTCAGTGCAGCTTGGTTCTTTTAATGGCAACATGTATTGCCCGGTACAGAACCTTGGTGTCTTTTTGTCCTTTTTTGTCTTGGCAAGTGGCTACACCAAAACGTGTTGCGGACCTTTCAATCAGGTACTCGAGTGGGCGATACTGTCAGATGGAGGGGAACGTGGTGTTGTAGAGACACTGCTGCCCTTCGCCGATGACATGGTGCCTCGCCAGCAGCTGTACAAAAAAGTAACTCAGCCCGCCGCACTTCAGCTTGCCGAGGCAAAGCAGAGCCACGGCGCCCAGCTGCTCACGAAAGTGTGATGCATGTTGGTTTCGTCCCGCTCTCAGCCTTGCACTGGTTTCGTCTTCTGCACAGGTTCTCTGCGCATGTGCGCGCTGCAGGGTGGAGCACCCAGCAGACGAGTCAGATTCAAGTATTGTCACTCACTGTCGTGCAATATTCCACCGATCTGTGTATGGTCAGGCGTTTGGCGTGTCCGACCCCCCCACCCCATGGTATGGTCGGGTGCAGTCCAAGCTCTCACCAGCTAAAACCGCCCACAACCACACCCCGGGAACCCAGACCATGATGCTGGACGCCCAACACACAGAGCCCCAAACTCTAGAACCCACCCAGGCGGGGGGGGGGGGGGGTTACACCCCCAAAGCCCGAAAATCCACCAAAATCAACACAACCAGGCCACAGGGGTGGTACTTAGACCAGGGGGCGCCCGGAGCGCCTGATTATATGGTCAGTTCTATGGCTACCGCCAGTGCCGCTGACCCCCTCCAAGGGGGGCCAAGGCACTGTGGGCTCCGTGGCGGGGAGCGGGTGCGTGGGTGGTGGGGGTAGGGGCGGAGGGGAGCCATGGGGCCAGGAGCCATGGGTCCATGAGGGGCATGGGCGGCGGGGCAGGGTGCGTGAGGGGTAAGGGGTCGGGAGCTGGGTCCATGAGGGGTCGGTCAAGGGGATGGAGAGTGGGAGCATGGGCCAAAGGAGAGTGAGTAGGCGGAGCTGGAAGGGCGGAGGGCGGAGCGGGCGGAGCGGGCGGAGCGGGCGGAGGGCCCGGGCATGCACTGGGGCCTTTAAAGTCAGCTGAGAAGCCACATCCATGGGCCGTGGACCATGAGCCATGGGGAGCCATGGGGCCAGGAGCCATGGGTCCATGAGGGGCATGGGTGCGTGAGGGGTAAGGGGTAGGGAGCTGGGTCCATGAGAAATAGGTCAAGGGGATGGAGAGTGGGAGCATGGGCCAGAGGGGAGTAGGCGGAGCTGGAAGGGCGGAGGGCGGAGCGAGCGGAGCGGGCGGAGCGGGCGGAGGGCCCGGGCATGCATTGGGGCCCTTTAAAGTCAGCTGAGAAGCCACATAGGGTGCGTGCGGGGTGGGGGTGGGGGTTGCGGGAGGGGAGTAGGCGGAGCTGGAAGGGCGGAGGGCGGAGCGGGCGGAGCGGGCGGAGCGGGCGGAGGGCCCGGGCATGCACTGGGGCCCTTTAAAGTCACTGGAAGGGCGGAGGGCCGAGAAGCCACATCCATGAGCCGTGGACCATGAGCCAATGGGGCCAGGAGCCATGGGTTCAGTGGGGGGCGGGGTGCGTGGGTGGGTGGGGGTGGGGGTTGGGGGTTGGGGGTGGCAGGGTGCGTGCGGTGTGGTGGTGGTTGGGGGTTGGGGTGGAGCAGGGGCCCTCTAAAGGACCACCCCCACCCCGCACGCACCCTGCCCCGCCGCCCGTGCTTGTCATGGGCCCCTTGCTCCCATGGCTGACTTCAGTGCATGCCCGGGCTTTCCGTCCGCTCCGCCCGCTCCGCCCGCTCCGCCCACTCCGCTCGCTCCGCCCTCCGCCCTTCCAGCTCCGCCTACTCCCTCTGGCCCATGCTCTCACTCTCCCAGCTCCCTACCCCTTACCCCTCACGCACCCATGCCCCTCATGGACCCATGGCTCCTGGCCCCATGGCTCCCCATGGCTCATGGTGCACGGCCCATGGATGTGGCTTCTCAGCTGACTTTGAAGGCCCCAGTGCATGCCCGGGCCCTCCGCCCGCTCCGCCCGCTCCGCCCGCTCCGCCCGCTCCGCCCGCTCCGCCCTCCGCCCTTCCAGCTCCGCCTACTCACTCTCCTTTGGCCCATGCTCCCACTCTCCATCCCCTTGACCTACCCCTCATGGACCCAGCTCCCTACCCCTTACCCCTCACGCACCCTGCCCCGCCGCCCATGCCCCTCATGGACCCATGGCTCCTGGCCCCATGGCTCCCCTCCGCCCCTACCCCACCACCCACGCACCCGCTCCCCGCCCATCCGCCCTTCCAGCTCCGCATACATTCCCCTTGCCCTCGCCCCCCCCCCGCCACCCCCCCCGCAACCCCAACCCCCACCCCTCCAACCCCCACGCACCCCGCCCCCCACTGGACCCATGGCTCCTGGCCCCATTGCCTCCTGGTCCCATTCTTCATCCCTCGACCTGCAGTTGCGGGAGGGGAGTAGGCGGAGCTGGAAGGGCGGAGGGCGGAGGGGGCGGAGCGGGCGGAGCGGGCGGAGGGCCGGGCATGCACTGGGGCCCAAAGTCAGCTAGAAGCCACATCCATGAGCCGTGGACCATGAGCCAATGGGGCCAGGAGCCATGGGTTCAGTGGGGGGCGGGGTGCGTGGGGTGGGGGTTGGTGGGGGTGGGGGTTGGGCGGTGTGGGTGGGGTTGGGGGTTGGGGTGGAGCAGGGGCCATTTTTCGGACCAGCCTTGGCAGCCATGCAGGTCGAGGGATGAAGAATGGGACCAGGAGGCAATGGGGCCAGGAGGCATGGGTCCAGTGGGGGGTGGGGGTGGGGGTTGGAAGTGTGGAAAGGAGGGTGGGGTGTGTGGGGGTGGGGGTTGGGGGTGGGGGTGGAGCCATGACGCCAGGAGCAAGGGGCCCATGACAAGCACGGGCGGCGGGGCAGGGTGCGTGCGGGGTGGGGGTGGGGGTTGTGGGGGTGGAGCAGCTCAAGGGATGAAGAATAGGAGCCAGGGGTGCGTGGGGGGCTTGGGCAAGGGGAATGTATGCGGAGCGGGAAGGGCGGGTGCGTGGGTGGTGGGGGTAGGGGCGGAGGGGAGCCATGGGGCCAGTAGGAGCTGGAAGGGCGGAGGGGGAGCGGGCGGAGCGGGCGGAGGAAGCCACATCCATGGGCCGGTGGACCATGAGCCATGGGGAGCCTTTACAGTCAGCTGAGAAGCCACATCCATGAGCCGTGGACGATGAGCCAATGGGGCCAGGAGCCATGGCTTCAGTGGGGGGCGGGTGCGTGGGGGGTGGTGGGTGGGTGGGGGTGGGGGTTGGGGGTTGGCAGGGTGCGTGCGGTATGGGGGTGGTTGGGGGTTGGGGTGGAGCAGGGTCCATGAAAAGGACCAGCATTGGCAGCCATGCAGGTCGAGGGATGAAGAATGGGACCAGGAGGCAATGGGGCCAGGAGCCATGGGTCCAGTGGGGGGGCGGTGGGGTGTGTGGGGGTGGGGGTTGGGGGTGGGTGGAGCCATGCCAGGAGCAAGGGCCCATGACGGGGCCGGGGCAGGGTTGGCATGGGGGGTGCGTGGGGGGCTTGGGCAAGGGGAATGTATGCGGAGCGGGAAGGGCGGATGGGCGGGGAGCGGGTGCGTGGGTGGTGGGGGTAGGGGCGGAGGGGAGCCATGGGGCCAGGAGCCATGGGTCCATGAGGGGCGTGGGCGGCGGGGCAGGGTGCGTGAGGGGTAGGGTGGGTGCGTGAGGGGTAAGGGGGAGGGAGCTGGGTCCATGAGGGGTAGGTCAAGGGGATGGAGAGTGGGAGCATGGGCCAGAGGGGAGTAGGCGGAGCTGGAAGGGCGGAGGGCGGAGCGAGCGGAGCGGGCGGAGCGGGCGGAGCGGGCGGAGGGTTCGGGCATGCACTGGGGCCCTTTAAAGTCAGCTGAGAAGCCACATCCATGGGAGCAAGGGGCCCATACAAGCACGTGCATGACAAGCACGGGCGGCGGGGGTGGGGGTTGCGGGTGGGGGTGGAGCAGCTCAAGGGATGAAGAATGGGACCAGGAGCCATGTGTCCATGAAAAGCATGGCGGGGTGCGTGGGGGGCTTGGGCAAGGGGAATGTATGCGGAGATGGGCGGGGAGCGGGTGCGTGGGTGGTGGGGGTAGGGGCGGAGGGGACAGCCATGGGCCCCGCCAGGGTGCGTGAGGGGTAAGGGGTAGGGAGCTGGGTCCATGAGGGGTAGGTCAAGGGGCATGGAGAGTGGGAGCATGGGCCAAAGGAGAGTGAGTAGGCGGAGCTGGAAGGGCGGAGGGCGGAGCGGGCGGAGCGGGCGGAGCGGGCGGAGGGCCCGGGCATGCACTGGGGCCTTTCAAGTCAGCTGACAAGCCACATCCATGGGCCGTGGACCATGAGCCAATGGGGCCAGGAGCCATGGGTCCAGTGGGGGGCGGGGTGCGGGGGGGTGGGGGTGGGGGTTGGAAGTGTGGGTGCGTGGGGGTGGGGGTGGGGGTTGGGGGTTGGGGGTGGCAGGGTGCGTGCGGGGTGGGGGTGGGGGTTGGGGGTGGGGGTGGAGCAGGGGCCATTTTTTGACCAGCATTGGCAGCCATGCAGGTTGAGGGATGAAGAATGGGACCAGGAGCCATGGGTCCATGAGAAGCATGGCGGGGGGCTTGGGCAAGGGAAGGAGTCTGCGGAGCGGGAAGGGCGGATGGGCGGGGGGCGGGGTGCGTGGGTGGTGGGGGTAGGGCAAGCGGGCGGGCATGCACTGGGAGGAGCCATGGGTCCATGAGAAGCATGGCGGGGTGCGTGGGGGGCTTGGGCAAGGGAAGGAGCGGGGGGCGGGGTGCGTGGGTGGTGGGGGTAGGGCAAGCGGGCGGGCATGCACTGGGGGCCGGTCGAGCTTTGGATGGGGTGGAGTAGGTGGTAGGGGCAATGGGTCTTCACTGACGCCGCCCCCGCTCCGGCTGGGGTCGGCGGATAAAGTATGGTCCCTTAGTGGGTACCCGAAATAATGGGTGGCGACTTATGAGGACCCCAGAAGGGACCATATTGTAGAGAAGTGACCACATATGCCTCGTGCCTGTGGAGTTGTGGCATCATTTTAGGCTGGACAGCATCGCTGCCGAACCTCTTGTATGCGTGGGTTACTCAGTTGAGCTCGGCTGTTTCAGTGCTTCACCAACATCACATGGGGCTTTCGAGGAATTCCTCTAGTGCTGTTGGTTTCAGGAGATGTGATCCGGGTGGTCGCGATGATGACGGTTGGACAGCGCTGGATTGGGCCATTGCTCAGGGCCAGGAGCAGTTCTTGCCCGACTTCGCAGAAGATGCATGATTTTGTCCCATCTATGGTTCCATCACGACCTACTTGTAGGAGAAGTACGAAAGATTGATAGGGGTCCTGTCAACGCCCCTGTGTCCTTGCAAGTTCTCTCCTCTGCCAGCATGTCGGTGCAAGCCTCTAGTGAGAAAGGTTTGAAACCGCTTTCAGCTACTATACTATGCTCTGTTTTGCTGCGCTGTGTGATACTACTGCACCACGCATCGTGCGTATACAGCTGTGGGATTCTACAAGACAGTTGTCGTCGTTGGTGATAGGAGACGTTTGCTTTGGAGCTTCTTCGCCTGGCTGGACCGCCCGCCGTTCACGCTTGCCGGCGCCCGACGACTGCTTTGGCAAGGCAAGGTCCTGTCTTGCTCGAGCATGCAGGTATCCAAACGAAGAGAGAGCTTCAGTGGCGCAGGACAGCACGTAACCGGCAGTTGGGGCAGCTGGCAGACTTGCTTGAATTCGAGCAGCTCAGCAGCAATGCTTCAGCACTGCTTTTTTCACATGTTATAGAGTTTTTCACTCGGGCCTTCGAAGCTTTCTCCGTCCTGACGGTCTTGACAGCAGATGAGACAGTCCAAGAGACAGCCCATGAGTAAGCTTATATAATCATGGACACATCAGCTTCCAAGATGAAGCTAGTCGTCGTTCGTTGCGCTCACCGCATCCACTTTAGTACGCAGCACATTGACGAGCACAATCGAAACCTTGAGGGCGAAGGCGACAGCTGCATCTGCTCAGTGCTGCTGCTGAGTGCTGGAGTCAACCCCAACTGCATCACACTCCGATCCACCTAACTACACCAGTCATTGAAGGGGTGGCCTCAGTCCCGCTACACTCTTGTGAGCTCTGCATGATTGGCTGCAACAGTACCAGTAGCCCCCCCCGCCCCCCCACATCGGTTCCGCTGGCATCTCCACACATGAGCAACAAGCCTGCGTGCACATGTACACACTGAAGTCGTTCTGTTGCTCCTCGTGTGATCCTTGTTTTTTTGTCATCTCCCAGTTGCTAGTACGTTTCAACCCGTGATCGCAGATGTGTGCGACCTTTGATTTGGCTTGAGGCCTCTGGCAAGAGCACAGGCAATTTTTCAAAGAATCCTGGAGGTGGCAGTGCGAGTTTTCAATGGCCCAAGTGCGCATTTCATCGTATCTCCATGCAGCGTTCACCAGATGGGCACCTGGATTTGCTCACAGGAGGGCACCCAAGAGGACATGCTCCAACTCCTCCTTGAGGGACATTTCCCTGTGAATCCGAGACCTGGCAAAGCTTGGGAGAATTCTCCGGCTGTTACAGAACTGATGAGCTGGCACGTATCTGCACATGCCCAGACCCAGACCAGGGAAGACATCTCAGGCGCTTGGGTTGGAGACATCCTCTGGATGCTTGCATGGATGGAGGCGTGCTGCGAAGCCGTCAGTGCAGAGTCTGATTTTGGGGGTTTCCGAAACATGAGGGGTACCCTCTCTGGAGGTTCCTAGAATAAGGGGAGCCTCTTGAAAAAGAGGCCGTCCGGACTTGGCGCTGCAGCTTCTGCGCTGGCAAGCGCAGCCCGCTTTGGCTTCTGGAGGTGCTCTGCGTGGTGATCCGCAACCTGCACTTAATGGGTAGTTCTCGTAGAATCTGGGGACCCGAAAAAAAGGGAGCCTCCTCTAGAGTAATTACTACGAACAAGGTGTATTTGCACAGACTGCCATGATTTCTTCCCCCCCCCCCCCCCCCTAACAGCCATCGAGTTTTGAAGGGTCAGCTCAGCTGCTGGCTCGAGCTGTCGAGATCCCACAAAGGCCGGCGCCTGCTTGGTTTTTTTGCTTGCAAGATGTCATCGGTCATGGACGTTCCAGGTCGGACGAGCTCATCAACATGTTGCTGACATTCGAGAGCATGTGATGCCAGATCATGCGGGCAAAGGCACGCGCGGCAATGGTATCCTTCGTGTATTTGCGTACTATATCAACGATGCACGCAGAGAGAGTGTGATACTGATAGAAAGGAGAAGCCAAGATGATACCCGAAAGCTGGCAGGTTCACCGCCAATGAGCAAAAGCTTCCCAGGCAAGCTTGATCGATGGCTGTTGCGGGGGCAAAAGTGCCGATGTTCCGTCGTGCACTGTGCGCTAGCCATGACTCTGCAGTCGCTGCATCGCTGTTTTCTCTGATGCCAGTATCAAGACGACATGGGTTCGACAGCATTACGCAGCGGTTGGATGTGCAGCCGGCAACTTGACGCCATAGCAAAAGACTACGCAATGTCTGAGTGACGAAGCCATGATACGGCAGCGGCTGGGCACTGTTGACTTTAAAACTTCTTGCAAGTTCTAGTCAAAAACCGGTTCTAGTCAGTTGTAGTGAACCTGCGTGCAACAGCCGTTGAACAACGGATCCTAGTGCTACTATAGCAGACAAGCAAGTATTCGAAGTCCTTTTTCAGCGATATGAAGCTGGAGGGCCATCGTAAAATTGACTTCCGAGCTTGAGCCTGAGGTGTGCTCTCGCCAAAGCTGCCATGCCTGCCAATGATGTTTAATTTAGGGCAAGAAAGTACATCAAGGTTTACCCCTATGCAAGGATGCAAGGCATCCCATGGAATCCCGTCAAGACAGACCCGTGCCCAGGCAGAGCGAAACCCTCGGCGGAATGTGCGTGTCTCAGCCGTCGTGTGGAATCTCAAACAGCTGCATGTCATCCGTCAGTCACTTGTAGGCTTCAGTTGTTAGCAGTGCTGCCAGGTCTTGCGACGCATAGCTGCTGGCAGTGTAATTGCTGTTTCAGCTGCTACCTGAGTCTGGCTGAGTGTCATGTCTCGCGCGCCTGATGATCAGCTCGTGAGAATCGTGTGCTGCACTTTATGGCACAGGGTGCGAGATGTGCCAGGCAAGCTACGCTTGGTCTGCGTGCTCGCCGCATTTGGCGCTGTGTTCCCGACCAGCAGGCCGTGTATGGATATCGGCGTGTTGATTCCTCTGCCCTGAGTCAGTCCGAGTGCGCAGCGACTTTTGCAACGCGTGCAGCAGGTCTGGCTCCGTTCAGTGCCCATAGGCGAGCGCTTTTCTCTCACGAGTGACGATGGGAGACAAGGGCAGGCAAATGGTGCCAGGCTGGATGATGTACCATGTCGAATTGGCCGGGTAGGCCCTTCCGACTTTGCAGCTGAGCTTGATCCCACAATTCAGTGTAGGGTGCCATCCGGCACTCAATGGGCGTGAGTTGTCGTCATTTTCATGCGCTGTGGGTTCACTGCGCTCATTCCGGCAGTTTCTTCCGCACTGCCTCCCGGAAAGCGCAAGCCTCACCATCTTTCATTGCAGAGCAACAAGTAGCAGCCTGCATCTCATGTATCTCCGTGTTGCTGTGGTGGCCATACAGAAAATGAGCAGATGCTGAGGTACCGGGCGCTCACAAAGATTCGATTGAGAAAGGCGAGCGGCATGTCTGCTATTCGGACCAGTGCTCCACATTGCCCCCCCCGCATATTCTGCAAGGAGCCAGACACGAACGCAGAACCCACAGGCGCAGCCCGCTTCAACAACAGCATAATTTGAGCTGAAAGCTAAAGAATGATGTCAGTGTGTCAGAGTCTGTCAGAGCTGAGTGAGGGCTGCTTCACTATCCTGTTTTGCCAGGTGAGTCAGTCAGTGCAGGGGACATCTTTGAAGTCACAGAGGCCGAGAAAGAGACACATTGAGACGAGCAAAGCTTGGTGAAGTCTGGCGTTTCAGGATCAGTTGTGACGCAGGCCGTGGGACCATCAGCCGATGGCATAGGCGCTGCTTGGATCAGAAATGATCTGACCACAATGTGCTTGGACACCTTCGGTTCCGGATTGCGGCGCCATGCCTGAAGTTGACGCTGCGGAGGTTACCTAAAAATGGCAGATGGCTGGGTCTTTGATCAGGCAAGAGATGCATAAGCGTAGTGGAAGTTAGGACGGCGAAAGTTAAAGGTGCCTGTTGCAGAAACTTAGACACCGGACAGGGCATTGCGGGAAGATGGCGGGGCAAGCCGATAGTCGAGGCGGTCAAGGCGCGCATCGTCTCAGAAGAAGCTGTGCATGGCTTTACTTGTGGCAGCGCTTTGCTGCGTTTGCCGGCTCCAGGTGGAGGCACCGGCTGAAGCGCCCGCCGTTCCAGAACCAGAACCCGATCCTGAGCCCCAGTCACGGGAGAATGAAGAAGCGGAAGAGGTGGAAGTGGCTGACGAAGCGGAAGTGGTGGCTGCTGAAGTGGAAGTGGTGGCTTCGCCCTCCAGCTCCGCGACCGAGGTCGCGCCAGCACCTTGTGACAACTATTGAGTGGTCAGGTGTCCTACTTTATCCAACTTTACTCGGCGACTTGAGTCGCAGGAGGCACAAGAGCCACAGTCTCCGGCAGTTGCTTTGGGTGCGGCGAGGGTCCTGGCCTGAGGTTGGGCAAGCGAAGTTGTAAGACTTTGAGCGCAGATCGGAAGCATTCAGAAGAGATTGTCCCTGTTGCTCGCATTTCGACGAACTCGAGGTGGAAATGGTGAGGCTCGATGTGGCCCGAGCACAATCTCGTGTGTAGGTCAGGTGTTCGCGTTAGGGGCCCCGCGCGCGTGGTCTCGGTGGCAGGTTGCCTGACGAGGTCCTTGGTGCTGGCTTTGAGTTTGTGCAACTTGAAGTTGCCAAGGGGTCTGCTTCTCAGCCTATGTCTGCTCCGCCTCAGTCAGTCATGGCATCTCTACTACTGTTACGATACAATCTTGGATGTGTTGTTATCCCTCCACTGTCTGCCTTTTGACGGAAGCTCAGCGGCACCGCGTAGCTGTCTGACACTTCTTCGCATGTTTTGACTCTTTTGACCGAGGCTGCAGCCCCTCACTTTCATGCTTGGCTCTGGCTTTCCCTCCAATGCAGTCACCTCACGCGGGTGGCTTGGGGGTGTCACCATGTCAATGAGTTGCTGCTCAGTGGGAGGGCAACTTGCTCTGGCAGGCGCGAGCTGATTGACATTGAAGGCGTGGCTGTGCATCCGCTGTGCATCCCTCCATCACGCAGAGACCACAACTTCTGTCAACGCCAACTAAGCCGTGCGAGGTGCAAAGTTCACGGGCGGCTGGCTCTCAGAGGCTCAGGTGAGGCGCACAGAAACTCTTCAGAATCTCCGTCCAGGTCATTTGTTTGTTACCCTAGAGCGAGACACTGGGCGCATGTTTTGGGGAGAGAGAGGCTGCCAATAAAGTCGGCCTGGAAGACGTTCGCTTCCTCGGGACAGGCATACTACATGCTGCATAGTTCAACAATGTCAGGGGCAAGCGTTTTTGACATTGCGGTGGCTCCTTCCGCCTTCTAGTTGTTGGTGTTGGGCCGACAGGTTCAAAAATAGATGATCTTGGCGATTGCAGCGTCATGGACTTTCCTCAGGCACATGAAAGTTGTGTGTCGGAGAGTGAGGACCAGCCTGTAGATTACCAGAGGATTTGCAAGCAGGCGCAACTTGCGGAACAGCTCGGGATTGAGGTTCACGGCATCCTGGGCTGCATCCTCAGTGGTCGGCCTGCAATCCACGGCTTTGGCAGTGCTGGCATTTGCAGATGAGGCAAGCCATTCTTCACCAAGTACGACGTCGACCCGCTCTTAGCAGCATGAGCATCACTGTACGCATCCACTTGCATCGGGAGCAAAGTGTGCTTATTTCACCATGTTCGACATTCGAGGATCTTGACCGGTATCGTGCTCGCGCAGACATCTATGCGCCCGGAGAGGCGGCGTTGCAAGGCGCGCCCGACCCTTGTTCACTTTGACAGCCGCGCACGGTACAGGGAGACAACAGGAGACAAGTAGGCTGCCCTAGAGGCCCAGAGCGCATGCGTTTTCTGTCGGCTCTCGCGCGGTCCCTTGTTCGTCGTCTGTTTCTGCGTACCACGCGTATATTTTCTGTCTATCCCTATTTTTCAGAAGCATTCTCATTCTGATATCTTAGCGCCTTAGGCACCAGGGCTGACAACGAGGATGAGGGCCAGGATTGGGCGTCATCATGCGCCGGAAAATAGCACGTTGGAAAATCACGTAGTCAATGCCAAGATGATGGGCGTGACGCCCGATGGAAGTGCACAAGTGATTGATGAAAGGATGGCATTTGAAACTTGAGAGAATTCGTTGAGGAGAGAAAGGAGGAGGTGGAGGGAGATGGCAAAGACATCTACTGTAGTTTTCTCAGCTGTCCTCGAGAGGGCTACGCTCTCTGCATAGAAAATCCTCCAAGGAATCAGCTGAAGGCAAGCCGCCGACACTGGGTAAATCAGTACACAACCATGCGCCAGACATGCGGCGGCATTCGCTTGCCAACTTTCTGTTGCTTAGTTGACGCGCATGGACAGGTTTCTACAGCGGGGTCAAGCACCTTCCCGGCTTGGAGCTGCCACAAAATAATCTGGGGCTTGCGGTCAAAGGAGCAGCTGTGAGTGAAGAGGCGGGCAGAGCGACCGTTCCTGGAGGCGAGAGTTGAGTGTGTTTGATGAGTTTTGCAGGGAGGCCTTCCAGAGACACCATCGGCCTTCATTGGGCTTTTGGACAGCAGCGCCGCCCACACGGAACAGTCTGCATGTTTGTGTGACTGCTGTCTAGCTGGATCTGATAGAAGATTTGCGCGCCACTGGGTGTGCCAGGTTCTGAACTGGGAGGCCGCCAAACTCTTCGGCTTCAGTGGGCCAACTGATCCGCGCCTTGCCGCCGCAGCAAAGGCCCTGTGATGAGCATGACAACATGTGACAGCAACGTGTGGGAATCGCTGGGTCAAATGGGGTCTAGCAAGGCAGCATAGAGTAGCTTTCGCTGAAAGCAAGCTAGCAGCTAGCAACAACCTCTGGAAAGGTGCTGGCGGCATCTGCGACTGGACAGGCTGAGGACACGATGCCGCTCATATAGCAAACGTGCCCCTGGTTTTCAATGGTATCCCTGATCTGCAATGATTGAAAGTGGGGTTCGTGAGAAGGAAATGCCGGTTACGTTGGTACGACTTAGCCTGTGCAGCGTTCCAGAGGGAGCGTCCGGCTCAGCCTGCCTTGTCACATGGACTGGTTTCGCGCACTTTGCTCTTCTACAAATTCCACAGCTCGGCAGGTTGGGCCGAAGATTCTTTCTGTCTCGAAGGACACTGGCCCATACGGGCCCCCCCACTACATATACTTTCAGATACTTGTAAAGATGCTGTTTGGGCAGAGATGTTGAGCTTGAAGCACTTGGCATTGAGGAGGAATTTGAGTCGAGGGGCAGTGCCAATGGCCAGCTGCTTAGTGCTGAAGCGCTCTCGTGGTGATGCTCCGATGGACACCAGCCCTCCCAGAGCCAGGTTGGGTCTTCGAGGACTGAATCTCCTTTCAAAGGCATTCAAGTCATTGCAAGCCCCTGCAAGTAGATTCTCAAATGATCGTGCTTGTCTTGGAAGGACCTTAGCGGAGGTGACGAGTGCATTGACTTCGGTGCCATTAATGTTGGTGCCTGAAGTGCTTGGAGCCATCGTATTTCCTTAAGGCCATCATATGCCCCACCACGTCCTACAGGTTGCCATTGGAAACCCTCTGGCGCTGTCTGCGCCGCTCTCAACCGATCATTGCTGCGCACAGAATCAGCCATTTATAAAGCAGGCTAGCAGATGGGTGTAGAGTCCCTATCCCTCTTGACAAAACCCTGCTTGGTGTCACCTGCAGCTTCCCCCAAGCCAGTTTGGCCCAGCACACCTCTATCCTGTGCAGCCCGCACCCCTCCTTTCAAGCAGACGGCCAAGCCCACTTTTCAAGCTCATGCAATGAAGAGGTCGAGAAAGCTGTTGCAATAGGTACAGCAAGGCCAAAGCCACAACCAGGACGTAAAGAAAAAAGACTGGAGATGTGGGCTGAGAAGCCCTAAGCCTGAAACAAAGAAACGCCCGAGAACCCCCAAGAAACCCTAAGCCGCTGAAAGAAGATGTCAGCTGAGAAATGTCGAAGAAAGAACATGTTGGCTGGACCCTGTCCAATTCCTTCTACGCTGAAGCTGAGACCGTAGGGTAAGGCGCACCGTATGATTCTGGATCGCAGCCGAAACCACTCTGGGTGTTTGTTTGGGAATGCACTCAAAATTGCACTGAATTGCACCCTGCCAACGCGGGATGTTGGAAAGCGCACGAGCCTCAAAACCTGGTAGTGGCCTCGCGACCACAGGGCGTGCCATCTTCAAAACACACCCGAATCAATCCTCAATGGGGTCGCCTGATTTGGCGACTTTCGTTTCTTACAAGCGCATCTGGTTCCAGAAATGTTGAACATCCTTGTCGTGCAGAAAGAGGCCAAGCGCTATAAATGCCAGTGTTTTGGGCATGTTCGCAAATGGCAGAAACGCTTGTGACTTCACGTCGCGTCGCCAAAACATCATCCTCGTGCCATATCGCCAGAATTATGTTTCTTGAAGCCTGTCCCACAGTGGACACGAGTTGTTAAACCATGGAAAGCGATATGGGCCCCACCTAAAGCGCTAACAATAGTGTGCACACTTAGATACATGCATCCCACAGTCCCATAGTATGTAAAGCGATATGGGGCCCAGGTAAAGTGAGAACATGGTATTCCGCGACCTCGCACCGTGTAAAGTAATGTTGACTTCACATTAATGATTCCCGCTACAATTTTAAAATCCAGCTGCCGGAACACAATAATGTAACCCCCCCACAATTATAAAATCCAGCCCGGAAAACTACTAGTGGTACTACTACCTGATACTAAAACTAATAGTACGTCCTACCAGGATTTAGGCGAATATAATTGAGGAGGCCCTGGCCGGAGAGATTGATCAATCAAGGCGGGGGGGGGGGGTTTATGAATGCGAAGTCAACATTAATTTAGTCCGGCGCTGATATGTTGCAGAAAGAGGCAGCATGCGCTGTTGTCCGGTGTTTTGGGCAGCTTGTGACTGCGCGTCTTGTCCTTGAAGCGTCAAACATCCTGCGCCGTATGTTGTAGAAAGAGACCAAAGCGCTGTAACATCCAGTGTTTTGGGCATGGTCGCCATGTGTCTGGACGTTATTATCCCCTCCCCCTCCCGGCCCCCCCCCCCCCAACCAAAACCTGAACCACTTGAAAAACCTTGCGGTCACGGCCAACGCCGTCAGCCAAAACCTGCATGCTGTGCCAAAACTAGGGCTCCCACTTGACGCCTTTCTTGTGTTCAAAATTGATGCCCATTCTTTCAGCAATGATGCGCTCTCGTGAGTGTTCAAAAACGCCGTTCTCGCATGTTTTTTTTTGTTGTGCGTGTGCGTGTGCGTGTGCGTGTGCGTGTGCGTGTGCGTGTGCGTGTGCGTGTGCGTGTGTGTGTGTGTGTGTCAAGCCTGTACCTGGGCATCAATTTCAAAAGTGACAAGATCTTTGTGGCAGGACTAAAGTTTCAGAGTAGTGCAGAAGTTGTCAAAAATTGTTCATGACTGTTCAAGAGGTGCAGCAGTCAGTGAACTTTCGGGGAGCAAAATATTCTCAGCATGTCACTCCGTCCTCCAAGGTACTGGAGGATTCAAAAATCGGGCCCTTCAAGGGTGCAGCTGCGATCATTGGCAGCTGTCCAAGGGGATTCTCTCAGCGTGCTGCAGATGCGAAGATGCCATGGGCCGTCAGCATCAGCTCCACGCGCTCAGGTCAGGATGTACTTTTCCAGGCCGACACCATTGTACGATTTGGCTGCGGTGACTCTGACTGAATATGCCTGAACCCTGCCGGAAAGAGGCTGACCGGCTGGTCATGAACATGAAGGAGATTCTTCGCGGAGCAAAGCAAATATTCTGCATGGATCACGTGCTTCGCCTTTGCAGGACAGCCAGATTTGGCTTAAGCCTGGCGAGATCAGAGACTCGCCGGAAATGTGAGAGACTTCAGTTCGACCACGCGATGCTGCATGACGCGCAAAACAGTCCTTAAGCATGAACGCCGACCGTGCCTCATTCAACAAGGGCTTTGGTAGATTGCCACGCTAAGCTGTGGAGTCTGGACTTAACGTACAGACTCTCGATAGGAGTCAGAGTCGGTTGGAACTGATCTGTTGGAGTAGGGCCTGAGTAGGGGAAGGTGCTGTCTCAGCTTGCTTCTGATCCTGCGCAGCCGCGGCGGAGCATTCTTCCATGAATCCCTGTACAGCAGAATGCCAATGCTTGATCTAGAGCCTGATCGAAAATGATTATGTGATTTTAGGCTTTTTAGGCATGTTGGGTGTACAAAATCGTTGCACGTAGTTCGCTCAACCACACAGCGATACCCATTAGCAATTGGCATGGCCGGCCAGACAAGGAATGGAGGTGGACCTGGTGGTAGGGAGCATTGCGGGTGGGGACTGCGAAAGCTGATGAACAGCGCTTCCTTGGAAGAGATATCACAGTCACTCATTTTCATGTTGCCTGGTGTTTTTGTTTTGCTTGGTGTCGGAGGAATGATAGGGAAGAGTTCCGTGCCCCCCCCCCCCCCAACCGCCTGTCAGGCTCGGCACCGGATTCCTTGTTCAGCTGCACGTGGGTGCTGGGAGGCTCTCTCCAGCAGTGTGGCCTTGGGAATCCTACTTTCTTGTAGGATTTGTTTTTGAAGTGCGGGCATGGATACTCTGGCCAACGGATGCACTGTCAGCATGGACATGATCATCGTGCGGGCAGGTGTGCCCTGGCCGGTGGATGGACTGGCAGCATGTTGTTGTCATGGATGTACCATAGGTGGTCTCGTCGCGCCGGCATGGTCGCTCTGGCAACTTGAAGCCTTGTTACCAAGACGGTCATCGTGAAGCCTGGATGCGCTGGGCAGTGGATGCACTGGTAGCGTGGATGTTATCATCGCACGGGCGGGCATGTGTGCTTTGGCCCATGGATGCACAGGAAACATGGACAATATCGTGTGGGCATGGATACTTTGGCCAGCGGGTGCACTGGTAACATGGACGCTCTGGCCAATGGATTCGCATGGACGGAATCATCGTGTAGACAAGCTTTCTTTGGCCAGTGGATGCACAGGAAGCACGGACACGATCATCGTGCGGCATGGCTGCTGTGGCCAATTGGATGCACTGGTAGCATTGACATTATCATCATCGTGCGCGCATAGGTGCTCTGGCCAATGGATGCATTGGTAGCTTGGACTTTAGCACCAAAAACCCAAAAACACTGACAGAGATTCCGAAGAACACAAAAAAACAGAAACCACAAAGCACACAACAAACATATAGTATTTTAAATTAGGGGCGCGAAATAGAAGTCTTTATTAACGCGCCAGAATACTAATTTTAAAATCTTCTTCGACGCTCATTAATTCTCTTATTGTGTCGGTATAAGAATAGTGTTTGCATGACGGGCCAATAATAATCATTCACTGGCCCGTAGTATTATTCTGGTGGCCCTGTATGTCTTCTTGTTGGGCCGCAGGTTTTGTTCGCACAGTTCATGCACTTCATGCTTCATGTCACTCGTTGTATGTGCATTGACTGTGCTCGCTACACTTATGAAAATCATTATTCATATTATTACGGGAACGTTAAACGTCCTTGCGCAGTACGTTGTACAAAGAGTCTAAAACGCTGTAAACACCAGTGTTTTGGGGCGCTTGTGACTGGTGACAGCGCGTCTTATTCCAGCAACGTCGCTCGTCCTTGTGCAGTATGTTCAGTATGTTGTACAAAAAGCACGATCGTACACATGGAGGCGGAAATGCTGTAAGTGCCAGTGGTTTGAGCATGGTTGCCATGTCGAGGTCTAAGGTGGTCTATTCTTAATCAAAAGTGTCTTTAGTTTTGTGCTCCCTGGTCTCTCCCCCCCCCCCTTTATCCCCGAGCCGCGAAGTTCGCCGCATAATTGCGGGTAACCATTGTCAATATGGGTACCCTCTATAGCGACAGTATCTCATAGTACAACGCGTGCAACATTAACCGGCTGCAAACAGCAATGATGGCCTGGAAAAAACTCAGCCGCTGTGACACTGGAACGTTCGATCACGCAAAATCGGGATGACGCCTTGGATGCCATCGATACATGAAGGAAGCATCTTCATCATGTGAGGACGAACCTCTCGCTGAACGGGAAAGCGGGATTTCCATCGAGATGGGATTTCCATCGAGATCAACCGCGATGTCTCAGCGGGGCAAACTGATTGGGCCAAACCAGCAAGTACTGAGCAAGAACACTCCAACAGCAGGCCTTCAAAGCGATGACGAGCTTGTGATGATCGTCACGGAAATCCCTGTTTGCGCTCGCTCATGGGATCGGCGTTCGCCGCGATTCTGCGCGATGCGTCCGCAGTAACTTGGGGCTCGCCGGTGATGGACGGCGACAGCAGGAACGTGAAACATCATTGGGAAATGCAAAAGAAACGCAAGCTTCCAAAGGGGCATTCGCGGCAATATTGACCGATGGCACTGTTGTGACATCGGGCAGCAAACGGGCTGGCAGCGACAATGCAAAGGTTCAGTCTCGATTGAAAGGCGTGACGCAACGTAGGCATCATCGTCAGCGTCTGCGGCGATCTTGACTGATGGATCATTCGATGCTTGGGGCGACCTTGAGACTGGCGGTGATGGCATCGCAGTCCGGTTGTAGTTGCAAGGCGTGACACATTTGTCAGGCTTCCACAAAAGTCTTCGCTGCGATCCTGCAAGACGTTCAGCAGGTTCAAGCTTCTCTCACAGCCCTTGCAGCCATACGAAGCGGTGACCTGCAGGGGGCGATGCTGCTAGTGGCGGCGACAGCAGCGGCCTCCCGCAGCAACTAAAAGACGTTCAGGCATGCTTTTTGCCGCTATCCTGGCCGATAGCTGCATTGTTCCAATCTGGCGGTGACAGCAGCAAGGTGCAAATCCGACGGATCCGGAACGTGACGCATATTTAAGCTACCACATGCGCGTTTGTTGCAATCCAAAGACAGGGTCTGTCGTGACAGCGGCAAGCGGAGGGTAGCCGAAGTCTGCAAAGACTAGAGGAGGAATTGGATAGGCAAGGAAAGTTTCAAATAAAAATCTTGCGTGTATCCAGGACGCTCTCAGCAGACTTGCCGCAACGTTACCAATCGGCTGGAGTGGGTGCTCCCCATTGCTCCCCTATTGCTGCAGGAGAGGGAGCAGCCGTCTGGAGAGTCGAAAGCTTTACAGAACGGTCGGCTTTAAGCGCACCAGCTGCTGAATCCCGAGGCTTTTTTTGTGGGACCCTTATGAGGGTTTGCGTTTTCCTTCAGCATTCCCTTGGTTTTTGGCACCCAAAAAAAAATCCTGCAAAATTTTGCCCGTCTGTGTTTTGATTGCCACATTCTAAAGATCCTACGATTGTTCCCGCCAAGAATCCACTGCCATGCAATCAAGAGATTGGTCCCCGAAAGACGCTTGACTCGGTACTCCTCGTCCGGCATTCTGGTGTCGGTGCTCGTGGGGAAGGCCATGAAAGCACAACTCGCCACATCGTGGGGGGACACCCCTGCGTGCATTGCACGAGCACCGCCCAAGCGCTGACCTTGTTCACCCTCTGCTGGAAGCAGACGCGCCCGGCACACTTTTGGCAGAGGACGCGGCACGTTACCTGAGCTCGATTGTTTCCCTGCACCAACCTGGGCTAACTTGCTGGCGACGCGAACGAGGCGTGCCCGGCCTTCGGAAGATCGGAATGACAAACGCGTGCTCGAGTTTTTTTTTGAATTGGGCTTGACGTCTAGGGGGCTGTTGCTGTCACAGGAAGCCCCAATAAGCCGCATGGCACTGCTTCTCCGCGGACCCGAGTCCGTTTTGGCAGGGGTCAACTTAATTCAGACTTCCGAGATAGATAACAGGAAAAATGGGGGTGGAGGGGCGGGGGGCAGGCGCAGCCACCCCCGATTGATTCCCACCAACGATCGGCGACAGTGGACACGCGTATGGGGTCTGTAGTGAAGCCACGGAGTATCACGGAGTGGTGACCAGGTTTCGGAATGCGAGCTCCTGAAAACGTAGGCGATGTTCGCGTTCGCGATTGTTGCCACATTGATTGTGATTTTGAAAGTAGATGTTTGTGTGGCTGCCGCGGGCAATGAACAGTTCCTGTTTTTACGCACAGAGATGAACGGGTGCAACACTATAAAACTTTCTTGATGCGCATGTTCTTGTGTGCATGCATACACAATCTTTTGGCGCGCGCATGTCATTCTGGTCTGCGAGAGAAACGACAAAAACCAGCGCATGTGCAGCAACTGTTGCTTCGCGGCGAACAATTCACCCACGAACCTTGGGACGCGGTGAGACAGGGAGGAAGCCCGGCCCCATCGACGACCCGCGCGACGGCATGGTCAAGGGGCAGCGCACGCACGGCCACGACACCCGAAGTAGCACAGGCCGCGCGGTGGTCACTGAGCGGGTCAAACTCCCCATGGCAGCGGCATCTGCGCGGCGCGAGTGGGAGGGGAAATCGCAGGCGGCGCAGCGGAAGAGCCCGGTACTGCGCGCTGGGGATGGAGAGCTCGTCGCGAGTGGGAAGGACATTCAAGGCACGATGGCAAAGGGCCCGGCCTGCGATAGCAGCAGCGCTCGAGAGGTCAGGAAGGTGCGTGTCCTAGGCGCGCGCGTCGCAGGCCTTGAAGGGCCAAGGGTCACGGGAGGTGTCTCCGCCGCCTTGGGGAGGGGGCGCAGTGGCTGCGCCGGTGCAAACGGCCGCCCAGTCCGCAGTTTCTCGTCCGAGCGCTCGCAGGTGCGTTTGCGAGGACGGCGGCAGCGGTAAGCCGCCAGTAGACTGACGCCGACGGATGTTTGACTTCCTGCGTAGTCGTATGTGGTCGTAAAAAGGCGCGTCGGAGAAAAAAAAACTGAACAAATTTGGGTTGGAGGACGCATCAGCTGCGCCACGTTCACTTTCCTGCGTCTGCTGCAGCGCAGGGGCGTCGGC